TGAAGCCTTTCCTCTAATGATTTCTATGTGGCTGTGATGATGGATTTCAAACGATTTCTCAACATGTTAGTACTGCAGTATGCATATGCCTTTGGGCTTCAGAATATAATTTTCGACTAGCATTATCGGGTGGGTTGCTGATTATTATCTTTCACTTTTACTGCATTGATTAGGCTTTTGTTCTCTCTCTCTCTCTCTCTCTCTTCACATCCAACTGCCAATACATTGTCGCATGAATGGCCAGAAATGTCCTGATCGCCGAATATTCAACCCACCATCTGGCTGCTATGTCTATTTTTCCTGCATTTCCTTTCTCTAAATGAGGCGCGTTCTGTCAGTTTTGCCGGCCGGATCATTTTAGGATGCCCATACTATTATGATTTTCATGGTGCAAAGGCATGTAAACTGTTATTCTGTTTGAAGATATCATTTGCTTGCAAAGATGAAGCGTACATGAATGGGAAGATCATTGCATTAGCATCTAGGATTCCCATCCGTAGTTGCCGTGGTGTATCCTGTGGTTCCATTACTCAAAATTATCTGCATGATGCTTCATGCTTTAACGTTTGAATGTGTTATGCAGCATACTAAACGGTTTTCTTTGTCAATTCTGCGGTTAATATATGTATCATATTTGGATTCAGGTGTATGGAAACACTCCAAAAGTGAGGGACATGATGATTATGGTCTTCTTGTCAGTGAGAAAGCAAGGAAGTATGCAATTGTGAAAGAACTTGATGAGATGGTTAGTCTTAAGGATGGAACGATTGTCCTGCAATATGAAGTTCGACTCCAGAATGGGCTCGAGTGTGGTGGTGCATACTTGAAGTATCTCCGACCTCAGGCTGCTGGATGGAAAGTCAAGGAATTTGATAACGAGTCTCCTTATACTATCATGTTTGGACCAGACAAATGCGGTTCAACAAACAAGGTGCATTTCATTTTCAAGCACAAAAACCCCAAAACTGGAGAGTACGTGGAACACCATCTCAAGAACCCTGCATCTGTGCCCAATGACAAACTCTCTCATGTCTACACTGCTGTATTGAAGCCTGATAATGAGCTGAGGATATTGATAGATGGTGAGGAGAAGAAGAAGGCAAATTTCCTCTTGGCTGAAGACTTCGAGCCGGCACTCATCCCACCTAAGACAATTCCCGACCCAGATGATAAGAAGCCAGAGGATTGGGATGAGCGAGCGAAGATCCCAGATCCTGATGCAGTGAAGCCAGATGAATGGGATGAGGATGCCCCGATGGAAATTGTAGATGAAGAGGCAGTGAAGCCCGAAGGTTGGTTGGATGACGAGCCCGAGGAGATTGATGATCCTGAAGCTACAAAGCCTGAGGATTGGGATGACGAGGAAGATGGTGAGTGGGAGGCTCCCAAAATTGACAACCCCAAGTGTGAAACAGCACCTGGTTGCGGTGAGTGGAAGAGGCCAATGCAAAGGAACCCTGCATATAAAGGGAAGTGGCATGCTCCTCTAATTGATAACCCGAACTATAAGGGCATCTGGAAACCTCAAGAGATCCCGAATCCTGACTACTTCGAGCTTGAAAGACCAGACTTTGAGCCGATAGCTGCAATTGGTCTTGAGATTTGGACAATGCAAGATGGAATTTTGTTTGACAATATACTAATCGCAAGTGATGAGAAGGTAGCAGAGACATATAGGGAAACAACATGGAAACCCAAGTTTGAAGTTGAAAAGGAGAAGCAAAAGGAGGAGGATAAAGACGCTGATTCCCATGGTCTCTCAGCCATCCATGTAAGTGTTGATCCCTTTTAGCTTTTGAAGTTTTTTGTTTTCCTATCTTCTTCAATATTATTCTGAAAAGGAGTTTGGGTGATGCTTCCAGAAGAAAGTTTTTGACGTCCTCTACAAGATAGCTGATGTGCCTTTCCTGGAGCCATATAAACCTAAGATCTTGGTATGGCTATCGTGCCTGTACTTTCAATAACCTTGATATCAAATTATCAACAGCTAAATTAAGTCTTTTTTAACTCAACTAATTTTTTGTGCTTGCAGGATCTTATCGAGAAGGCAGAGAAACAGCCGAATATAACGGTCGGCGTGCTGGTTTCCATTGTGGTCATAATTTTGACATTTTTCTTCAAGATCCTTTTTGGTGGGAAAAAACCAGCGGTATGTGCACAACCTGTCTCCATTTTGCTAATTTTAGCCTAAGATATGTTGGAACAGTTAAAGCAATTCTTCTGCTGCCATTTGTGTTTCACCCTCCCCTGCAATTTGAAGGTCATTGTGCCGGAGGCACGGAGTGAAGCAGCTCCCGATACTTCCGATGGTCAAGGTAGCGGTGGAGACGAGGAAGACGAGGACGAGAAGGAAGAGACAGCTGCTGCTCCTCGTAGGAGATCTACCAGAAGGGAAACTTAAGCGAGGCACCTGTGAATGGCTTTCTGCGTCATGACTACAAATTTTGAGAAGTAGTATATGTTGCCGGGCATCAATAAAAGTTGTAGTTGGATGATTTTTCGATTCTGTCATGGGGTGAAAACTGAATAGATATATGTAGAAGCCTAGGTTCACCTGAATTACGTCTCGAAATGTTGTGTTGATGGGATTTTGTTGCAGATATTTAGGTCATTTGGGCCGGAAAAGTTTTCAGAGGAAAGAGAGCGTTGAAGTACAGCATTTCTTTCGACCAAAAAAAAGTACAGCATTTCTAACATTGTCAGGCTTTGTATAATCGTATCTTCATTTACCTACTACGCTTTTTATTCTTCGGAGTGGTTAGTATTCACCGTGTCATCAGCTTATGACGAAGTCTAGTTAGCTCTACCCAAAAAGGTAAAATGTATCCTCTCGCAAGTTAGGTCTACTCAAAAGAGTCTCATCAGTTGGAAAATAAAAAATTAAGGCTCTCATCGTTTTGCGAAAAATGTTATATTTGCGGAAAGTATTTTTCAAGAAGTCATTTTCTTGAAAAATGGCACAATTTTTCGGTGTTTGGCTGAAATCTTAAAAAATCTCAGAAAATATTTTCCGTTATTTAGTATGAAAAATATTTTCCTCTTTTCAATATTTTTAATAATTCTTTATTTTTTAAAAATATTTTTATTTTTATTTTTTTCTTTTTTCTTTTTCCTTTTCTCCTTTTTCTTCCTCGGCTAGTCGCCGGCCACGGTAGTGGCCGACGACCGGCCACAAACGAGCTCGCCCAAGGCCGGTCGAGCAACGCCCAAGTTTGCCGACCTCGGGCGAGCTCGGCCTTGCCACAGGCTGCTCACCGACCGCCGCCGTGGTCGACGACTGGCCAAGGAAGAAGGAGAAGAAAAGAAAAAGATCATTAAAAAATATAATAAAAAATTAGACTTTTAAAAAAAGAAAAGAAAATAAATATAATAAATGATGAAAGAAGGAGAGGGAAAATGTTTTCCTCTTTTCAAAAAGTGGAAAACATTTTCCTCACTTTTGAAGGTGTTTTGTACATTGAAGGAAAATGTTTTTCATGACTAATTTATTATTTGTGAAACGAACGCCGAAAAATCCGGAAAATATTTTTCTAAAAGTTATTTTTCATGAAACGAATGGAGCCTAAAATTGGAGACTCTTTTTTTCTCTCTCCTTTGACTAGCAATCTGAAAAAAGGACGGAGCACAAGCAATAATAAATGCTCACGTATAAACTTTTGCGTAAAATTCTCTCATCTTTTCGATATTCAAGGCGTGTATGTGAGAGAGAGAGGAGTCAGCTAATGAATTATAGCCATTGATGGGGCTTTGGAGGTGGAGGTAGACATGGCCACGGGCCGGTTTCGGCCAAGAACCGGCCCGAGTCAAACCCAAGACCGGTCCGTTGACCGGCCCTACGGTTCGGAATCAGAACTGGCCCGTGGTCTACGGGCCCAGTTCCAAAAAAAAATTCATTCTTTCTCTCTTTTTTTCCCCAAATTTGATTACAATGTACATTTTAATTACATTTTATTGAATAATTCATTATTTTCATAATTTGATAATTCATTATTTTTTTATTTCATAATTTATTTTTTTAATTTTTACCGGCCGGTTCCAGTTCTTACATGGCCACAAATCAGAACCGGCCAGTTCCGAACCGTGGCCATGTCTAGGTGAAGGCAACGGTGGCTGGGGATCCAACAGCTACCGACAGGTGTTTTGGGGGAGGTAGAGGCAGTGGAAAGTGCTAGAGAAAGAAAGAGAGAATGTGTCTTCGTTGTTCTTTTCTAAGAGAGAATGTAAAAAGCCATTGAAAATTGAAAAGACGGGGGAGAGTTTTAAGCATGAGTTTAAATGTGAGCAATGCTCAATCCTTTTTCAGTCTGCCGAGAAGAGAAAAAAGAAAGTCTCCGATTTTAGTTTTTTTTTATATTTTCCAGCCAATCCATGTCAAAGGACGCGTGTCGTCCTTTGAATAGAACTAACTAGGCTCACGTACACCACGTGAACCGATGATGTTATGGTTACTAATCACCGAATATATTTCTTCTTGTAGAGGCGTTGTTTAGTGGGCTAGTTGACCATCATCAACGCCACGGGATAATCAAACTCGCGTGGGCGTGTAGAATGGGGTCGCAAGAAATTGGCGTATACGTGGGGAGATGCTGAATGCGCTCAGTGTCGTGTCCAACGGGGGAATTGGATTCATTCAACCATGTTTTTGTCGTCTGAAGGTGTAGAAATTGTCATGCTTGGCTAGGACCGGCCATCCGGCCGTGCCTGGGCCGGCATATTGTGGCGCCGGGACGTGCGCATGGGATTTTCCCCTGTTTGGTCCACGTGTCTAGGCCCCACATTTTCTTAAAATAACTTTTACTTGTATAGAAGAAAAATTCAAAAACGTAAATAGAAAATTTGAATTTCATAAGTCGCAATATTGAATAAACATTGCAAGAAATGCGAACTTTTACTAATCGCAAACCAAGTCGCAACTTTTGATGTCAGCCGTCGATCGATTTCCAACACCGGGGCGGGGCCCACGACATCCTAGCTGTCCTCTCCTGATTCGCCCCAGTGATGTGGCACCATTGCGGATCCAACATTTACTCGTTACTTAAGAGCAAACATCGTCGCCTTCACAGAAACTCGCATCCAAATCTAAAAGCCTCCTCTCGAGTTCGATCCGATCGCATCCTCCCCTCCGATTCCGGTTGTTCGTCACTCATCACGGTGAGCAATCCCCGTCCTGCATTGCTCCGGATCGGAGCTTAAAATCCTTTCTCTTCCGGTCGCTAAGGTCGAAGGTCGATGGTGTTTAGGGTTTTTGATTTGGTTTGCGATTGATTTCGTTTTTGTGTTTCTTTGGGGCTGCGTGTTTGCAGGTTCTGTGATGATGGGGGAGAGGCGGATTCGTCTGCTGGCGGCGGCTCAGGCGTTGACGGTGTTGCTGATCAGCTTCCAGATCTGCGCCTCTGATGTGGTGGGTTCTTCGGGCGACCGTGCCGGACGGTTCATTTTGTTTCGTTTGACGTGTGAATTTCGGACGACGCGCGCGTCTATTTCGACGGAAGTTGATTTGTGTTTTGGGTGGTTGGCAGATCTTTTACGATTCGTTCGATGAGTCTTTTGAGGGACGATGGGTCGTGTCAGAGAAGGAAGATTACCAAGGTAACCAATTCTGTTTAGTGCTCGACCTTGCGCTGTTGCGCTTTTCAGTTTATATAGATATGCTTTCTTCCTTTTTTGAGGAGGAACGTAGTTATGCTCCCATGATAGTGACGTCCTATAATGGAAATGCTCCAGCAAAATGCCTAGTATATTGCCCTGTATATGCTTTCTGAAGTTCTGAGAGGATGCATTACTTGTTTGAGCTTTTCGCTCTTTATAGATAGAACTGTAGCGTAGGTCAATTGGTACGAATATGTGTCTTCTGAGTATCTAGCGTGTACAGTCGGGTTGCCCAAAACTCTGCTTTACATTGATTTCTCATTGAATGAATGATTTGAATAATGCAAATAGTGTATATCGAGTAATGTAAGATTTTGGAAAGATAATGGAAGATTTTGGTATGGAAAGGAAGCTCCTTTTCGTGTAGCGCATCTTGTGATCTTAATTAGTTTGATGTTTTCAAGCCATTGTTACAAATAACAATCGGCAATGGTATTAAGAATGGTTTAACATGGCATGAGCCATGGTGAAGTGTAGTGCCGGTACATGATCTTAGTCTTTGTAGTGAAGGTATTTGAATATTTGACAGATCAAAAGCATTGTGGTTCTCTGGTCAATGATCTATTTTCTGCGGCATAAAACTTACCAAGTTTTCAGTGTACCAATGTTTTCCTCTTACGGTCTTGAACAGTGTATGGAAATATTTTTTTGGAATTTGACTTTGAGATTGTTATGGTCAAATGAGCTGATGTGTTTGAAGCACATACGATAGCCATGGACACTTACATGGTCATTTAGACATTACAGAATACTCTGTGCTCTTGAGAATTTTATGTATCTGTTAAAGCCTTGTAGGGGCATTTTTGCTACTCATATGAAGCATGTCAAATAGCTATTACATAACTTTGAACTTAGTGTCTCTGTTTAATCTTGTATTTAGGTGTGTGGAAGCACTCCAAAAGTGAGGGACATGATGATTATGGCCTTCTCGTCAGTGAGAAGGCAAGGAAGTATGCGATTGTGAATGAGCTTGATGATGCCGTGAGTCTTAAGGACGGAACTGTAGTTCTACAGTATGAAGTCCGACTCCAGAACGGGCTTGAATGTGGCGGTTCATACTTGAAGTACCTCCGTCCACAGGATGCTGGGTGGAAAGTCAAGGAATTTAATAATGAGTCTCCATACACTATAATGTTTGGGCCGGATAAATGTGGTGCTACCAACAAGGTGCATTTCATTTTCAAGAACAAAAATCCCAAAACTGGGGAGTACGTGGAACACCATCTCAAGTACCCTCCATCTGTGCCCAATGACAAACTCTCTCATGTCTACACTGCTGTATTGAAGCCTGATAATGAGCTGAGGATTTTGATAGATGGTGAGGAGAAGAAGAAGGCAAATTTCCTCTCGGCTGAAGACTTCGAGCCGGCACTCATCCCACCTAAGACAATTCCCGACCCAGATGATAAGAAGCCAGAGGATTGGGATGAGCGAGCGAAGATCCCAGATCCTGATTCGGTGAAGCCAGATGATTGGGATGAGGATGCCCCGATGGAAATTGTAGATGAAGAGGCAGTGAAGCCCGAAGGTTGGTTGGATGACGAGCCCGAGGAGATTGATGATCCTGAAGCTACAAAGCCTGAGGATTGGGATGACGAGGAAGATGGTGAGTTTGAGGCTCCTAAAATTGACAACCCCAAGTGTGAGACAGCACCTGGTTGCGGTGAGTGGAAGAGGCCAATGAAAAGGAACCCTGCATATAAAGGGAAGTGGCATGCTCCTCTAATTGATAACCCGAACTACAAGGGCATCTGGAAACCTCAAGAGATCCCGAATCCTGACTACTTCGAGCTCGAGAGACCCAACTTTGAGCCAATAGCTGCAATTGGTATTGAGATTTGGACAATGCAAGATGGAATCTTGTTTGACAATATCTTGATCTCAAGTGATGAGAAGGTGGCAGAGTCATACAGGGAAACAGCATGGAAACCCAAGTTCGAAGTTGAAAAGGAGAAGCAAAAGGAAGAGGATAAAGCTACTGGTTCCGATGGACTCTCAGCCATTCAGGTAGGTTCCTTATTTCCTTCAGCATTTGAAAATTGGTTTTACTGATTAGTACCATAGTTTCTGATTTACGTCTTGAATGATGCTTCCAGAAAAAGGTTTTTGATGTCCTCTACAAGGTAGCAGATGTTCCTTTCTTGGAGCCATACAAACCTAAGATCTTGGTATGTAGGCAAGCTTGGACAATATTTTTATGGCCATCTTATATGGCTTAGCTTTGTATTTTGCTTAGTCAATTCCGTTAGGTTCGCTGAGTGAATCTTGTTTTCGCAGGAACTCATCGAGAAAGCTGAGGAACAGCCAAATATAGCAATTGGTGTACTCGGGTCTATTGTGGTTGTCATCCTGACCGTTTTCTTCAAAATTCTCTTTGGCGGCAAGAAACCGGCGGTATGTAGCTCAGTACTTGTTGTATACTGTTTCTAACAAACTATTGCAAACTTATCATGGACCAATTTATACTGCACGATTGAATGGTCTTCGATCTCATTCCTTGCCTGTGAATTTTGAAGGCCAATGTAGTGGAGACACGGACTGAAGCGGCTGCTGAGACTTCCGACAACCAAGGTAGCCGAGGGGACAAGGAAGATGAGGATGAGAAGGAAGATGAGGATGCTACTGCTGCCGCTGCTGCAGCACCTCGTAAGAGGTCTAACAGAAGGGAAACATAGAGTCAGCACGTCAATGTGGTTCGATGTCTGTCCTTCGTCTCTGAAAGGTTCCCACCGTTGTCATTGATTATTCAGGTCTCTAGGTTTTCTGAGATTGCTTATCGAGCTCTTTTTCAGGCCTCTTTGGTTATAGTTATGTAGGAGTTTGATAAAATTTTGACGAGAAACATTGAAAGTGTAACATTTCAGATTTAATTTTCCTTCATGTGGTTGTACTTTTTGCCGTGGCCTCCCGATTTCTCGTACTCCCGTATTATATGGGATGGGCATATCATTGGCGATCTTGAATGGTGGTTAGAAATGGCTCAGTTGCTAATTTCCACCACCACAGGACGGTGGCTTGCATATTTGGATTTCAGATCCCCCGGAAAGGTAACTTTTTCCTTTTTGGACGACAATAGGGTGTGTTGTTGGGAAATTTTCGCTTGTATTTGTCCCGTCTTTCATCTGTTATTATTATAATTGGATTTCAAGACATGGGTTGCTAGGTGAGTTTGGCTACCTTATAAGATATTAGACCTCAATCATGTGAAGCAATACCCTATTTTACGGATATCTAATTACAATTGTTGTGAGATTTTGACATGTAGATGATGTAACATGCGCGGGAAAAGTACAATTATATCGAAAGAGCATACGAGAAAAAGCCGATCGAACTTGTTTAGGTTCTCATGTGCTAATGTGAGAAATGAAACGGGCTCGAATTCACATTTTAAGTGCAACTCGTTGGGTTTGGTTTTGAGACGGTATCGGCCATCCTTCCTCTTTTAATCCCGTGGTGCTGGCCGAAACTCGTTCATACTACTGCATCCAGAGTCACAGTTCACGGGTCGCGTCTCAGTTTTAGATCATCTGGGATGTGTACTTGATCATCTGGAATGTGTATGCTGGTTGGTAGAAGACCATCAAAACTTGAAAACACCCTGCTTTAACGTTTCTTCTACGGACAATCAACTTTCCCTACTTCCGCGAGCAGCACATGTCGTGCTCACTGTGCCTCCTTAAAAGGAAGATATCCACCGCAAGCATAATAAAGCTCGTTGATAATATTGCAACCAGCTCGATGACGAAGTCAATGAGGTATCGCTCAAACATCTTTGCGGATGCATTAGACTACAAGTACTGGCCGAGATAACTGACCCTTACAAGAGCGTCATTTATTTGACTGTTCTGATCTTGTAACAAGAATGCCTTAGAAAATATAATGAAAATAGAAGCCGAAACAGTGCAATGAAGACTGTCACGCTTGGAATTTATCTCAACTTGCGGCCCCGAAAACATGACAGAAGAAAGGTTCCAATTTCAAGGGTTTCCCTCTCTTCTACAGAGCTGGCAAGAAGAAGCATTTCCCCAAAGATGATGTATGTCTTTGCCCCTGTGATTCTGGGAAGTGGAACTCTTGTTGTTTGCAAACTATTCCTCTTCTCGTCAGCAATTATGTGAACGCAAAAATCTTTCTATTTGAGATCACAACAAGAGCACAGCCCATCCCTAAAATGGTGAAACCGATGCAGATCTTTCACTATAACTTCTCGCTGTTCCAATTTGGAGATTGCTTTCAAAGCATCATGGCAGCTGTAGCAAACTCGGTGGTTCTTTGTCACACGGATAGTCGTCCCAGCTTGCTTGCTAATCAGACCAAATGAGACGGCCAGCATTTCACTATGTGCCATGGGACTGCACTCTCTCTCTTCATCCACGTCATGGAGGCTGAAATCTAAATCACGCAGTGGCCCCTTGTTTCGCATCTTCTCCATCAGTTGCTCTAGTTGCCAGTATATTTTCTCAGACCTCGGGTGAGAGACATCCCCAGTTCCGAATACATGGACTTTGTTTCGATGCTCTATCCAACTGTAAGCCTTTTGAGGTTTCAAACCCATGTCATTCATCATTCCTTTACATTTATCAACCATATCCCATTTTTCGTGGTGCGCAAACCAGTTTGACTGCAGCACGTAGTTATCAGCATTTAGAGGTTCCAATTCACAGAGCAGCTCAATAATGCGCTTGCCTAATTTTACTTCACGGTGAATCCTGCACCCGTCAAGCAGTGCTCTCAAAACATCTACATGCCGTTCAATCTGCCATTCCTCAATGAAGGCACTTGCCTCATTAAAGAGTCCAGCACGAGCTAGAAGAGAAACCATTAAAGTGTAGTGTGTGATATTACGATTCCTAATGCAGTTGAAGTAAAACTTCCCTTCCTCGACAGCGCAAGCAGTGACACAAGCATGGAGGACTGCACCATATGCTAATTGGTCAATTTGAAGGCCTGCATCTTCCTCCATTTTATGGAACAAACTAAGAGCTAGGTTTCCTTCTCCGTGTAGGCTATATCCTAAAATCGTCACAGTCCATGAAATAACATCTTTTCGATCAATTCCTTTAAAAATCTTGTGGGCATATTCGATATATCCGGCTTTCATGTACATGTCCATGACAGCATTCTGAACAGTAAGATTGAGTTTCATACCACTTCTGAGCAAGTGCCCGTGAATCTCTTTCCCGTGCTTACATGCTGTCATCCTTGCACAAGCTGGTAGTAAAGTAGAAATCGAAAGTGCATCCGGTTTTATTCCATCTTTATTCATATGCTGGAATAACTTCAGGCTCTCATGGAACCCTCCCTGCTTCACGTAACCATGGATAATGGTTGTCCATGAAATAACATCTCTAGAAGGCATTTGATCAAAGATTGCCCTAGCATCACTGATGCTCGCGCAATCAATGTACATTTGTAAGAGTGAGTTTCCAACTAAAACATCAGATTCCAGTCCACATCTTCTAGCAATCTCCTGAAGTTTTCTTCCTTCATGCAGCGACTTCAGCTGACCACAAGCGCCAATAGCAGTTGCTAATGCAACCGAATCAAATTTGACCGCCAAGTTCACCATCTCGCCGAACAGATCGAGAGCTGACCGCGGTTTGTTTTCTGTCAAGTACAATCTAGCTAGCACAGTCCACGAAACCGAGTCCTTACAAGTGGACTTATCGAACAATGATCTCGCAGCACCAACGCTATCAAGCCAGCCGTACATTTCGATCAAAGCAGTAGTGACATAGCGGTCGCCATATAATCCAAGCTTTAAAGCATGCCCATGAACCTGTTTGCCAAATAATATGTCACCGGCGAGACGAGAAGCAGTCAGAACGCGAGGCAGAGTGTGCTTGTCGGGACAAACGCCCCGAAACATCATCTGCTGATAAACGAGAATCGCATGACCTATGTCTCCACTGTTGACGGAGGTCTGAATGAGGTTGTTCCAAGCAAAAGTACTCGAGAGGGGCATTTCGTCGAACGCCTTGTGGGTCAATACAGTGCCCGCATGTTTAACCGCCACGGCCGCATCGCCTTGCACTTTACGCGCATTCTTGTAAAGGGCATTGCTCTGCGCCTGTGGTAGCACAGCGTGGAACAGAGTCTGAACGTGGGTCAGCGAAAGGACCTCCATTGGAGCTTCGTCGGCGTTCGCTTCCTGCGTTTGTTATCAGTCTACAAGCCTTAACATGAATCTACGTCGGACGAAGAGAATTCCGAGGAAAGATTGCGCGAATGTAGGTTTAGAGACGCCGTAACTATTACGAAACGAACGGATTTTCTTGGAAACATCGAAGGGTGGTTGGAAATATGATGTTGGATCGAGTCTCCACGGCCGTCCGGCGTCAGCACCATCAGCGAGTCTGCTTCGAGATGGTGCTGACGATGAGTTCTTGAATGGTAATATCTTTTTGGGGTCTTGGGAACGAACCGTAGAAATGATTACTTTGCTTAAAATGCTTTTTGGCACACTTTGGTAAATTAAATATCGGACATAAGGGAAAGTTCTTTAGTGCAAATTGTCAAAATTAGCATTTCCAATTCTCTACATTATATGTAGTTTTGAATTTCGACTCTATATATCTTGTGAATGCGATTGCATACTTATTAGTATATTACAATATACCATGTCACCGGAAAAATTATCAAAAAAGCTGTAAGCCTACTATATTTATGCAAAATAATTCTTAATTTTTTAATTTGTTCAATTTAATCCTAAACCTTTCAAAAATTGGCCAGCAATGTAGTCATTCCGACTTATTTTGGCTAGAATTTGCTGACACGAATAGTTTTTGCAATTTGTATTAATTTTTTTAGAATTTTTTAAATATTTTTTTCTTTTCCTTTTCATTCTTTCTCCGCTAGTCACTAGGCCTCGGTGATAGTTGGCGACTGGCCAAAGGCGACGATCAGCAAGGGTTGCCCTTGCCGGCCTTAGGTGAGGCCACCTTCCCTGGGATTGGGCGAGGGGCAACCTTGTTGATCGTGGCTTATGGCTGATTGCTGGCCATTGCCAAGGTCTAGTGACCAATGGAAGAAGAAGGAAAAATAAAGAAAAAAAATAAAAATTACAAAAATTATCTACATCAGCTTTGGTCGTATCACATAGGACGATTGATGGCTACGTCGGCGATTTCTAGCCAAAATTAGTTGGATGGACTACATTGGCAAAATGTCAAAAGATTAAGGATTCAATATGTCAAATTGAAAGGTTTATGACTGAATTGACACAAATGGAATAGATTTATGATTTTTTGATGATTCTCCTCCATGTCGCTTGAATGACGCGATGCTCAATACTTACCAAATTTTTTCTCAGAATATAGCAAATAAATCAACTGGTTCTATGCTTTCATTTAAATAGATCGACTTATTTCATGCAATTATGATTTGGGTAAAAATTCAATGGAATGTTGAAGTAAATGGGACCGATCATTTAGTGATCAAAGTCAATTAACCATCTAACGAGATCTTCCAAAATGAAATTTAATTGGAGGACTTAAAAGTTATCATCAAATACTAAGAGGACATTGAGCGCCGTTCCCCTTCATCGCGGGCTCTGTTGGGCTCAACTCCATTCATCACGGCCCAATACACCTTCCCAGGCCCACCTCGGGCAGGGCCCAAAGGATCCCACCTATAAAATTGGCTCGTCAACAACCTCTAGGGTTTCTCTCAGTCTCTGCGAAGCTAGCCAGCGAGCGAGAGAGAGAGAGAGAGGGAGGCGACAACTAGCTTAGCTGAGAAAATGCCGGCGGGTCATGGAGTGAGGGCGAGGACGAGGGACTCCTTCTCTCGGCCCTTCAGGAAGAAGGGGTACATCCCGCTGACGACGTACCTCCGGACGTACAAGATCGGCGACTACGTCGACGTCAAGGTGAACGGCGCCGTCCACAAGGGCATGCCCCACAAGTTCTACCACGGCCGCACCGGACGCATCTGGAACGTCACCAAGCACGCCATCGGCGTCGAGGTCAACAAGCAGGTGCTCCCTCCCCTTCTTCGCCTCCGCCCTTCCTCTGTTCTCTCATTTATCCGTGTGATTTTGATTCCTCCTTATCTGTCTGGTTGGTGTTGATGTGGCCGTGTGTCGGTTGTTGAAACGTTGGTTGTGTGTTGCATCAATCGTTTTTTTTTTTTGGGCTATGTGTTTTCTGGTCTGTGTTCGCTGTGATGATGTGGGTCTAGGTGATTTTTGGTCTTGGAGGGCTGGAGCTTATTGAGCGTAGAGCTAGGTTTGTCATCGCCGTGTAAAGTGAACTTTGGTTGATGAATAAGGTGATTCTGCGAGGTTCATGCTATATACTGTTTGATATGCATCTTGGGCGAAGCAGCATAACGGGTGAAGTATGTGTTTAGGACACAGATTACCTGTTTTCTAGAAATGATAGTATATTGTTCAGCCTGGAAAAAAAATTGCGAGTGAAGGGAATGCGTGAAAGGACCACCATCATGCTGAAGTGCGTGTTTTGGACTACTTTGGAGCTTGGGTTTTGCTTTGAACTGCTGAGTTTGCGTGTTCTCCGGGAACTTACTTTGGGTTAACAATGCTATTTGTATTCATTCTGCTTTAAGCATGGACTAAACTATCCTCTTGCGTAGCTGAGGCTGAGTGTCTCAGGGACCTTAAGGAAAAGATATTAGATAACTCTACTAGATGACATTGCCTCTCTGGGATGATAGTGTCCATGATTTTAGTGCCCTAAACATAGTTTTGACATGAATGTGTCCACGTCGGCAAGACTGCCCTTTGTTTTAGTGGTTGTTGTAGTTAAGATTCTCTTTCTTATTACCGCTGGGTTGAAGGGAAGCTTTTGCTATAGGTGATAAGAGGATGACTTACTTGTTCTCCTGTCCTAGCTCTAAGGGCTGTATGTTTTGTAATATGTGAGGATGACTTACTTATTCTGAGACACTTGTGCAGGTAGGGAACCGAATTATCAGGAAGAGGATCCATGTGAGGATCGAGCATGTTCAGCCCTCGAGGTGTCAGGAGGAGTTTAAGCAGAGGAAGGTCCGCAACGATGAGTTGAAGGCGGCGGCGAAGGCACGCGGGGAGAAGATCAGCACGAAAAGACAGCCTAAGGGGCCCAAACCCGGCTTCATGGTTGAGGGCGCGACCATGGAGACTGTCACTCCTATTCCGTATGATGTCGTCAACGACTTGAAGGGTGGTTACTAGTTCAAGTGGCCCTCGGATGTTTTCAGGAGTCTTATCTTCAGCTCAGTGTTTTGTTACATTATCTTCTTTCCTATCTTGAACTGCGGATGAGCAATTGTGTTGGGTCATAGACTTATAAGTCGAATCAGTTTTGTTTTTTACTTTTTGACTCATCTGGAATGAACCTCAGTTACTGTTTAAGCGTGGTGCTTCATCCGGTCATTTTACGCGTTGATCAGAGTCCACATTTCCTCTGCGCGAGCAGCATATGAATGTGAGCAATTTGTGATGAAAGATTTAGAAGGGGTGATCACTTGTTTTCGTGGGCTTCCCAGCTCAGTCCAAGATCTGTCCGACACTTTCTTGTATTTTCTTTTACTCTCTAGGGAAAATTTCAAATAGAGGCTTAAAGTGAAATTTCAAAGTGAGGATTGTGTCAAATAAGGACCGTAAGTGGTCAATTTAGTCTCCAATAGGTGCTTGATTTCACCGGCTGGCCAAATTTTTTTTTTCTCCTCTTGGTTTTTCTTTCATCTTTCTCACGCATCCTCCTTCGTTATAGCTCTCCTCTCCCACCAGTTCTCGCGATGAACCCAAATTGAAGTTATTTGCTGCCGGTTGCCTAGCTCTCCCACCAGTTCTCGCGATGAACCCAAATTGAAGTTATTTGCTGCCAGTCGCCTTCTTCGATGAGGAAATCCTCAGTTTCTTAGGACCAGATCTCGACTAGCTTGTGCTTGATTTAGAGCTCCAATCCTCACAAAATTGTTTTCATTTGGAAAAGGACTAGCACAATATAGAATTTATTTTCTCATCTAATGTTTTTTTGGTCGGATATTTTCTCATCTAATTGAAAAATTAAAATTTTGGAGTATAATAACTTCCAAAAATATGAGATTTTCCTTTTAATTTATAAGATAAGGTCCTAAAATAACCATGAGAAAGCCACCAGTAAAATCGGCACCCCGTCCATGACATGGTTAAGTTGTACCATACGTGTGGTCAACTGACCCAAGCCTGGTTAACTTAGGGTTTCAGGGCCACCCTCGCGTATTCAGCATTTATAAATTGGCGGCGTCCGTCGCTGTGGTCCTGGATCGCCGCCCTTTACGCCCATCTCAGCCGCGCACGGAGCAGGTAACGGGGACAGACTCTTTCGTTTCCGATGCGATTCGCTTCTGTTGCTTCGATAGGATATCGTCAAGCGCTGTTTCTGCACGGTATCGTGTGCTCGATCAATGTGAAATGCCGATTGTAGCGCGGGTGGTTGCATTTTTCCTTGCCTCCCGTTCGCTGCCTGCGTGTCTCTGTACTGAATATCCAGCTAGTAGAACGCCAAGCCGAGCGTAGGATAAGTTTAAGTGCTGCTCCGTGCTTGGGAACGTAGGGATTGCATCTGTTTTCGTGGTGATTATTACTATGATGCTCGCCGGTGAGAAGGTGGTAGGATCGTTGTAGATTCGCGCATGTGCTTCGGGAGTTGATTTTAACTGCATTGTCATTGTTGTATTATTGTTTGGCCTCTGCTTTATTATTATTATTATTATTATTTGGTTTCACGAAGAGAACTTTTGTCTTGCGAAAAATTGCATCCTGATTGAAACCCGGCGATACGCTCCTGGCCTTAACTGGCCGGGTTGTGCCTCCGGTGCTCTTACTTTGAAGAAATAAGAGTGTTCAAAGCAAGCTTACGGACTGTATGCATTAGCATGTGATAACATCATACGATTCCGGTCCTATTGTGTTAGTCTTCGGGATTGGAGTAATGATTAACGGGGACAGTTGGGGGCGTTCGTATTTCATAGTCAGAGGTGAAATTCTTGGATATATAAAAGACGAGCAACTATGAAAGCATTTGCCAAGATGTGTGATTTGCGTGTGTGAGATTATCTTTTTTGGTCTGCGGATCAAGCTTGATCAGCAGATTCGCTTGATCTTCTCGTAGCTCCTGATGATTGGATTGTTACATAAATAAAGTTTCAGCCTTGTCTGAGCATAAATGCTGAAGAACTGTGTTCTGAGGGAGCTTCGATGTTGACTAATTTATCATTTTTCGATTCCATTTTTTCCTCATGGCGTCCCCGAAAGAATTTTGTAATATGTACTGTTCTCGTATCGTTTTGCATCTGCAATGACTATATCTTTAAAAGATATTTGTTTTTATGTTTTGTAATATTGTGTTTTGGGTGCTTAGGAGACACCATGGGTCAAAGGCCTGCAAGATGCTACAGGCAAATCAAGAACAAGCCGCACCCAAAGTTTTTTTCACGAAGCTAACTTTTGTCTTTCGAAAAAATGCATCCTGATTAAAACCGATGTGTGATTTGCGTGTGTGAGATTTATCTTTTTTGGTCTGCGGATCAAGCTTGGTCAGCAGATTTGCTTGATTTTCTTGTAGCTCCCGATGATTGGATTGTTACATAAATAAAGTTTCAGCCTTGTCTGAGCATAAATGCTGAAAGACTGTGTTCTGAGGGAGCTTCGAGCTTGACTAATTTATCATTTTTCGATTGCATTTTTCCTCATGTCGTGAATCCCCTAAGGAATTTTGAAAAATATGTACTATACTCATATCGTTTGGCATCTGCAATGACTATATCTTTAAAGTTATTTGTTTTTATGTTTTGTAATATTGTGTTTTGGGTGCTTAGGAGAAACCATGGGTCGAAGGCCTGCAAGATGCTACAGGCAAATCAAGAACAAGCCGTACCCAAAGTCAAGGTACTGCAGAGGTGTCCCTGATCCCAAGATCAGGATCTACGATGTGGGCATGAAGAAGAAAGGGGTCGACGAGTTCCCGTTCTGCGTCCACCTCGTATCCTGGGAGAAGGAGAATGTGTCCAGCGAGGCCCTTGAGGCTGCCCGCATTGCCTGCAACAAGTACATGGCCAAGTTTGCAGGAAAGGATGCCTTCCACCTAAGGGTCCGGGTCCATCCCTTCCATGTCCTCCGCATCAACAAGATGCTTTCGTGTGCTGGGGCTGATAGGCTCCAGACAGGGATGAGAGGCGCCTTTGGCAAGCCTCAGGGGACCTGCGCTAGGGTTAGCATCGGCCAGGTGCTCCTCTCCGTACGATGCAAGGACGCGAATGGGAACCACGCACAGGAGGCTCTTAGGAGGGCCAAGTTCAAGTTCCCGGGAAGGCAGAAGATTATCGTGAGCCGCAAATGGGGATTCACCAAGTTCAGCCGAGCGGACTACCTTAGGTGGAAGCAGGAGAACCGGATCGTTCCCGATGGAGTTAATGCGAAGCTGCTGGGGTGCCATGGCCCTCTAGCTAATAGGCAGCCCGGGAGGGCTTTTATCTCAGCAGTGAATTGAAATCTGCAGCCTAAGCTTTTGTTATGGAAGCAATTTTTCCAAAGTGGATTTTGTTTTGAGACTTTGATTTTTGCTAGTTGGTAATTGTTTCCATGTGCTGGTCTGGGAATTTTGCTTTGAGTTTCGAAGTGAGGTTTATACTGAGGTAATTTGATTATGCTTTAGACTTAGACAACAGCGGCAGTCGGATCATTGGTTCCTTGATTATGCTTTTATACTCTGCTGTTTGACGTTATTTGTTATAGAAAGTTAGTGAATAACAGTGAAATAGCATTGAAAGCGCTACGTCAAACGCGGCCTTAAACGGGTGCTACTTCTGGTGCCCGCTCTATGTTTGAAATTTTGTTCTTTCGGAGATACTTGAAAGTTCATACGACAATTAGATCCAGTTCGAAGGTCATGCTTTTATTTATTTATTTATTTATTTGGGAATTTGGCTAAAGGGTTTTCAAGGAATGCACGCCCTATTTGTATGAAGGACTTTAGGCTTTTCCTTATAAAAACAATGACCCTCGACAACTCGCAAAGTCGGAAGTTTTGGCGACGACCGATGCCGAGGTCGCGCAACCTTATGCGAGTCAAATTTGTAAAATTGACCAGCGAGTAGCAAGTCAAATCTGTAAAATTGATCAGCGAGTGCCGCCAAGACCGCGCGACCCTTTGAAATCTCGGCGAATGTCGGTGGAGCAATGAGAACAGCCATAGAGAGAGACAACGAATGGTGCCAACATTCGGGGGTAAAGAGGAATACGGAATACGAAGAATCAGCGAAATGCTGGTCTGGTCTGTAATGGCCTTGAGAAAAAGGCGTTTAGTAATGTATCGCGCTTATCAAATGGGCTTTACAAATGTATTTGCATTTCGTGAAAGGCCGGTGCGGGCCCTTGTCAATGACTTTGCTAAACGCTCCCATGGTAGACTTGCTCTTGCTCACATGATTACAGTGAAATGGGCGGCAAGGTTCGAAGTACCTTTTTGTTATTTGGAAGTTTCGGTACTTAAATAAAACCCTTCTTTGATATGTAGAAAACCAAGTAGCGTTAAGTGAGTACGTGAGATTTGCAGAATAAAATTAATGACCATGAAATATAATAAATGGGGGTAACTTTGTAATTCTTCCAAAAAATAAGTCCAGGATGGGATGATGATTTCATACATGAGATTAGAGAAAATGACATGAACAGTCCAAGAATTTTGGTCTAATGTGCAATGTCGTCCATGAACTTTTAATTTGTTTAACATAATCTATGAATTTTGATCTAACGTGCAATATGATTATTAAACTTTTAATTTGTTCAATATGGTCTTTGAATATTTATCAACAGCTCATGGGCCATATTGAACAATTTAAAAGTCTAGAGATGACATTGCATACTAGTCCAAAGTTCAGAGATCTCATTACACAAATTAAAAGTCTAAAGACGACACTGAAAATTAAACTAAAGTTCATGCGCCATTTGCGCTATTGTGCCGAATAAAATGTAATGGGCACCAAAAATAAATAAATAAATATATAAACAAATAAATAAAGACTAAAGCCAAGTCATCGCGCGTGTGTATGTATATATATATATATAAAGACTAAAGCCAAGTCATCGAGACTTCTGTTTTTTTTTGGGTCGACAAGCCATCGAGACATGGAGAGCCGCTTGATCCGCGATGGAAGGTTCTCGTCAATTCCCCCCTCCTCCCCTCCGTCGGACTCCAATAATTCCAGACGACGAGGCTCTCCCTTCCCTTCCCCCTCAAAACAAATTTGCCCAACCACCACGGCACCACTGAGAATCTCCGCCGCTGCGAATTCCTCCTCCTCCCATTCGCGAGCTTGAGAGACAGGACGGCAGATTGAGCCCTCCTCGCAATCACCGCCTCCGGAAATCAAAGAAGGTCGCATGGCGCGGTTTGCCCTGCGGCGGCGGCTGCTGCCGCTGCCGCTGCTGGTGGTGGTGGTCGCGGCGGTGGCGGCGCCGGTGCTTGCGGAGCGCGTGAACAGGTCGGCCTCCGCGGGGCTGTTCTGGTCCACCGCGAAGGAGGAGGCCGATCTGGTCAGGATGGCCGATCCTCAAGAGGACCCGACGGCTCAGGCTGTTAATGAGCAGGACGGCCTCGACGGAGGGTTTTCTTCCCTCGATGGAATGTTACAGTGGGCGATAGGTAAGGCCTATATGCCACTGGGAATTCGTTTAATTAGCAACAAGGTCCGTTGATATTCACGAAGTATAACTCGTTGCAGAAGGTGTTTGTCTTCCGATTGTTAAGCTGGTGTTGAGGTAAATGATGATTTGAATGCTGGGAGCTTGACTAAGTTGTTGGAATCGTCTATGGTTAACCAGGTCACTCCGATCCTGAAAAATTGAAGGAAAGAGCGCAAGACGTTCAGCGTATGTCCGCCAGCGACCTCAAGAAGCGTCAGATGGAACTGAAGGTTGTGTTATATCCATATCACTTTGTCATATCGTCGAATCTCTTAGAGAAAGGAACTAGTGGATCTTAATCTTATATGGGCTGGTAAAATAAATTTGAAAGTGTTCTAGTTCAGTTGCTATTTGTTACCGCAAGTCGCTGCAGTTTATCATGTCAGTCAGAGTTTAGAATGGAGTTGTATAATTACACGACCGCATAATTTTGTCCGTAACATCTTGAGATTGATTGGTGGAGTTTGATTTGTACTTATACACATATCATCGTAAGTTGTCTTGTTGATATAGCTGTGCTTTTTCTGGTGGCTCTGTCTGCCCATTAGCTGTTCCTTCTTATGCCCTTGATAAAACGACGTTCCACATTACTTTGTACTTTGGTTTAGACTTTTGGAGGAACTGCCCTCTTTTAAGGCAAATCACTTTTATTTCCTTTAAATGATCTCTTGCTATTTACTAATACCTTGCTAGAGTTCTTCCATTGTGGGGTCAGGAGAGTCTTTGCACCTTTGTCTTTTGTTTTCTTACCATGCTAAAGGAGCTTAAGAAATTTTGACACAAAGTGGTACTCCTTAGTGAATGTACATAACGATCTATACCTCGTAAATTGGAATGCAATTCGCCAGTTCATTGAAATTATCAAGTTAGGATTTCTTGTTCCTTTGTTTCCCATTGCATTTACATGCATGATTTGGTCATTTGACATTTTAATGGATCTCTTAGGAACTCATGGAGAAACTAAAAATGCCATCAGACGCTCAATTGATGCAAATTGCTATAGACGATTTGAAGAATTCCTCCTTATCTTTGGAAGACCGCCATCGTGCTTTGCATGAGCTCTTGATACTTGTTGAGCCAATTGATAATGCAAATGGTATGTTGTTGTTGGTTCTTGCCTCCCTTGTTCTAGTCATTCTGGTTAATTGACTCTCCATGCTTTGTGTTCTCGTGCATAGTCTCTTCTACCTGCTTTAGAGCAAATGATGCTGACAAAATCTCACGTTTAAGAAAGCACAAAGAAGTGACTCTCTTGTATATGAGCAGGCGGGGGAGAAAGAAGAATCCGGGTTTTTTTAATACCTTGGGATGCCTATTTCATCAAACTAACAGTTTTTGAGCAATCTTCTGTTGAAAATTAAATTTTATTCTAACATATCCCTGACCTTGGGCTCCGGTGAAGGGTAAGCTTTTTTTTTTTTAATAAGAAAAAATTCCAAAGCCCTTTGGAAAATAAGATTTGCCAAACACTACTTGGGCCAAAGTAGCTTCACAATGCATTTTTTACCAAATGCAATTTGCATTTCCCCAAGGGGCTTTAAGTTAAAGGTATTTGCATTCCCCCAAAGCCCCTTGGGAACGCTGAACCAAGTGCACCCTTTATGCTGTTTATGTAATTAGGTCAGATTGCTGACTTTACCTTATGCCCCTCACAAACTCAAATTTCCTGCTCTTCCGGCGGTCCCCTTTTTCTGGCCTTGTTTCTCCAAAAACTTGAGAGATCTCTCATACCTTCCTTTTGATCAGTTTCACATTCTGTGGCATGTGAAGCTGTTCTCACCATATTCTATTCCTGAGCTTACTACATTAAGTTTTCATCCATCAGAGTTGGCTATGGAAGTTTCTAAACTCTTATAAAGGTTTGGAACTCCTAATAGCGGTACAAAATATTCTGGAACTTCAAGGAATTCCATCTTTCGTGTTTGAGCCAATCTCAGAATTGAGAAATGACAGGTATTTAAATTTGAATATCCGATGACCACCACTGGAGTTTTGAGAAAATTAAAAGTAAACCAGAGAACTGCACCGAGCTAGAATCACTGGGCTTTATTTGCTGTGAACAGTTTTTGTGGAGTGAATATGTAAATGGTTTTTTGTGAGTTATTGGTTTTTGACTAGAGGGATTCCTTTGGTTCTCACGCTTGTAAAACTGCCACCTAAGACCATATTGGGCAAGTTGCTGGCTCATAAAGTGAGAACCTTACTTCTGAGTTGTGACTGCATCGGATGGGGTTCTGTTTTCGAGAACATCAGCAGAAATACCTCTGCAAACACATGATGAAGTTCGTGGACTGATGAAAATTGAGGATACACATTATATTTCTTGTTGTTGTGGTTGTTTCCTCAACCTTTCTTTTCTTTCCTGCTCTGAAATCTGGCATATCTTGTTTTTCTTGCTCTTTACATGACGACATGGTTCCTCTCATTGATGTTAGATTTGCCTAAAATTGGGGGGCTTGCTGTGGTTATAAGAGAGCTTGACCATCCTGATCCAGACGTAAGGAAACTTTCTGCATGGGTTCTAGGGAAAGCCAGTCAGAATAATCCGCTCATCCAAAGGCAGGTATGTTTTCCTTCCATAACTCTGTAACTTGGGTTTTGCATACCACGTTGCATTTGGTCATCAAGCTAACTGAGACATTTTCTTTTCTCAGGTCTTGGAATTGGGGGCACTAGCGAAGCTGATGATGATGGTAAAATCTGAGTTTGTGGAAGAAGCCATTAAAGCATTTTATGCTGTTTCTGCTTTGATTCGAAATAATTTAGCTGGTCAGCAGTTATTTTATGCACAAGCAGGCGATTTAATGCTGCAGGTAATGCCGTCACATAAGGTTAGACATTTTTGCTTAAGAGAGTGGCTCGACACTCATGGATTTCTGTATCTTTAGGACATTTTGAGCAACTCAAGCATTGATATTAGACTGCGGAGAAAGGCTGTGTTTCTTGTCGGTGACCTGGCAGAGCGCCAATTAGAAGCTTTGAATGAAGATGAGCTACCTTTCTTCAGGAACGAAATATTCTTGAAGGCCGTGGTTGATCTGTTGGCATCGACTGACCTTGATCTCCAGGAAAAGGTACTTGTCTGATTACATCCATGTTCTCACTGCTCTGCTAGTTTTTGCATCATATCTGATTCAGTAACTTCTATGAACATCTCCCCATGGGAAAGCAGACTGGTGCAAAAAGCAAATTGTTCTGCATTCCGAGTATGGAAGCCTGATAATTTAATTTAAGACTCGTGTTGAGTAAAACCGTGTCGCCGCTTGAATGTGTGACTTCAGGCACTTACTGCAGTCAAGAATCTGCTACATCTAAGATCTACCCAAGCTCTAATTTTCAAGGAGTTCTGTGGTCTGGACGCGGCATTGGAGCGGATGCGGCAGCAACTACAGGATTTGATGGCTGAAGAATTTCAGAGAGATTATGCGACGGATGTAGAAAGTCTTCGCAGAGAAGTGGAGTTAATTTATCAGTGGAAGCTGGGAAAGGTTGGAAAACCTCCGTTGTTCTCGGAAAAGAATACTTTTGTGCGTTTTCTTTCCTTGTAGTGTCTTAAGTTTGGCACACCGATTGTCTTCTGCAGGTGATGCAGGTTCCGACTTGATACCACTAAGTCGCCAGCATGCAATGGTCAAGTTGTCAAGATGTATCACAAGTCACTGTCGACCAAGAGGAGGAAGTCTGTGGATCAGCTGATATTGAGAGAAAGGATTCCTTTCTCCTTGAAAATTCTTTTAAAAAATTTATCTATCTGATTGATGATTCACAGTGATGATTTGTTGGGTAATTAGGACGTCGGTTCGATTTCCTCGGTCCAAATAGCTGCTTCTGCTCGCATCCCTATAGGCTTATACTTGGTAACAATTGGCGCGATAAAGATTGGCAGAGTCATTGTTTCTGTTTTTCATCACGTAGGTAGGAAGGAAATGCAAGCTTAAAGCTAATATGGCGTGCTTGCAGAATCTTTTTGCGATTTTAAGCACGAACCTGTGAGATTGTCCTCGTATAAATCTTAATTTCGCTCTCTTGTATATCGATACACTAATACTAATCTCCAAATTTCATACCAAGGGTCTTGTTTTGGCCAAAACCTTATGACGCAAATCCATAGAAGCACAGCTGCCGTTCTTTTTGGGAAGAACGAAATGCCAAGGAATGCAGCCCCCTATGTCATCAGGAGCGGCGTCTACGTATTGCCGATCTGCAACTAATAGAGTTAATCCAAGCACACTGTTTTGAAAAAGGTGTAACCTTGGCGACTTCTACTCGGCGATTGTCTTCGATCGTCAGTCAAAACATACGAAGCTCGTGGTAAGACTCATTACGTGCTAATTGGGGACAAAGGAGGGGAAAACACGGAGAGCAGGTAAATTGCCAATTATGTCGCCTTAAAAAATTGTTCAATGGCGATTTTGACTCCGGGAAGGCTTGAAGAAAAAGAAAAAAAGAGAAACCCCAGAGACAAGTGGAATGCGGAAAATTCCGGGAAAAAGAAAAAATCAGACGCGAGGCGATGACGCAGCAATCCCCGATTCAAACCGACGAATAATATTAACTATTAAAGCGGTCACTCGATCTACCGAGTCTTTTGGGCTCGCGTTTCAACTCGATCCCAAAAGCTCACTTCGATCGGCCGGACCAGGTCAGTCCGCCGCCCTCCCTCCCTCCCTCCCTCCCTCCGTTTCCTAAAGCACGAAGCAGAAGAGGAACGAAAGAGGGTTTTTGGGAAACCACCACCGGCCTCCCAATCTCAAACCCTCCCTCCGCCATCGACCGATTCTTCCCCAAAATGGCGTTGCAGAGCAATAACTGCTTCGCTCTCCTCCTCTCAAAACCTTCCTCCCCCTCCCCCCGCAATGACCGCCCCGCCCTCTCCGCCTCCGCCGCCGCCTCCGCCGCCGGGTTCCTGAGAAGATCGCCGCCGCCGCCGCCTCGGCCTCGTGTCCTCCGCCTGGCGTGCGCGAGCGTCTGGGGCGACGCCGCGAGCAGCAGCAGCAGCAACATGAAGAAAGGATCGGTGCCGAATTCCAACTACGTCGTCCCCCTGGACCGGTCGTTCTCGTCCTCCTACACCTCCTTCATCACCCGCCCGCTCGTGGAGATACTCCGCGACCTCAACAAGAGGATCCCCGACGACGTCGTCAAGCCTCGGCCCTCGCACGATCACGCCTCCTCCCCCAACTCCATTCCCTGGTCGGTCGTCGTCCTCCTCCTCCTCTCGGGATCTCTCGGAGCCTTCCGATTTTCTTTCCTTTTTGGAAATGATTTCTGTTGTTCGATCTGATCTGATGGTGCTTGTTTGATGTTTGTTGTTCTTAGGTACCATGCTAATCGGATGATGAGCTTCTATGCCCCTGGTTTGTGACTTTCCTCCTCTCATTCTTAGCCATCACACTCTCGGTGAAGATCGTTGTTCTTTTCTTTTGAAGCTTTATTTGATGCATCACGTCTTTGTTAACGTTGTCTATCTAGTGAGATGCAATTCTTTGTTCTCGCGTAATTCAATTATCATTGTCTTGTCACCTGAAATGTTCATGGCTTGTATTCTGCTGGTATTTGTGTTTGTTGCGTCCTTGCGAATGTGGTTGTTTGTACTGCAGTGCTTCCCAACTTCTTCAATTCCTTATTGCTAAGTGTCTCTATGGTTCGATATCTGGCGTCTTGTGCCACGAAATTCCCATTTGACGTGTTTCTCAATTTTGTTGTTTCTTGATGACGACCATGTATTAGAACAATTGCCTTTCTGCTCTAATGTTTTGTTACTTGATGCTCATATAAGTATCAATTTCCAGTTTCTTGGTGAAGTCAAAGCAAGCTGCTTATGTTTAATTCGGCTGTGTTGTGAATTTCCGTAGCGTGACTTGCATCATGATATTTTACTGATATTCCTAGCAGTGCTCTCTGCTCTTGACTGCTGTCTCCCAGTTAAGATTGTGACTGATCTAACCTTTGTTTTGAGTTCTTCTTGAATAATACTCATTTTGGCGTGAGCTGTCTTATCATCCATTTCTTTGACCTGACCCATCTCTCATTTTCCTCCTTCACATTAGCATGTATTTATTTGCGAATTGTGTGCAAAAGTAGAACCTCCCTTGCTCTTTCTGCAATTAACTTATAGAATGACTCCCAAAGTCTTACTGGAAACTTTGGGGGCTCGTTTAAGCACGTGTCATGTCAAATCAATAGCTCATATGTAAGCCTTTTGCTATCAAACTCTTTAATGTTCTGTATGGTATGGAGATGCTAACAGCAATTACACAGGGTGGTGCGGAGAAATACGTGATGTTATATATTCTGACAGCGGAAGTGTGACTGTGGTATACCGTGTTACCATAAGAGGATCTGATGGAGAGGTGAGGCTCTTATTTCATCCTTCATGATCCTTCTTTCATCAAAATTAAACTATTGGGTTTCTATGACATTATAGAGGAATATTATTCTTAAAGGTGGTCTAGGATTAGAATCTTCCATGACGTAATGTCCCGTGAAACCATTGTGGCCTTCTTGTAAGGTTGCGCTTGGCATGTGTAATGAAAATGAAAGCTCTTGCAAGAGTTGGCTGTTTGAATGTTCCTCGCTTCAACCTTTCTGGTGCCGAATTTTTTCTTTCCTGACCAGATTTCATTGCCCTTATGTTCCTGGATACATAGATCTCAGTTATCCAAGGAACTTAAATGCAATTTATCTTTGCATGAGCGTCATGGATGGTGACAGATGATATCAACCATGCAAGTGGATACTAATGGTAAAGTACAATATGATGTATGCTAGGTTATCTGGGTCTTCACCTATGTAATATTGTTTGGTCAAGCCGGAGGAAAAGTTGCTTTTAGGCCATTCCTTTAAATCCTGGCTACAGTTCAACAGTTCCTTATTGAACTTTACATTGGCAATTTCGGCATCAGTATACCAATGTAAAAAATGCTTGGACATATTAACTGGGGAAAACAATTTGCAAACATTTCAGAATAATTGCTTTTAGGACATTCCTTCAATTCCCATATCGATTTTCAATAATTCCTTACTGAGTTTTTCATCGGCAATCTGGGCATCAGTTTTACCAGTGTACAAGGCTTGGAAATATCGAGGGCTGAAAACAATACTTGAATATGGAAAACTACGCAAGGAAGAAACCTGTACACAAGATATAAGACTGGTGTTGATAATAATGGTTGATTTTTTTTAGGGGGGGAAGAGAGAGTAGTAATTTGTGCGGTTACTTTTTGTATTTTCGCATAATACGTGTGAACTCTTATGACCGCTGTGGTTTTCAATCATCTACAATCAATGCGCAGTAATGAATGGTTTGTCTAGTTTATTAACGGAAACTTTGGACAGAAAAGGTTTATCTTTTCAGGTTGAAGATCCCATGTGTAATATTCTTGATAATCTTGGTTTTTGTTCAGACAACTGCATGCCTGTCCGTGATAATCCTGCTGTGTTATCTTTAACCTGCAAACCTTGCATGCTGATGCAGGCATATCGAGAGTCAACTGGGACGGTTTCATGCAGCCATGGTGAAATTGCAGACCCAGTGGCGGCAGCAGAGGAAATAGCTTTCTGTAGAGCATGTGCTCGGTTTGGCTTAGGCCTGTATCTGTATCATGAAGAGTAGATGCCGTTCTCTTTGAGGGCATTAACTTTGTTCGTTTCGTTCAGGAATTGGCTGTAGTTTGTCAAACTCCACGAATATGTGTACATAAAAAGTAGACGAGATGTGGTCATCTATCATATTCACAGACAGAATAGGATTGTGAATATCAAGGCATAGTTTTTTAAATTGAATGGAAATTTCTCATGGATTTAGCACATAAAGTTTGCGACTTAGAATTAGTTTGTGATCTTCATTACTTGTGATGCTGGGACCTCCTTTTTCCTGTCGTCAACGTGTGATGGATCAATAGGATCCTAAAATGCCGACATTCCCTAATCTTGGTTGTACTGCCATTCCCTAATCTTGGTTGTACTGCCTCGCAGTTCTCTTTTAGTCCCCAGAAATTAACTTAGCCTTGTGTTGAGCTTTCTACCGGAAGAATTAGTCATCTTTGAAATCAAGTTGGGCTAATATCGTCGGTATTTAGCATTTGGCATCATATGATTGCGGTCCTATTTCCCTTTTCCATGCTAGGAGTCTGTGTCTTTGCCATTGCTTAGTACAAACTTACGATCATCGTTGCCATTTTCCTTCAAGCTTTAGGGAATACCCTATGCTGCTCACTCCAATCGACGGAAGACAAGCTTCCGAACACGTTTATTATACCATTAAGGGCACCTATGTATTGATAATTTCCACAAGGCACACTCGGCTGAGCAGTTCTTTCAAATGCCGAGAAAACTATCCCTGCAAGGGTAATCCTAGATTTTCCACTGGCACATGTTAGGTCGTCTTTAGAACGTGAGATCTTTGCTTGAAAATACAAGAGGAAACACAGTAAAATATCATTACAATATGCACCAGATGGTCCACTTAAATCCTTTACACAAATCTTTCATCAGATAGCATCAACAAGACATTTTTTCCCTCAGTGAAACATGATGCTTCAAACATCATTTGTCTACACGTTCCCACATATTTCTTCTGTTGAAACACGTGCTCTCTTGTTGACACCCAGAAAATTATCCCTATACAGAACATAGGACCCCAGGAGGGCTGAAAAGAGGGGGGCTCGATCCAACACATTTACAATAGTTTCTGCATAATTCAACAAGCACTGCAAACTGCTTTCCCCTTCTAGATTCTTGACACGACCTTCCCACCAGAAAGTGTCCCGAACCCTTCCATTATTAAGGCCTCAAAAGTTTGGGACCTGTGTTTGAAGCCATCCATGATGTAACGACATCGACAAGCACGTCTATGTCCTTGGATATTTCTGCACGAAGTATCCTCGACCTTGAGTCAACACCTAAAGTATTTCCCATCTCTTTGGCAACTGTCTCCCACGGTGTCCCCACCGTCAAATTTGTGAGGAACTCACTTCCCCTGTTTACTGCATCAGCCATTGCTGGTGGAACATCTGGAAGAGCCTGCAGAGAAAGGATGCTCCAATGAGTTTTTCACCACAGGTCGAAGGCGATCCAAAATTCAAAACCAGGAATTATAATTAAAATAGTAAAAGTTTATCATGGCAAATATCCATGCAGATATACCTGCTGCAGAGGAAGACCATGATCTCCCGGCAACAAACGAATTGACATGTCCAGCATTGAACTAATAGCCGATTCTGAACTGAGGACCTGTGCTAGTGTTGATGTTTCATCAATGGTATCATCCTTAAATTTTATCAAAAGATTCCTTGAGATTCCGTAATAGGACTTTATCTGGAATGTCCGGCAATATTAATAACAACAAGTAATGTGATCCTTGGGCCCAAAACAAAGAAAAAAAGACCAAGATCCATAATGTTTCAGAAAAAGAGAATGCTCTCACAATTTACATGATGGAGCAGTGTTCAATGACAATGTAATGAAGACTTGCTCACCATAATATCAAAGAGGGCCAATAGAAATCTACATGCATAAACTCCTAAAAGAGAACACAAGATTAAAATCTGATTCTATTAATGAAAATGAGAGTGCACGACTATGATATAACCCAATAAAATCGAAAAGCTTAACAAGACTTGCTAAGACAACTTACCACTATACTGCAGAATAAAACATTCAAGGATAGTTCGTATGTGTTATTATTCAGACATAAGGTAGTCAATCAAGAAGGAAACACACATGAAAATAATTCCATTAATAAAACATGTTTCATGTATTCACGTACAAGTCGTCGAGTTTCTTCTGGCTTTGGAGAAAAATCCTCTCTCCCCTTGACCAAGTCCATGTACAATGGAGGGAGTTGCTCAACTAAAGGAAGTACTTGCTTCATGATGGGAGGGCTGAGGTTCTCTAATTGCTTTATAGTCATTTCTGCCTGCATGAATGTCATGAAAGATGTCACTTATCACAGTAGTAATCCTAACACCTAGGAAAATGGCTTGAGGAGAATATTATTCTAAAGCTAAATCCCTACTTGATCTAAAATCAGATAGCACAGAAGCCAACAACTCATAAACTTTACCCCGAGTCTGACTGTCGGCGATGATGTTATTTGGGATAAAAATGGACCCAAGCTTTGGGCCATTGGAACCAGAACAGGTGAGAACAAAGGAATAGCCAAGCTCGCCTCCTGTCAAACAAATAAATCATCTGAAAAAATTTCTCATAAGCACATCAAGGAATCGTCCTCCTGTAACTGCAAGTACATAGGCACAAAAAGTTGCACTTGCAAGCTTAGGAAGAAGCCAACCAGTTATATGGGAGGAAACCCAATTTCAGTTATTTTACAGTATCTTATAAGTGAAGTGTTTCACTAATAATTTTTTTTGAATATCCTAACTAGTGGAGAACTTAAAGGGGATTGACGAAAATCACTTTTCTTTTTAATTTGCAGCGCTAGCAGGACAAGTACCTTGTTGTTGAATGCCATTAATATGTTTCCATTTCTTTGCACAGCATATCTTGATCCTGATCAAATGAATCGTTTAGAATACAGGTACAAGCAGTTACCGTGTTGCAAGTGATACAAACAGTACTTTTCCCTACCAATCAAAAGGTGGATGACAGATCCCAACGAGTGTCCGATGCCAAAAGTAGGAAGATCATGTACCTATATAGCAGCTAATTAGTCCCCCTCTCATAAGTCTATGAAAATGAGAAAATAGACCTGAATAGTTGGTCTATCCTTCAAATCAACTCACTACTTCTTGTAGATACCGATGACAACGATCAAATTTGAATTGCACTTCATCTGCAATGAAGAAGTGATCAAACCCACTGGCATATGGTGTCGCAATCACTAAAATACCCCTATATCACCACAAAAAGTCCAATGATGCTTGTCCTCGGTTGAGAATCAATATCTATCATAATCATCAGCAAAGAATTGGGTATATAGACAAGAATTACTTGGGGATAACAATATTCAAAACTATCACAATCTAGTCAAATATCAGTACACCATCAGATGCTGGCCAGCCCAACACATAGTGAAAGTACAATTAAATTCTAGCAAAAAAGAGAGGAGAAGACGTATGTTTATAAACATAATTGCAGATAAGCTTTCGCAAAGAACAACAACAACAGCAATAATGATAATAATAATAATAAGACGAAATAAATGCTTCCATTTTGGAGGAAACACTCACTTTTCTGCAAGCCGCTCAAGGAATAGACGGTAGGTTAGCTGAGGGGCAGCTCCCACAAATATTCCACCAATAAAATGGACGACTGCATTTGGCTTTGAGTCTCTTGGTTTAAGGACCCAAGCACCCTGTGACATTCATGAAGAAATTCGCTCAAATTATTTACAAAGATGATTGCAAAGTCTAAACAACAAATAGATAAACCTTCCTACGAAATGACATGTTTAGCAATGCTGTCATCTCATTTCGCAGCATCAGCATGAATGAGACATATACATATTTTTGACACTCCCACACTTCATTTTCCTTCTAAATGAAACAAAAACAAGTAATACAACCATCAACCTAACAGAAATGTCCTTACTTTATCTACGAGCAAATTTCCCAGAATCTTATCATCAAACCTAACAGGACAACAAATGAGCAACTGAAACATCCTATTCAAAGTACATTTATCAGATGTCTGGTGAAAAGAGAGTAAGAAAGCACCTCAATTTGGCTCCAGTCCCCTGTAATACCCCAAGCATTTTGAGACTGGCGTACTGTCTCAGTAAGCACTCTGAAAAACACAAATAGAGTGACTTGGCTTATTGATTGTGGAGCGGAAAGGAATTATGCGTGGAAAGCTAAATCCCACACTTTTTTAAGACGGCACAAGCATCATTCGCATTAGACTAATATATCAGCTCCAATTAGTACATCTTGATCAAAGGATCTTCAATAACCGTATAGTTGTCGGAACAAGTACTCGTTTTTGAGCCTTTCGTGATAATGAGTTTAAGTCAACGAGCTCGACATAAGTGGAAGGCACGTAAATCTTTTTGATTCGTGTGAAGTTGTGATGTGGGTATAGAAGAAACTTCATATGAGAATAAACATTAGGTTGTCATCGTATGACGACATGGAGTGCAAAATCAAATAACAATGTGCTGCTAATGAAGTAACCAGCTCCCTATCTCCCACCCTCCCTCTTTTCTCTCACCAAAGCTACCGTGTTTCGTGGAATCAGTAGCCCCTCTGATTTTGATTATGATGAGCTGACCTGAGACTCGTTCCACTTAATATGATCAAAGCAACCAGAATCCGTTCACAGTAATTGCAAAAATTCCAATCCAATTTTGCAAAATTGAATATCTGACATTCCTCTAAGCACGCAGTCCTGGAAGACTAAACATACTAATACCGATAAGGAAAAACTGTACACGGCCGAACATATTTGACAGAGAGCAGAAGCTATTACCTCTCAATCTCGCTGTAGAGTCGAATCCCCGTGGACTGAGACGGCGGCTGCTGCGGCGGTCCCTGATTACCGTCATCGTAGCTGCAACGAACCCTGCTCCGCCGCGGCCGCTTCAAGGCGATCGGGCGGCGGCGACCGCGGAGCGAACAAGGCGCGACATCGCGACAACCTCGAGGAGGAATCGGCAGCTTCCGCTCGCTCCCGGCGCCGAGGGCGGCGACGCTCCGGTGCGGATGGAACTGAAGCCAGCTCGAACACGCCATCGTCCGCTACCGAGGACTCGATGTTGGAGGGGACAAAGAGAAGCAGGCTCGTTCGGCTCGATCGTCTGTTGCTTCTGCGAGACGGTGCGTTTGTTTGTTGTGTCTTGTTGAGTTTGGACTCTCCGAGGGGAGAGAGAGAGAGAGAGAGAGAGACAGCGACGAGTTGTTGAAATTGTTTGACGTTAACGGCGGAGTCATCGGTTTAGAAAAGCTCGGAGAAACCGAAGAAGGAGACAGACGGCCCCCCTGTACTGTTCGGACCAACCAAATCCAATCTCTGTATTTCAATTTTAATCTGTTTCACGTGTATTTCTGCAAAAAAGAAACTCTTTTTGGGGGAAAAGAAATCATCTATATGGCTATGTTCTATATGCCAAAAAACAATCTTTACATCAAAATCACATCTATCGTCATCATGTTTAAATAAGTTTTTCAATTGCTTCGTTTGAACTCTGAGATATTGTATTTATAGGAGAGAGAAAAGAAAAACTTTATCTTCAATTTGGAAGATATGTGTGCGAGCATCGACATGTAAAAATAAAAAACGTAATCATGTTAGCCCGTTAAATATATACACCTGGACAAGCAGGGCGGCTCTAATATAAAGCTTATGCTTTCCTCGACAATCACTAAACAATCATTTAAGATAGGCCCCTCCTTACCGAGGGTCTCGCTTCTTCTTATCATCATTCTGGTTGATCAAGAGGAAGGGAAAAGAGCAATTAAAAGAAAATTGGTAATTATTTATTTAATAAACCTCAAAAGCAGAACATTCAGTTGGGCCGGCAGTTATTGAGGAAAGGAGGCACTCTATCTATGCGCCAAAATAAATAAGGAAAAAAAAATAAAAAACAAGTAAAGACGAAAATGAAAGCGGCAAATCCCACCACAATTTATAGTTTTGTCCGATTAATTATCTCAACTCCCTCCATCCTTCTTCTTCTCCACCGCGCACTTCCCTGTCGTTCTTAACGAGCAGTTCGCCGGACGCTGCTCGCCGGTCGCCGCCATGTTCATGCTCACGAGGAGACCCAAACACCACCACCTCCACCACCACCAACCTCTCCATCGCAAGCTCCTCGTCTTGCTAATCGCCTTCACCCTCGCGTTCCTCTTCTACCTCTCCTTCTTCTCCGACTCCAAGCCCGTCCGCCCATCGCTCCACTCCGATTCGCCGTCCGTCACAGTCGCCGCAGCCGAATCTCCGAGAGCCCAGAGCTCGTCCCTGGGATCGCAACCTCACTCTCCCTCCGCGGACCCGAGCTCTCCAGTTCCCACCTCTGCATTTTCAAATGCGGATGCTCCGTCTCCGCCGAAAAAGGAGAGGAATTTCGGTCCCTATCACGACTGGGTCTCTTTCGCTGCTGATTTTCAAGAAATGATGCGCTCCTTCAAGATTTACGTCTACCCAGACGCTTGTAACTCCTCATCCTCTTCGTCTTCTTCTACTCCGTTTGCCAACATTTTCTTGCCCCACGTCGACCCTTTTAACCCCAAGCTTGGCAACTACTTCAGCGAGCACATGTTCAAGATCTCTCTGCTTCGGAGCTCGCTCGTCACCTCCCATCCCCAGCAAGCTCAATTCTTTTTCATGCCCTTTTCCATCAACAATATGCGGAACGACCCTCGGGTGCGTCACGAGGGGACGATAGCGGACTTCGTCGCAGGTTACGCCGCGAGGATCGGCCGGGAATTCGGGTTCTGGAATGCGTCGGGGGGCGCCGATCACTTCTACGCACACTGCCACTCCGTCGGCCGGGACGCGGCATCGAAGCACCGCGAATTGCTCAACAATGCGGTGCAGGTCACTTGCTCGTCGAGCTATTTCCAGAGGTCTTATGTGGCACATAAGGACGTGGCGCTTCCGCAAGTCTGGCCGAGGAGAGATGAGCAGGTTCTTAGCCCTCCGAGTGAAAGGTACGATTGAGGGCGTCTACATTTTTGTTACTGCAAAGGTCCGTGTAGTCTTGTTCATGAAAATTTGATGAATCATCGATGTTTGTCTGCTGATTCGTGGATTTCAGATGCTAGGCTTCTTTAGGAGGTTGGTGGGATACTATGTTAGAATTTCCCTTGAAGATTGTACGAGACAATCATTTCAAATTTATTTTTGTGCCTCGGGAAGTTTGTCTTGTTTAGTCGCCCAGTTGCTTCACGAGAAAGATGTGCGTGAAATTTCTGGTCAATTACAGGAGTTAGTTGAAGTGATTAAGTCAACTCAGTACCCCAACCATCAACTTCATCGATTTCTTAGAGAGGATAAGATTTTTGGCTATTCCCTTCCTATACCCACCCATAATCTTAGAACAGGTTAAATCTATGCATGATTGATTAGAGACTGCTCATTTTTTTTCCTTTCATCAATTTATCATGATGCTGTGGGCTTCAATACCGATGTATCTTCTGGGTCGTTTTGTAGGAACCGACTTGTTTTCTTTTCTGGGCGCATCCAAAATTCTCGCATTCGCCAAGAGTTGATAGACATGTATGAAAACGATACTTCCATGGATATTTTTCCTAAAAGTCCCTTTCCTTATGAGGAAGGTTTCAAGGGAAGCAGATATTGCCTCCATGTGAAGGGTTATGAGGTGAACACGGCAAGAGTCTGTGATGCTATACATTATGGTTGTGTTCCCGTTATTCTTTCAAATTATTATGACCTTCCATTTTCTAGCATCTTGGACTGGAGCAAGTTCTCCGTCATTATCAACCATGGGGAGATATCGTCCTTGAAGGAAAGACTATTGGCTATACCGACAGAAATTTACCTCAGCATGTACCATAATCTGTGCCAAGTGAGAAAACACTTCATGTGGCACACAACACCAAGAGGTTACGATTCCTTTTACATGACTGCGTACCAGTTATGGGTTAGGCGAGGCGTGCATCGTCTGTTGCATTGATCACCTTCAAGTTCATCATTTTAGTGCATACATGTTGGCAAAACCAGAAACTTTTTGTTCTTTTATTTTTCCTCTTTAAAAATAGATTGGTGTTTGATATCGCGGGAGAATTGCTCGCTTCAGACAGAGCTGACTGGATAATGGCGAAAGTTAAACAGAACCATACTAGTTATGGAGCTGTAAGTGGGCTTACATACTTGCTTGTTCAAGAAAAGATATCTGTCGATAGGATATGCAGATGTGGTTTCTGGTAGCATGAGTCAGCCACTATATCTAGCGCCAGCTCCGAGCAGTTTGGGAGTGGCAAATTGCCAAGCTCTGGGCATTAGAACTTTATAATGCATTGTAATAATGAGTGGATTTAGTTTCTAATATAGTTCAAGCCACTTGCAACCAGGAGTTGTTATGGGGGAGTAAGTTATACATTGTACTTACATTGCTCATTTAAATTGTGTTGCTATGTGATTCTTTTTTTTTTTTGGTAAGTTGTTGCTATGTGATTCTTGCTCTGTTCTAAAAACATAAAAAGGCATGTTCCATGCACAAATATCTGTAGCAGTTTGTGGTGGTCCATCAACCATGTGAGAATACTACCAACTCATCCAACAGCCAAGATATCCTAGTGAACCACTTATAAAAGTAGATCAATATGCACGGTGGCTCAATTTGGAAGCTAAAACCTAAAAGCTGATTAACTGATGGAATGTGCAAAAGCTGCGGACAATGACGATAGGAGAAGATGGCTCGGTGGAGGATGATGTTCATCTCCATGCTTTTCTTTTTGGGTCCTATTTTCTGTGGTGCAGAAGGTTCAACGGGAGCAAGTTCTTATTTATGTTACAGATCGTAAAGTGAAATCAAGGGTCAACGAGGAAAGGTTGTCACGAACTTCCATGCACGGAAGAGACTTATCTGCCTGAGAATAAAATCTTTTTTTGACCTAGAATGATTATGGATGGACTGCAATCTGCACCGGTTCAATCTATGAGGCACTTAATGGCATGCAATAACGAGGCCCTCAGTTCTTCCTGAAAATGCCCCTACTTATTGCCAAGAAGAGGTGAGCACCATCTATAATTTGATTACAGTCCTCTTCATAAGTTGATCTATGAAATTTTGTATATGGAAGAATTCTGATATTTCTGGTTCTTTTACTTAATTTCCTTTCATATTTGCACACATCATTTAATTTTAAACTATAAATAAACTGCAGTTGGGGGGCAATCTGAGATATTTATAAGCAAAGTTTTCGAAAATAAATGTTTTCATGGGTTATTGGTTAAGCAGTCAAGTTTTAATTGTTTTATCCACTATGGTGTCTACAACAAGGAATTGTTGCACCTTACCAAAAAAAAAAAACAAGGAATTGGTGCAAGTAAACTGCGGATAGATGACAGTGTGAAACCGAATCTGTCGAAAGAAGATGCTAATCTTTATATTTGAAGAAAGACTCAATGCCTAAATCATGAAGCCAAGTGTCTCGTTATCACTCTGGAGAAAAAGGTGAATGCATTATCCAATTGTCAGAGCGGTTTAGAAAAGGAGAAGGGTATTAAGGAACTGTGCAGTAAAAATAATATGAGAACCAGTATTTTGTGGTTTTTGGCTGAAAACTGCTTGGGTAAGGGTAATTGACTACTTCCTCGAACTAACCTTTAGTAGCAAGTGAGGTTCGTTTCGTAATAAAGTGGCACAACGGAAAAACATACATAGAAAATGCTGTTGAATTTTCTATCTATACCATATATTTCAAGTCAAGAATCAGTTTCTCAATAATAAACATGTGCATGTCCCTTTATCTCTTTGTATTTGCAATGACATAGGTGGTTCTTCTTTTAGGTTTACGCTTGAGTTCTCAACATAAATGATTACTTGTCAATATGGCAAAGAAGTTTCTTCACAGCTGGCTCCCGTAAGTGCTTCTTCCATCACTCCTCTCGATCACCCTTGACTCTGCCAGCACGAGCTGTGCTGCTGGAAGTTTAGATGGTGTAAGGTGGAGGTTTTGGCAGGTCCTTGATAATACCGCAGAGCAGGGCATTGTCAGGGATATTGTACTCATCTCGGAGAGATCGCTCAGGGGAAAGAACACTAATGTAAAGCTCTTGGCCCAGGTAGTGCCTCTCTGCCAACTCCGACCTCAAGTTCCACATCCCGGCATTATCAAATGTCAACATGATGGCCGCCCAAGATTTAGGGAAGACCTGGACTGTGTGCCTGCTCACGGCATCAAGGAGATTGTAGTTCTTTCTCTTTTCTGGAGTCCACCTTCCTGGCTCAACTCTGTTGCATGGTTCCAAACAGATTGCCGACATTAGTACTCGCTTAATAGCACACTTACAATTATGCCTGTAAACAAAAAGACATGGCGGCAGATACTTACGCAACTGCAAAGAAGGAATATCCGTCAAGATGCCATGATTGGATGCTCTTCTCGTGGTTTTCGAAAATGATCTCCACGAAAGTGCGGAAAGTGACGTTGGCCACGTTTGGTTCCAGAGTTATCTTGTCTGAAGCTGTTGCTGGTGCATCATCAGACATGGTCTCATACTTGAAGATCTTGTCTGCGATTCCATAATATTCCGCAAGCTTTAGTGGGGTTGCGGGGTTTGTGTGTGAGACTCCGTTTATGGCGTATCGAAGCTTGCCTCCCTCCCTTCTGGCCGAGTTTACAAGCTTGATGGTGCGAGTAATGTTTATCTGTCCGTAGTGGTAGGAACCCTGAGGGTTAGGCCTGGCGGCGCTGGCTGTGAGATTCCAGCGGAAGGAGCGGAACTGATTGAGGGTCCAAGCCCAGCCCACGGGAGCCTCGGGAAGGACAGGCGAAGCAGGACCTTTGCCATTAGTGTAGCTGATAACAGCTGTGGTGGTGAGCACGGTCTTGGTGTATCGAGTTGAGGCTACCATGTAGTAGTCCTTTGGCTCTTTATCAGCTGTGACAAGGACGGCAAGGCATTGCCCAACGTGCACATCGAGGGAGTCGTAGGAGTTCTGGATCGTGTGGGACCCCTCCATCTCAACAAGCTTCATCGGGTGGCCTTGAATCCTGAAGTTGAGGGTGTTCTTGAGACCGACGTTGCAAATCCTGTATTTGTACGTCTTCCCTGGCTTCATGGTGAAGAGAGGCTCTTCCTTGCCCTTGCTCTTGCCAGATTTGCCATTGATGAGCACCCCATCAGGTCTGCCGAGGGCTCTGCCGCTGTCCAGGAACTTCTGGAGAGTGGTGTGGCTCTTGGAGTACCAGTCTCCTATGAGGACGGTGTAATCATCCTCAGGGTCAGCATAGGGGACGGGAATGAGCAAACGGCTGTTCACGCGGAGGCCACCGAATCCACCGGCCGCCCTGTGCATGGCGGTGGTCGGGTAATAGGAGTAGCTCCCAATCTGGTCCTTAACTTGGAAGCGGTACGTATAATTATGTCCTGGAGGGATTGGGCAGCTGGCTCCGAGCGTGCCATCTTGCCACGAATTCTTCCTTTGTTGGATGCCGTTCCTGAAAACAAACAAAAGATGCCGTGTGTATGAAACATGTGCAAGCAGCATGCTTGACGATGCACCGGCATTTTGCTTAGCATATGGACGAATGCATTTTTTGTGTATTAGAAGATTTACCAGGTGAGGAGGAATGGCTCGTCCAGATTGTTGAACACATTGATGACGATGTTGTTGTTGGTGGTGGAGTTGATATTCGGCCCGGGGAATTGGCCATTGATGAGAATGCCTTGCTGGGGGATGCCCAGAGGAGCGATGATGCCATAAGTGACGTTCCACGTGAAGAACAAATACGGGTCTTCGGCCCCGACCATCATAGCCCCGGCCGAGAGGCATGATAACAGCAGTAACATCACTCCACCCATCTCTCTAAGTAGTTTTAAGATCGCTACTCTATTTCATTTATCCAAACTATTCTATTTTGTATGGAAGAAGATGGGTTTTCTTCTATCACCATTCATCGACGAGCTTTTTATACAAGGAAAGCTGTGAAGTTTTCAGGGATTGTCAAACCATTGAACAACCATTGAACCACCGTCAATTTCTCTCTTTGCCACCTTTCTCTCATTGGTTTGGCCTGTAACGGGCCTCTTGCCTTTGTCCATAGATAGAATTTTGTTGGGGGACACCTTCAATATAACCGAAGGTTAACAGAAACTCGATCGTTTTGTGGATAAAAAATCATGCTGGAGCAATAGCTCAAACAGAAAGTTTGACCATTCTTCAGCATTCTGTTCTGCAATATTGGCCTAACATAGTAACCATCTCTCGGCTCTCAATAATGAAAATTTTCCATCAAGGATTTTACTACTGTGGAGAATTATAATAATATGCTAGCAAGATACACGTGCATTGCACAGGTCTAAAACTATAACGTCGACACGTTTTGTAAGAGAAATATTATGCAAAAATTATAACAAAAATAAATATTCACATCAATCAAGTTCCCCATTAAATTTATGTGTAATTTATTTAACGTAGATCAGAACTCATCATGTAGGTTTATCCTCCATAAGACAAAATTGCAGTAGTAATGGAATTACAATATAGAAACATGCTATAGTTCGAGCATGTAAAATATTATGAGTTAGCAAGAAATATGAAAATATAAAGTAAGAATATGAATTCTCTTTTCTTAATAGTTTTTGTTCATTTGTCAGATTATTTATGTAGAATCCTCTCAAGAATAAAATGTTTCTGCTCTCTTTTCCATTTGGTCATCTCTATTTATACATAACTAGAGGTGATTTCTTCACGTTCATCTTCCATTTCCATATATTTCAGTTTCATTTTTTTATGGAGCTTCTCCCTAATCTTTTTGGTAACCACTTGATGTCTATTTTTGTATTTTGGCAAGAATTTATGGATATCTTATTATTCATGACAATGTATAACAAAAATAAATGGTGGATATCTTGCGATATTTAATGTGTATTTTTAGAAAATTCAGTATACTTCTTTCCTCAAGAATGCATATCTAGAAATCCCCAGATTTTTTTTTTCAAAATAACAATATTCACATATTCTTTCTTTTCCTGGTGAAAATTTCGTTGCCAACAGTAGGTTGTTTATGTATTTTGCATTTGTTGATGCTTAAAGTTAATTATTTTCCCAACTTTGTAAAATTTAATTTGGTTGTATCGTGATTATCAATTGGGTTTTTCTTTTACTTGCCTTACTATATTTAATATGTTATATAAACATTCATGTTAATGATGAAATTTTGGCAGCCCCATTCTTTAACATCTCCATGAGAAAAATTGATATTAAATTAAAAGAGAATGAGATATTGTTTAGAAGCTACACTAGATTCAATAAATATATCTTAAAGCGGACAATATTGACTTTATTGCTGATGTAAGAATACGCTTTGAAATAGCAATATTAGTTAAATAAAAATCATCAGAATTCCAATAGATGATTGAAAAAAATTTAGTATATTGATGTACTCCATGGATATAAAACATCTCAATCGTTATTTTCTCGATAGCATTGTTTTATTTTTCCTTTAATAACTCCAAACGCGTACCCATTTATCTTATATGTTTTAGAGATGTAACATCTACCATAACAATTAACAACATAAAGTCCTCATTATCATTACCATAACTAGGTAAAATGGTAAGGCTAACTTTAATTATGCATTTAATCATTAGGGTTGCCACTAATTGTGTTTTTAGTCATAATTATCCATGAAATATGAAGGATCATGTCATATGTCCCTTTAAAAGTATACTACTAAACTTTTGTAATGTCAGACCAAAAAAAAATTGTAATGATGGGTCCTTTTTGTTTTTATTTTATAACAGTTATTTCATTGATTTGTTAATTTTAATTTATTTGTAAAAGATGAGCTATAATTTTACAATGATGAATTTGTTTTTTGATCCTGTAATGTCGTTTATTAATCAAATAGAGGGTGAAGTGTTATTTAACTTTTCCAACGATAATCTAACATCACATACTAATGAAGCATGCACTATCGTGTCATGAAGACCTTTTCAAGTAATAGTTTCTTTCTAAAAAATATTTGTGCACATGGGAAATTTATTATTGATGATGAATTTATTTATGGATCGATATCCTCTAATATTGTTTATTTATCAAATAGAGGGAGGCGTGTTATATAAATTTTTAAATAATTATCTAATACTATTTATTGAGGAAATATGGCAGTATCATCTGGTTGATGAAGATAATTAGATGATATTCTTTTCCTTGAGGACATGCAAAAGTTTAGGGTGAATATGTCCAACGGAGCATACTTTAGGATTTTCCATGAGTTTTTGCCGATTCAAAGTCGTGGTGGTCGTGCTATTAAACATGTTCAATCAAATGGAAAACATGTGAAATTAGAACAATTTAGAACTTCGATCTACAAAATACTCGAAATACAAATTTATCGATCAATTTTTATTTGTATGAAACGTAGTAGGCAGCAGAAAACGATGAAACGAATTTACTAACTCTAGCTTGTGGTCGAGTCACGTAGCGTAATCATGGGCGTGCAAATTATGGGTATTTTGAGCTTGAAAGTAAAATGGGTAATTATACAAATGGTCCATAAACTTTGGTTCAATGTGCAATGTCGTTTCTGAACTTTTAATTTGTTCAATATGGTCCATGAACTTTATATTAATGTGCAATGTCATCCATAAACTTTTAATTTGTTTAATGTGGTCCCTAAACTTTTAATACATGCTCAATCTAATTATGAAAATGTTCAATATTGTCCCTGAACTGGATTAACGGAAGAACAATATTAAACATTTTCATATAGAACCGGGACTACATTTAGCATGTACCAAAAATTCGGAGATCATATTAAACAAATTAAAAGTTTAAAGACAACATTGCACATTAAGCAAAAGTTCAAGGATCACATTGTATAAATTAAAAGTTTGGAAATGACATTGCATAGTGGGCCAAGATTCAGGCACCATTGTGCCATTTTCCCAAAGTAAAAAGGAGCATGATAACCCATGAATCACGTAGGACCATTTGGCATTTTTTTGATACGTCAGTTGCATCTATATCCTGGAAGTCTTCCAATGGCTAGATGTGCAAAACTTTCAGCATGGTGAGTAAAAAAATGTCCAAATCAACTATTTGTGTTCTACGTAGTGATCGGACCATGTAGTCAGTCACAGCGCCAAGATCTTCTCCTTCCTCGGAGAATTTCCACATCTCAACCATGTCTTCGTTTCTTGCTGTAAAAACATAGGACGGCCATGTGGATGTGCTTGGGAGAGAGAGAGAGAGAGAGAGAGAGAGAGAGAAAGAGATGAAAGGAAAAGCGTAAACCAAGGGGCCAGAAGGGAACGATGTCAGGCACGGAGAACTTGACGGGGCTTGTATGGCCGAGGACAAGAATCATCTTTAGACAGTTGGTCCCAAATAAAATGGCGAATGGTAACAGCCAAATGAGATGGTAGAAGAAGAGTCATCATCTTCTTCCGCACAAACGTAGGAAAAGAGGGGCTGAGAGAGATGGGAAGGGTGACAATTCTGCTGTTATGCCTCTTAGCCGGGGCTGTGACGGTCCACGGTGAAGACCCGTACTTGTTCTTTACCTGGAACGTCACCTATGGCACCATTTCTCCGCTAGGAGTCCCTCAGCAAGGAATCCTCATCAACGGCCAATTCCCCGGCCCCAACATCAACTCCACCAGCAACAACAACATCGTCATCAACGTCTTCAACAATATTGACGAGCCCATTCTTTTCACCTGGTAACTAGGAAATCATTGCAATGAACAGTATAGCCTGCTCATGTTTTTCTCCCTGTTTTTCCTAGTTCCAAGATTGGGCTGAACTATGTTGCTGTTGTTGTCAGGAATGGAATCCAGCAAAGGAAGAACTCATGGCAAGATGGAGTTCTAGGAACCAACTGCCCAATCCTGCCAGGAAAGAACTATACCTACCACTTCCAGGTCAAGGATCAGATTGGTAGCTATTTCTACTACCCCACCACGGCAGTGCACCGTGCGGCTGGTGGCTTCGGTGGCCTCCGCGTGAATAGCCGTTTGCTCATCCCTGTCCCTTATGCGGATCCTGAGGACGATTACACTGTCCTTATTGGTGACTGGTACTCCAAGAGCCACACTGAACTCAGGAAGTACCTGGATGCCGGCCGCCCTCTCGCCAGGCCCAACAGTGTCCTCATCAACGGCCAAACAGGCAAGGGCAAGGATGTCAAGCCGCTGTTCACCATGAAGCCCGGCAAGACTTACAAGTACCGGATTTGCAACGTCGGCCTCAAGAATTCCCTCAACTTCAGGATCCAGGGCCACCAGATGAAGCTTGTCGAGATGGAAGGATCACACACCGTCCAGAACACCTACGACTCCCTTGATGTCCATGTCGGCCAATGCTACTCTGTGCTCGTCACCGCTGACAAGGATCCCCGGGACTACTACATGGTGGCCTCGACCCGGTTCACAAAGAGCGTGCTCACCGCCACGGGGATCATCCGCTATGCCAATGGCAATGGCGCCCCCGCCTCCCCTGTCCTCCCTAAGGCCCCCGAGGGCTGGGCCTGGTCTCTCAACCAGTTCCGCTCCTTCCGGTGGAACCTGACTGCCAGCGCTGCCCGACCCAACCCCCAGGGCTCCTACCACTATGGCCAGATCAACATCACCCGCACCATCAAGCTCATCAACTCGGCCAGCAGTGTCGGTGGCAAGCTCCGCTATGGCATCAATGGCGTCTCCCACGTCAACCTCCCAACCCCGCTCAAGCTCGCCGAGTACTACGGTGTCGCCGACAAGGTCTTCAAGTACAACACCATCCCTGATGAGCCCTTGCTTGAAAAGGCCGCCCTGGTCACTCTTGCCCCCAACGTGATGAACATCACCTTCAGGACCTTCGTCGAGATCATCCTAGAGAACCACGAGAAGAGCATCCAGTCCTGGCACCTCGATGGCTACTCATTCTTTGCCGTCGCGTAAGTCCTACGACACCAAAAAAAACTTCCCCAGGATATATTGAATCTCTCCAGGTTACGTCCTATATTTGTTAGTAGACATGTCCTAGAACTACTTAACTGAGGATATTTGATGTGCCCCAGGATCGAGCCAGGGAGGTGGACCCCAGAGAAGAGGAAGAACTACAACCTCCTCGACGCTGTGAGCAGGCACAGTATCCAGGTTTTTCCCAATTCCTGGGCCGCTATCATGTTGACCTTTGACAACGCTGGGATGTGGAACCTGAGGTCCGAGCTGACCGAGAGGCGTTACCTGGGGCAAGAGCTTTACATTAGCATCCTCTCGCCCGAACAGTCTCTGAGGGACGAGTACAACATTCCTGACAACGCCCAGCTCTGCGGCGCCGTTGCAAGTCTGCCCAAGCCCACTCCTTACTCCATCTAAAGAGTTGTTGCCCGATGTCGTTACTGTAGGTCCCATGAATTGTTGTTGTTGTTGTTGTTGTTATTTTGTTAATTCTTTGGGGGAGTGAGAAATTGTTGAGGGCTGTATGTACCCTTTTTGCGAAAAATGACAGTTTTTGCCTATTCTCTAATGTCAACTGTGGTATTGTTCTATCTTTTTTTTGTTATTTCTTATTATGTTCACGTTGCTGTTGCACGTGAAAAATACGAAATGCTGCTTTCCGCCATACATGGACTGTGTCACCTTCCTGACCAACGGCTACTTATCACTAACAACCCACCTGCACAGTGCAGATATGTATTAAGAACATTAAGAATTCAGACTAAAAAGGATGGTGATGTCCCATGTTTAACAGATTTGCTGAATTTGGATGGTAGATTAATAGCGGTGAATCCATTGGCAGGGGAATTTTCAGGGGTAGCAAGTGAGCACTTGAACTCTTTTCCCCGTCTCGAAATAGAAAATCAGCAGGTTGTGTAAAAAGCAGGTGATGTTTCACGGCGTAACCTAAGTGTTTTAGGAAATGCCCCCCAGAAATTTTGTCTATTGGAGAGCTGCATCAGGGCTATCCCATCACTTGAAGCAGAATCTGATTCATGTGTGGGAAATCAAAAAGAAGCTTCAAGGTTTCTAATGGGTAACGGAATACGGAATGGTCAATTGTACTGCCACTTGGTTCTAGAAGCCACGTTAAGCATTTTTTTCTCTTAGCCATGTTGGTCTATTTCTAGAAGAAGGATATGCTGAATTCCCCCGTCCTACCCAGACCTGTTCCCCGGTGCTCCACTCAACAAATCACCGTGATCGTAAATTTTGAGAAGGATATGTTTCTGCAGACGAGATCATACAGGTATACAAACGATAAAACGTGAACAATACAGGAGATCATGTATTCCACCACGGCTGCGTCTTATATATTTAATTGCATATAGTACGCAGAGGACTTTCTTCATCTGCACCCAGGATAACACACTTGAGAAACCAAGCGGTGTTTTGTACGCCTCATGAGCTTGAGCCCGAAAGGTCACATGGTGGGAATCATGAGCAGTAATGGACACCTCGTGAGCTGAGTAATAGTCCTTCTTGTGATAGAAAAGATGGCAGTGATACAAGGAATGGTAAGGCACCCGAGTGCTGGTTTCTTTGTTTAGTTTTATGGGTCAATCTTAAAGTCATCTAGTGGATTGAATTTGTTGAGAATATGTGTCTAGTTTGAGTAGGTTCCCTAAAAAATGTTTCCTATGTATCTACCCTGATGTTAGATTCACTAAAGCAAACAAGAGGAGTGTCAGATTTTCTCTTTGTGAGTTTTTTGAGTGAGTTCTCTGATAGAGATTGTGAGATAATATTTGTGTTTGGTTTGGGTGTAATCTAAAGCTGGGAAACACTTGAGCGATTGTAACTCTAATTCTCCTCATGGATTATTAGTGGATTATTTGCTGCTAGCTTATCCCTGGAGTAGGTACCGACACTCAAATCGAACCACATAAATCTTTAGTATTCTTTATTGTTCCTCGTTTATTTTTTTTGTGATTTTGCATTGATTTAATTGCAAGATCTAATTTCCTTCCACGTTATATTACAACAATTGGTATCAAAGCTAAGGTTAGGGTTTCTAGATTTGATTTAGGGTTTTTGCTTGTCCAATGATTATCCATAAATTATGTTATTGCAATTATGTCTGTAGCGAAAGTTGAAACTGAAAAGTTCAACAGGAGGAACAACTTTGGGTCATAAAGCATTAAGATGCATACCCTATTAAAAACCAAGATATGGTGAATGTGTTAGATGGCAAGAATAAATTGCTAAAAACAATAAAAGAGACCAATAAGGTTGTCACACCTCGAATCCATTAAAAATGGTCGCGCTTTTTCCACTCCTTCGTTAGCTAATACATTCCCTATAATAGTATTTTGACCATATTATCCTCAGTGAGTCCCACTTTTTCAGCATCCTCTGTTATTTAGATTCTTTTTTTTTATGGGGTCCCACCTTCCTCCTCCTTCTTAATTCTCTCTTTTCTCTCTCTCTCTCCCTAAGGTAATTGCCATCTCTTATTCCTTTTAGTTGAATCTAATCATTGTTCAAGTCTAGGTGGCAATTCATCAATTATCTAGAAATGAAGATAACCCCCTCTCATCTCAATTCCGCTCCAAAAAATATTTACATTTTCCAATTAGCCAAGAAGATAGAAAAAAAAGGGAGAAGAACAAGCTTTAAAGTCAAAATTTTGTTTTTCTCACTCTTATCTAAAGCAATTGGAGACATTTCGTTGCTGGGTTTAATCTTTTTCGTTTTCTCGTCCGAGCGTCATCCACCCCTGGTTCACTGAGACCTACTCTTGGGATACTGAGACCCTTACCAAAGCCCGCCACTACTACCACCACCTCATCCAATAACTCCGACACCCTCACCCCGACGTCGTCTCCCCCTTCCTCAAACACCACTTCGAGCCCTCGCCTTCTACCCCTGCCGCCAACGCAGCTCCCTTGGGTTCGACCAGGAGGCCACAGTGAAGTGCAACGAGTCTCCATTCCGACCACCAATATGACTACCAACATCGTCTGTTGAAAAAGATAAGATGGAAGGTGGGACCCACAAGTAAAGAAAAAAAAGAGAAATCAAACCGACATCACATTCGAGAAAGAAAAATGAAACACTTTTGGTAGAGTAGTAACAAAGGATACTGAAAAAGTGGAACCCAATGAGGATAATATGGTCAAAACACTAAAATAGGCAGTATATTAGCCAAGGAAGGAGTGGAAAAAGCGCGGCCCCATTAAAAATGGCTGAATTATAAGGTCGATCTTCTACCACGCAGCATCAATTTAATTAAAGATAGTTTTAGTTTTTTCTATACTGCTTTGAGTAAAGATAAAATCTATCTTTTCGATCATTTTGCGTTTTGTTTTGTTTTTCTCTTTGCTTGCTTTTTTTTTAATTAATTAGAGACAAATTTACTTTGTTCTATTTTTTCAACCTATCGTTGAAGCTATCGCTGTGCTTTGTTATTTTGTATTTCCTAATTAGCCTACTCATATGGGTTTTATGATTATCATTTTATAATTTTTTAGCTTTTTCAACGGCTTGAATAATTTTGCAATAACTATTCAAGTTTGAGAAAAAAAATTCTTATTCGTTTGTCGTATCTTATTTTAAAAAGGTATTGCTTGGATAGAGTTGATGAGCGCATTTGCATTTACGTTTTTTTTCATTATTTATCTTTCTTGAAATTCTTTGATTTTTCTCCGTGTTATGAGTATTTTCTTACGCTATATTTATTGATAGATGAACCAAAAGAATCCCATTTATTATCGTCTTCTAAAAAATATTATCTTTTCTATCAAATTTTAAAAAAAAATTAGATTTGAAATTAGGATTTTTATTAGGTCCGTTTCTAGTGCAAAAGATAAGTTATGCATTCCCCGTTAGATGTAGTTTGCATGTGGATCTAATCCAATTATAAAGCTACCTCCAAGCACAACTATCACGTTTTTTCCTCCTGTTTTTTTTGTTCTGTTAGATTTTTATTGCATCGAATATATATTATAATGGCATTAGTATTCACGCTACAGGATCTGAACGCCACCAATACTTTTAATGTCTATAACAGTATGGTTAACTTATCAAATATTCTATATCCATACATGGTTGATTGAATTTGTTTGATCTTCGGGCAACATGACATTTCATAATGCACCAGACCTAGGTTCTTCAAATGCAATTCGAGCAAATAAATGTTGCGCCAATGTTATTTAGCGAATAAAATCATATTGACAATTTCATTAAGTTTCACATTACACAATTTTCGACGTGAATATATTGTCCGATCTATTACACCTTTAACCACTAGTTTGGCCCATAAATAACGTGAAAAAATTGCTGCATGTTGTACCTCACATTCTTCTTTTTCTTGGCTGTAATATCACATAAAAAAAAAAAAGCACACTTGCCGCATGATTTATCATGGTACATACTAAATAGAAAAGTAAACTTCTGTGGCCTTTTCTCCAAAGAAACGGAGTCCTTTACCTAATCACTTACACAAGTTAGCTTTTACTTTGTGGACACAAACGGTGCTTTTCAGATACCAATGCTCGGGAGTCTATAGATGAACATATATCTCCCTCGAATTTCACAAAGATACAGAACTTTTAATGGACAAATAAAGAATTGCGCCAATGCCATGCTTACTCTTCGGCTATCAGGCGCCCTTTGTCTCTGCATGCTACGGTTACTTACTCAATTCGACGGATCGCCAATCACACAAACATGTCGAAAGCCTGGATTGCAGTTTGCACTTGCACCGAAACATTGCGAATAAAGTAGACGAAGACACGCAGATAACGACTGAGAAGTCCATCTCTACATTCGCACCCGAAGCAGTATGTTCATGTGCAACATTCCCAAAATTAAAAATGAGAAAATGAGAAACTGTTGATTGCTCTCCTCTCATAACCCTTATATCCATCAAAACCTCCTCACCGTCAAACTAGCTTTTCAAGAGAATAAGAACACCAACGGACTTACACCCCCATCTTTACTATCCACCATTCAGAGGAATTCAATCTCTCTCGCAGAAGCATCCATTTGCTGAGAAAAAATCAAAGAAAGGCTGGTCACTGTTGTTACAACCATCTCGAGCCTCCGAAGAAGAAGTGGAGGTCATAGCCGAACAATCTAGATCAGCGTGAGAACAATCGCGATCAGCAAGAGAACACTTTGTCGTATCTTGTACAGCATTGCCAGTTGGGTGTAAAGGAAAGAGGTCCAGAGTTTCTTGATTTCTCTCGACGGTGTTGTCGTTGTCGCTCTCAGCTGTTTGGTGGACCGTCACGTCATGATGATGTCCTTGGGGGTGCGCGGGATACGCAAAACATGTACGACAGAATGTTTTTGTTCTCTCCAGTAAGTCAGTCCTCTGTCTCCTCTTGATGCCACAAGGAAGAAGCACCTTCGGGCATTGTGTGTACATCGTCCCGATGTCACTCCGTGGCACGAAGTACGGTCCACAAACAGCTGAAACCAAAACAAGAAAACATAATCAACCTCAGAAGACTTTATGACCAAAAAAACCTCAGTGGCCTTGACTACGTTATAAAAGAGCTTTGCATGTCCACACGCGTCAGGTACAATGCCAAAGAAAGAAATGAAAATGCAGGGTTGTGGTACGATCAAGAAAGTTGATAGAATATCGTTCGACGTCAAAACGAGGTACCCCACGTGTATGTTGCTGCAGAAGTAGAAAAAAAAAGGCCGTATACAATGCAAAGTATGTACAACATAATACTAGGAGGAGGAGGAGGAGGAGCAGGAGGAGGAGAAGAAGAAAGTATCGGCCATGACTGTTATATTTTAAACTATACGTCAAAGCTTGAACGCGATCTGTGCATATGCACTCAAGGCATATTTGAGTGCAGTACAGGTAACTACATGACACCAGAATTGCCATATTGAATCCTTGCATGCGAGAGACCAAGTCGGAATGCAAACAGTGTTATCGCTTCATGACATGTTCTTTTAGCTAGTAATGAAATGTTCAGAAACAGATACCAAACTGTACCAAAAGGGCCAATCGTACAAAAAGGGAAGTTTGTTTGAGCAATGCAAAAAGAAATGAATTAGGACGGACCATTTGGGCAAGGAGGATGGAAGGCGGGACGGGCAGACTTGTGGAAGTACCGGTTGAGGTAAGTCAGGCTCTCCTGCTTCTCCTTCTGCCTCTGGCGGGCCTTGTGGTTCTGGAACCAGTAGAACACGTTCTTGCCCTCGATGTGCCCATACGCCTTGAGCCTCCCCGTTATCTGCTGTATCTGCTCCGCCGTCGGCGTCCTTATCCCTTGCCTGTACAGGTTCTCCAGTATGCTGATCTGCTCCTTCGTCGGGTTCCACCGCGAGCTCGCCGGCGAGCCCCCTCCGGAGCCGCCCATGGCTCCCGCGCGATGATGGTCCTCAGTACCGATCTCCATGATGAACTCGCGAGTTCTTTTTTGTTTCCCTTCGGTCTTCGTATGAAGGTCTAGGGTTCACACGAACAGACGCTTCGCAAGCTAGAAATGTGCTGTTGCGCAGGAGAATGTGAGCCTATAATGAGAGAGAATGAGAGGGAGTGGAGTGTCACATGCTCGTTGCATGGTTCTGGTACTCTTGCGCAACGAAGAAAGAGATAAATAAGGGGGGAGAGAGAGAGAGAGAGAGAGAGAGTCAAACAAAAAGGCGAGAGAGAGAAATTTAGGGCATTGACACGCGTATTGTATTTTGTGCAGAAAATCTCTGAAAACATGACGGGTAGCGGCCGGAGGAGGAGGCTCTCTACGCAGGAGGTTTCGTGATTTTGGGAGAAAAATATATATACTTAGAGAGAGGGGGAGAGAGAGGATTATTAACAAATTACATGTTTTGTTTTTTTGGGTAATGAGATTTGGGATGTAGTGGTATTGTGGGATTGTTCCGTATAAATGTAGGTCTCGGGAATGACAGAGGACAGAGAGGGAACATAGGTTACGCCATTGAAGGAAAGCAAGGGCAAGAGAGTAAATACCGGGAAAAGGACAGCCGGTTGGGCTGTAAGGAAGTAGGGCGGGGGAGCTATCGCTAGGGCTTTGGGAATTGAAGAAGTTGGAGCAGAGACAGGTGGAGTTGAAACGTCTTCCTGGGTCCAGGTTGCTTGTCTTTGCTCTTGTTCTTTCTGGTTGCCTCTTGGCCTCCTCCTCCTCCTCCTCCTTAATGGTCTTATTAACACCAACTCTGTTAACAAACAACCCTTCTTGAGTTTGCCTTTCGGGCTCTCAGGTGGTCTTTTTCGTCGCTCGTCGGTATGAAGATATTGACATTACAGTCCATTTCCATTTGCCTTCGAAGAAGAAGAGGATAAAACACAGAGCTGCAAGCATGGCTACTCTTCTCAATACTTGTCATTATACGATATAGTAGCTCTTTCAATAAGATTCTTCATATGCATAAGTTTGCATTAAAGAACTTCTCTGTGATCTTCTTTTGGAGATTAAAATGATCCGAATTCAGATGAGCAATATTGTCTAGTTCCCACTTCAAGTCGTGCTCAATCAATTCTTGAATTGGCAGTAATTTCGAGGGTTTTGATTAAACTAGTTTTGGCAAAGATACATTGGGGGTACCTTGATGTCTTCAAAACTAAGTTGCCAGATTTTAACGCTTCATATTCTTAAAGCCTTCCTATTGTAGATTCGGGTTACTTGCTGGTTAATTACTTAAGCAATCAATCTAAAATCGCCATGAGTCTATTTCAACTGCATTGCTAGAAAACCTAGGTATTAGAGAAAAAGTTGTCCACCATCTAACTCGTGGGAATGCTGCTAGGCATATTTGTATGACAACCTAGAGCATTTGTTTTGATGGTTCAACTTCATGTACTAACGTATTAGCATCCCGCAACGCCCTTTCAGAGTCACAATTACACTCATTTTAGTCTTAATGTACAACTACCTATGTTTTTTTGCGGTCTAAGCTTGGTAATCGTTGTTTATAGTGAAACATCGCCGCAATCACTATCCAGCAAAAAGCGTTACGAATGAAACAAATAATCATTCGTTTAATAACGCAACACCATCAATATATGCATCTGAAATACTTACGGTACAACGAATACGCATGCATATAATCTATCACATGATGAATGCAAACAAATAAGAGTATTTTGTGAACAATCTCATGTAATATGTGTCATTCCCAAATGCGCAAACAAAATTGAAAGTTCACTTAGTAGGAGTTTAGAGGAGATTTAGGCAATGTGAAATGCTTGAAGAACGAGTAAAAACGAATATTTCAAACTTAGCCTTCAAGGAAATATTTGAAAATATATATGTTTGCACCCTAAGCAACTTCCAGAGTAAATATAAAGAACACAAAACGCAATGATTTTCTCAGCACTTTTTCTACCGTGTTGTCGGTTGAGTTCGATTCATCTCAGTTTGGTAAAGTTCATTTAGTCACGTGAGCTCTTATTTAGTTTCAAAGTCTTCTCGTACAAACTTTTTTATCATCTTTTTATCAACTACTTTTGTCATTTAGCTTCTAAGACAGGTCAATCAAATTATTTATTTTCAATGCCCTCCTTTTCTCCGAGATTTAATCGAAATTATTCAATGCCAACATATCATGAATAATCAAGAGTTTCTCGGTATCATAAAAATGAAACCGACGGTTCTATCGATAAACGTATTTGTGTTCGATTAATTATTTACTTAATTATTAGGTTGAAGAGTCATAAATTTTGATTTAAATTTTTAAATCGCGAATGGTATCGAGTGACATGATAATTGAAAAATCCATAAGAAATTTCTGCTTCTCTTTTTTGAAAAATTTGAAGAATTACTTGTCCCTTCAATCAATGAATGATTGAAGGAGGGGTGGGTCGTGAACGGAGTTCAAGTTGTGGGTCGTAGGTTTGTCGTGTTGTTAGTCATGAATACGATCAGGTGCCGCCACCTATCAGCGCCGCCTTGTTCGGCGCGACCTCCAAATCGCAGCCCCAATTTCCCGCACCGAATAAGATGCAGATGGACGGACGCTCCCCCGATTTTTTTTTTCTATCTCTCCGACGTTGCACTCTCTCTCTCTCCTCCTTTCTTTTCAATTTGGTCAGCACGAGACAAATTCCATTTTAACCTGACGTGTTTGGCCGAAAGCGGTGAAGAGAGAGTGCCATGCAGATGCAATCGGGATTCTCAGTTTCGTAATTGGTGCAGATCAATGGTTGGACAAAAAGTAATTGTTTTTTTCGGTCTAATTCCTTAAAAAAAAAACTCTCTAACTTTACGTCGAATTTTAATTTTGCTTCGAACCTCTTTCTTTGCGTCTAAAATAGAATCATCAACTCTCACTTTAGTTTCAAAATCGCTGATAGTCGTCCAAAAAGCTGAATGTAGATCATGCAGATTGTACATGATCCACATGTAGATTTTTTTTTTTAATTTAGATATAGGATTTGTCAAAATGGGTCATGAGTGAAAATCCGCATCGTGTGGTTAAGATTGATTTTTAGATTTTTGGATGGAGGGTTAACCGACAAATTTGAGATTATAGTAAAAATTAATTTTTATTTTTTAGATGAGGAAAAGTTTTGGACAGAATTGATACTAAACCTAAAGTTTGAGGATTTTTAAAACAATCAGGCGGATTTTGTTATTATGTGATCCTCGGATCAAGCATATAATGTGTACGCCATCATAGAAAAGATATACACATACGACATGACACAAGTACGGATAAATTAATAATAGTCAAACCTATTGTAACCAGAAGTCGACAACCAAATACATATATAAGTTTTGACCGTGCCGCATCCTTTTCTTTTGTCATTCACGCCACATTTTGTTAGCAACTTTTTACCATTAGCTCACTATGATTGAATATCATCATATGGGTATTCTCATCATAAAGAATATGTCTATTCACTTTTAAATAGATTAGAGTTGAGCATGGTTTTAGAGTAGAATCAAAACTGAACCGATGGGAACCAAAAAACTACCGGTCCGGTTCCAGAGTATGTAGATTCCAAGTTCCAAAAATTGGAGAAATCGGTTTCGACGGGCACGTTCTAAATTGTAGACCTAGAACAAGTCTTTGTATTTTTCTTGTTCTATGTCTTCGCGTTGGTATCCCATGACATGCGATAATGAGCTTGTAATCTGGAATCACTAGCCTAAGCTTTAAGTTTCATATTATTCGTATCTAAATATGAATTGTAATCAATGAATTATGGCAGTAAATGGTTGTCATTAGAGATAACGATTCACTACAATACTTCAATCAAGGATATAGGTGAAACTTGAATAAATCCTAGAACGTATCATGTTCCAAGTTTCATAGTATGCTGGGTAGAATCCAAATTTCAAAAATTTGAAAATCGATTCTAATGAGGAGGTTCCAAGTTTTAGGTAAAACCTAGCCGACCCTGAAGGTCACCCCTAAAACATATGCCATTCCTTAACATGACAAGACCTTCAATTCGTAACTCTAGAATACGAGTGAATGCCACTTCATAAAGTGGTGGAAATGGAAATGGATGCTATGTAAAAAGATGATGGCCCTAAAAACAATTGAAAGTTTTCTCAGATGAGAAACTCCGTCTTTGCCGAGGGGTGCAGGTCCTGCAGGATTCTTCGAAAGAGCGCGGGCCAACTCGAAGACCGGGGACCTCAGCTTAACAAGGGATGAAGGGACACCGCTTTCTCCACTTGCGGCTTATGCAGTGGTCGGCCTTCTTCCTCAGACGACGCCATCAATCTATTCCAAATTGCACAATAGGAAGATCTTCCTGCCCGACAAAAACTCCATTTCACTTTTTTCACATGGTTTTTCCCCTTTCCACAGGTAAACACAAGAGAAATACAAATTCCGTATTAAGGAATAATATATATCTGAATACATGACATCTCTTCCACTTAAAAAGGTAGAGGATGATCACAATTTTACATCTCGGATAGTACATTCGCATCAACGTTGGAGACATCAAAACTCGCAGCTTTTCTTTCACCGTCCATTCGTTGAATGAGCCCTACAGTCCTCAAACAACACAGACCAATGAATTTCTTGCTTCACAAGTGGACAGGCAATCTTCCACCTTCCCCTTCGACGTGAAACCCTTCTGAATACGTTAAATCAAACCAAGATCACAAAGAAAAAGCACACAAGAGGTGGTGAAAAGCTTCAGTTATCGTTATCAACTACATGTGCAGTCGAGGGCGGCTCTGAAGGCTGAGCATCGGCCTCAGCCTCAGTCTCAGCCTGTACCTGAACCTCCACCTCGGTCTCAGCCTGTACCTGAACCCCCACCTCAGTCTCGGCCTGTACCTGAACCCCCACCTCGGTCTCAGACCGTACCTGAACCTCGACCTCAGCCTCGGTTTCGGCCTGTGCCTGTGCCTCCTGCTGCTGCTCAGCCTCAGCTTCGGCCTGTGCCTGAGCCTCCTGCTGCTGCTCAATGAAACGGCTCAATCGCTCAAGCAATTGAGCAGCCTTTCGCTTCCCTCTGTCTGTTCCATTTTGTGCCAATTCCACCAGTGGGTCCATGATTCCAAGTTCCTTCGCCTCTAACAGATGATGCTGATCTCCAGCCCAAAGATGCACCAAAACGGCAGCTGCGTTCTCCTTGTTCCTAGGAGAACCAATGCGAATAAATTCTACAAGAACTGGCACTGCCTTTGCAGCACCGATGGTGGCCCTCCCTTCAGTATGACTGGCTAAGATCGCCAGTACAGCCAGTGCCTCATCCACCATAACGCCTCCAGGTTCAGTTAGAAGCTGCATCAGGGTGGGTACAATGCCAGCCCTAACAGCCTTCCCTTTGTTACCTTGATAAATGCACAAATTAAAAAGAGCTGTTGCAGCATCCTTCTTCCCCCTTTGGCTTCCTTCGCTTAGAAGCAACACGAGTGGAGGAATTGCGCCAGATGCACCAATTGTTACTTTATACTCATCTACAACTGAGAGGCTGAAGAGTGTGGCCGCTGCATTTTCCCGTGCTTCCATACTCCCAGTCCTCAGAACATGGACTATGCCTGGAACGGCTCCAGAGGAGACAATATTACCTTTGTTCTCATCGCATATTGAAAGGTTGAGTAGTGCGGTGACAGCATGCTCTTGGATACGTGAGTCTGGAGTTGAAAGAAGGCGTACGAGGAAGGGAATCGCACCTGCTTCAGCTATGGCGACACGGTTATCTGCATTACGTTTCGCGAGAAGGCGAATCTCACCTGCAGCTGCTCGCTGTTCCTCAGGATTCCCAGAAGCAAGCTTGCGCAGGAGAAGTTCAATCTTAGCGCATTCAGCAGGGAAGCAGGCTGAGCTAGTTTTAGTGGGTCGAGAGCTGCTGGGTGGTTTGGGTGGCTCAATGCCATTAACCTCACACCATACAGCTATAAGGCTGCGAAGGACATAGTTGGGTGTAAGAGTTGTACTAGAAAGGGTTTGCTGTGTCTTTGGACATGTCCTACGACCTGCTTCCAGCCATTTCTCAATGCATGAGCGTTCATAGGTCTGCAGCAGGAAAAACAGTGATCAGTACATAAGGACTGTGGATATATGCAAACCATATCCAGGAGCATGCCCGCAGGGCCGGGGTGGGTGGGAAAATCTGTGTCTATATAGTACTATGAGTGAGCCTGCTCAAAAGTAGAAGTTTTTGCATTTTGTCAGTTTTAACATATGCTAACACGAGAGCCTAGAGTTGCTAAGGGTTATATGCTAATATGAAAGTCTAGAATGCTATATGCTGGGGCCAAAAAGGACTCTTGGTCCATAGTTAACTACAATCACCCATCAGACTCAGAATAGATTGGTTTGTTATGTCCTTGAGATATAGTTGGATTCCCATGATAGTGCAACTGCAACATAGTCAAGACCCCACAATCCAGGAAGAACAAGTAATGCACTTACCTGGCCTGTTGACACAATAACAGGATCGTTCATCAACTCCAAGGATATTGGGCAACGGAAATCATCTGGGATGACCGGTGTTTTTTGATTGTTATCAGCTGATGATTGCCCGCTCGAACTGGGAAGAACATTCTTTTCGATAGTAGGCGGATCCATATCAAGGTTCTCTGTCTGCACAAAGTCTTTAAATTTCTTCAGCAACATCGATAACCTCTCAATGCTCTCGCCAGGATCTCCACCACTTGCACAAACCATCTCATGTAGAGCCAGTGACTCCTGTTTAAGGTCAGCAATCTTCATTAACTCAAGCTTTTCAGCCAATCTTCTTAAGACAGCTGGATCCGAGGTTGTGTCACTACTCTGGTTATAAAGAGCTAAGAGCTCTTCATACAACTCAACATCAGGTAAATCGACTCTTCCTTTAGCTCTTCTAAATTGTCCAAGGATGAGCTCAGCCTGGAAGCCAAAAGTTAGATACTCTTCATTGAAGTATCGAAACTAAAAACTCAATGTTAAGAGTTCTAATGCCTTGCAAGAGAAGTATTCTTAACGTATTGGAGATAAAGAAGTTTTGAAATAGATGAAGTCCACTCTTGTGTGCACAACTTTCCAGTCAGTTATATTTTTATCAGTACTAACCATCATATGTAAGGGTCTACGTAACGAGTAGATTCCACAAAAATTATGTCGACATCACCAAGAAAATAACATACTGCATAGTTTAACCGTAACCACATCCCAGATAAATTGAAAGAACATGCTTTCAAGGATGAAATCTTACCTGTTCCTTCACTTCATCTGATATGTCCAGGTCTTCATAGGAAATTCCACTTAGAGCTTGTTCCAGTTGCGAGGTCACCTCATGACATTTATTCATAATCTGCTCCCTTTCTAAGACCTGCAAGAGGATTGGAACAAAAAAATATAGTTTAAGGAATGAAAATTAAACAGACTAATTTCATGGAAAGAATCATGCGTTACAGTTATTAAACGGCCCTTCTTTGATCCTTCCTCCAGAGAAATCGAATGACTAATTTAGCAGCAGATAAGTGTATAACCGTGTATGCAAGCCCTGTTGTAGTACAATTAGAAAAGTGACATTTGGTCGACACTTTGCATCGCCAGTTGAATAAGAGAGAGAGAGAGAGAGAGAGAGAGAGAGAGAGAGAGAGAGAGAGAGAGAGAATAGAGTGGTTTTATGGGGCTGCACTGGTACCAAAGTAAAATGTGGTTGCACTCCATTCAGTGAGAGAATCCATAAAATTTACAGAGGCAACACAATTCAGTGATGGATATTCCAACTACCAACCCTGCAACCCTCCTTTCCCAAATGCCAATTCACTATAAATTAGACATGTATCCAGTCTTCAGACACAATGATGGGAAAGCTGGTTAAATCTTCACGAAATTTTACAATAAGCAGGATATTCTCGTGCAGTAGAGTCATGAGGCATTAAAAGAAGTGACGCCACTGAACTTGCAAGAAGAATCAACTTATCCCCTCCTCTTGGTCTTTCAATGCCAAACACCGAGAACCATAAATCAACCTCGAGCATTAAGAGCATTGGCAATTGCTACAATCATCACAAGCTACTAAGCTCATAGATGTAGCCCGTGCTACAAAGAGTCCCCCTCACATGGAGATGTCGAAACATGTTAACAACAAATCTATAATACGCTCCTCTTGGCATTTGATGCTACTAATTATAACCAAGACCATTGCTCCAATGTTGCATCTTCTGTCCTCAGACAGTACGACACCTCTAGTCGATATGCGTCTGACTACTTATTTACCAAAATGTGTATTAAATACCACCTATTCTACCTCTAGGAGCTCCCTCTTCAAGCTAATTCGCAATGGTCCGCTCCTATTGTAGACTCTCGATTGAACTTTTCACAGAATTGACCCCAGAAAAGGGCAAATCTCCACTAAAACTTCACATCAAACCAACATGAACGGGGATGTAAAAGTAACCAGCAAACTACTCGAAATGGCTCTGATATCTGAAAGTTCCTCGGAAACAAAAAAAAAAAAAACCAAAACTCTTAAGGGCGGAGCAAACAGAATCCAACAGACCAAGGAGCGCTTAACGAACGGGCACGCACCAGGTAAATCTTGCTGCCTTCGGTGCCGAACCTCAGCAGCTCCTTCGCGGCACTCAGAGCCTCCAAGAGCGAGGCGAGAGCCCCGATCGTGCCTTCGGGCATTGACTCCCTGCAGTCCTTAATCTCCTCGAAGAGCGGGGTCAGCAGCTTCAACCGCCGGGCCAGGTTGCAGTACTGCCTCTTGATCGTGCTCCTGTACCCCGAGATGGAAGCTATCTCGTTGACCGCGTCGATGACTCTCTGAGCCAGCGCTCCTTTGTCCTCCTCCGCCATGGCTCGCGCGCGCGCCTTCCGATATTGGGAGCGGCACCTCCGGCGAGGGTCCTCGAGGAACGTAGACTGCTGACTTTACTGAGAGGTACGCGAGCTTTCCCGTGGGGCTAAGTTTGGAGCGACGGGAGGGCGTCGATGTCACAGGCCATGCCGGACTCCATTTGAGAGAGAGAGAGAGAGAGAGGGTGAAGTAGCGAAGCTAATAATTTGCGTCTGAAAGTTAGAAAATTAGTAAAAATCGAGCGAGCAAAACCTGCTTTTTGGGCCCCCCCCCCCCCCCCCCAAAAAAAGAAAAACAAAAAGGCGAACGCTCGGAGCCGAGTGTGGAACTGACGACTGCAGTCGGCTCGGCTCGGCTTAGGTTATTGCTTGGTGGAACTTTAGGAGAGGGTTGAGTTGGGTTAGTTGGACCCAACCCAACCCCTACGGCGTGCTCTCTAGAGGAGAGGTGGGCCCACCCGCGCCCGTTTTTGGACAGATCGTTGCAAGTTCAAAACGGGTGGGTTAAAACACGACTATTTTTTTTTTGGAAAAATTTTATTTTGGTATTCAAAATGGGGTCATTTTCTCAATTTGATACCTAAAGTGAACATAATCTCAAATTGGTACCCAAAGTGCCCATTCAATCTCAATTTGGTACCTGAGTTCGCCGGCCGGTCAAATGCTCACCGGCCGGCTACCTGAACAATATTTTTTTTTACTTTTTTATTTTTTTTTCTTTTTTCCTTTTTCTATTTTTTTTCTTTTCCTTTTCCTTTTCTTTTTTCCTTCTTCCCTCTGCCAGCTATAGCCGTGGCCGGCGGAGGTCGTCGACGTCGGGTGAGGGCCGCCCTCGCCTGGGCGGGCAAGGGCCGACCCTCGCCGGATCTGGCGAGGGTCGCCCTCGCCTGCGTCGAGCGAGGACCACCCTCGCTCGGGCGGCCCTCACCAGATCCGGCGTGGGCGAGGCTTGCCTCGCCGGATCTAGCGAGGGAGGCCGCCGGGCGAGGGCCCCGCCGGCCGGCGAGGGCGGCCCTCGCCGGCCGGCGAGGGCGAGGGCCCTCGCCCGGGTTGGCGAGAGTCACCCTCGCCTGGGTCGGGCGAGGGCCGACCCTGGCGAGGGTCGAGGATGCAGCCGAAGAAGCGAGAGCAGTAGGCGAGAGAAGAGAGGGAGTAGGAGAGACAAACGAAGTGGGAAGCCACGAACTAGTCCTGCTCGAGCCCCATGACGATGATCTGGGCGTGCAGCTGGTGGATGTGGGCGGAGTTCTTGCAGGACTTGAGGAGGGTGACAATGGACGGCAGCTTAGCAGAGGTCGCCGGCATCGGCCCTCGCCGGCGTCGGGCGACCCTTGCCAAATCCGGCAAGGGCCGACGCCGGCGACCTCCGCAGGCCACGGCTATGGCCGGCGGAGGGAAGAAGGAAAAAAAAAAGAAAAGGAAAAGGAAAAGAAAAAAAATAAAAAAATAAAAAAGCAAAAAAAAATACTGTTCCGACAACAAATTTCTTGCCGGCCGGTGAGCATTTGACCGGCCGGCGAACTCAGGTACCAAATTGAGACTGAATGGGCACTTTGGGTACCAATTTGAGACTATGTCCACTTTGGGTACCAAATTGAGAAAAGGCCCTCACTTTGGATACCAAAATGAAATTTTCCCTTTTTTTTATAACTCAAAAAAAAAAACATGACTATTTTTTTCCACCTAGAAAAAAAGAACAATACTCTTTTTTCTTGCACGTCATTCAACCCAGATCATTTTCATATTTACGATTTAATCTCCGTTCGTTTCGCAAAAAAATTAATAATTTAAAAAAAATTCTAAAACTTATTATTTGTATCGTTTAAAATAATTAACCAATAAAAATTAAATTTTATTATCAGTAATAATTTATGTCTTTTTCATTTTTTGTAAGCGATATAAAGGATCATTTTTTAAGAAAATATTTTTCGAATTATTCATATTTCGCGAACCAAACGGAGCATGATATCTTTTAAAAATTATGGACAGGTTTGGGCATGAATTTGTACGTCCATCCTCAAGCCCAGCCTAATATGCCAAATGCATGTTATGATCAACTCTAGTGCCTTTGGATGTGTTTTCCTCTAGATTGTTTATTTGAAATTTAGCAATGACGTTCGGGGTATTGACGGTTTTGCATATACTTTCCCAGTGTGCTTGGAAAATCAATCCTGCGATTTTCGAACCAAATGTCATTAAGCGTGACCATCCAATAAGTTCCTTAGAGCGGAGTTATCAACAAATGTATTGAGTGCGTTATTTTTCGCAACACAGAGTATTTCGACAAAATGTATCCAGATTAATAATATCGTTAATGTTGTGCTTAGAAGGAGAAAGATCTCGGGGTTTGGATTCCAAATACAAAAGATCCATATTCAAATAATTATATTATTTGCTTAGAGCAACTTTAGGACTTTCGTACCTCACGTGACGAGATGAGTCTTGCTAAGTGCATGTTGACACAATAGTTTGGATGTATTCGTGAAATTAGTTTGGTAGAAAATTAGAATTCCCTGTGTTATTATTTTCACTATAGCATGCCTCGTGCTGTAAAAAAAAAAACCCTCCGAAATATTTTATACGATATTAAATATCTCAAATTATACTTGCCGCGACATAGTTGCCCTAACTTTTACTTGTGACATAAAAAGCCCCAAACTTATACCTATGTAACACATTTACCCTCTGTCAAAGTTCCGTTAAATAACTTTTGAGCTAAAACAACGTTTTCATTTCACTTAAACCACATATAGTCAAAATTGTTTGCTTTCTAGCGTCGATATAAGTAGATTTTTAATGATTCTCATTGATAAAACTTTGACGGAATAGGGTAAATGTGTCACATAAAAAATTTCATGATAAATGTATCATAGTGAGCATAATTTAGGGCTTTTTCTTATGGCTTTTGCTCAATTTTATAACAAAGCTTTACAAATTTTGTTTTCAAAATACTTGATTTGACATGCTCCATATTAGATATCAAGTATGATAATTGAGCGATACACAATAAACCAAGTATAAAATGCATTAAATCGATTGAATATTTGAAGGGTATTCGGTTGGAGCGACTTATCTAATCGGTGGCACGATTTTCTTAAAGATTGCTCATCATTATATAATTTGAAACGATTTTGTAGATGTTGCAGAAGATGCAATGACGATATAAAGTAGTAAAATGTACGATTCCAAATCAAAAGTACATAGTTTTGGAAATACGAGATCTAATATAACCTGAAGGATTATTATTTTATTTGCGGTTTTGTCGAGCATAGATATGTTATATGCAGCTAAATTTTAAAAAGCTAAGCATTGAAAAGTACATAGGATCTTATCAATCAATTCGGAGGCAAGTGGCCATACCAACGCGTACACGCATTTCACACCGGGGAATCGAATAGACACCGTACACGTGGAACCAGGAAACACGCGAGACGTCAGATTCCGGACCAACTCCTGGAGTGGGCCATGGGCCCATCAGATTGTCGACACGTGGCCCACGTTGGCTCAAGTGTATGGTGTGTTTATTAATAGCCCCTTGTTTTGGTCTTCGTCGTTCTTCTGACACGGACCGGGTCGTGCCGACCCCGAAGTTCCGAGCGACTCCTTGTGCCAGCCGGCTCGGCTCATCGGCTCCTCCCAGCTTAGCTTGCGCCGGCTTAATTAGCCACTTTGGTTTGGACTGGCAGTCTATGTACGGATTTCAATTTGAAAAGTGCCGTGAAGAAGACATCATTATTTTCAATCAATATTTTGGAATTTAACATTTTCTTTTTCTGATTATTTATTTATATTTAGCAGGTGCCTCTACGGGTAAAGTTGTCCATGATTGCGTCCGACAGCGAGCCGTCGCACGCCTTATACTTGGAACGGAAATGAACCAGAAAAGTACGATAGATTAGAACATGAAAGGAGCTTAGGGTGCTTTTGACAATCATTCTATTTTTGAAAATAATTTTTATTTAATTTTTTTTATTTTTTATTTTATTTCTGAAAATAATTTCTAAGCCTTGAAAGCGTTGGTAACTGCTCAAAATTTCTAATCTTGGAATAGAAAAAGAAGAGAAATGAGTTTAGTAACTGCACAAAATTTCTTTTTTTTTAATATTTTAATAATATGTTGAATTTTTAAATGTTTTTTTCTTATTATTTTTCCTTTTTTCTTTTTTTTTTCTTTTTCTTCCCTTCATTGGCCTAGGGCCAGGTCGAGTCGCCGGCGCCAGCGACCAGCCACAGGCTAGGGCCGCTAAGGGCATTGCGGCTACCGACCTAGCGAGGGTCGCCGTCGCCAGATCCGGCGAAGGCGACGGCGAGGGTGCCCTCGCCCTCGCCGACCACAGGCCAGGAAGAAAACAAAGAAGAAGAAGAAGAAAAAAAAATTCTTTTTCATTTCTGATTCTTGTTTCCATAATCAACAAGCAACTTTTTTTTTCTTTTTGATTCTGTTTCAAAACTGATTCTGTGTGCCCGGGAACAAAAAATTTACCAAATTGATTTTGGGAATAAAAGAATAGAATCAGTTACTATTTTGCCAGCTACCAAACGCACCCTTACTTGGCCGTCTGCCGACGTCTCGGTTACATCGTCCGCGAGCTACAAGTTCTTCTTCACGAGCTTCAATTCCGTCGACCGCATATTTCAAGTTCGTCGTTGGTGAGCTTTAAGTCCCAACGCTTGATAAATTTAGGGAAAATTCTCCCAAATTAGATGAGATTTATTTGGAATGCTTCGTTGATGCTTGTTTTGTCTCCTTTCAATTTTGATAGTGATTAGTCATATATGAAGCATAATTCTTCAAGAAACACAAGTAGGAATGCTTTTCTATTTCTTCTTAGTGCTGATAATCTAATTCTCGATTATCAGCGGTCACTGTCATTTTGTTTTGTGGGAATTCGCATTAGCTGAGTCGGAAATGGAAGTTCTTCCTCTCCCATTTCAACGGTTATGAAAATGAATTTGCATGTGGTGGCAATTCTTTTGCTCTTCACATTTTCAATTTTGGCATTATACATGGAATCGTGAGTGTTGGGATGCTCGGTGTTGTTGCCGTTGACTACTGAGTTAGAGAGAAATGTCATAGGTTATGAGCCGCCTGTGTAGTTGGGCTTGCACTAAATGCATGTGTCCATGTTTGTCTATGTGTTACTTTCTGTTGGTTAGAAATACATATCAAGGGAGCCCAGCTTGGTCGACTTATACCTTTGTTGTCTCTCTCTTTTTCATTACTTTGACCCTAGGGCATGATGCGGTTCAAAAGGTCACCCCGTACCACGTGGTCAGGCACGAGGTCTTACCAGGTTCATTCGTTCTGATGACCCAACCTTGATCTCTAAGCAGCAACCTTTTGCTAGAATTGTTGGCGGATTGGGCGGCAGAAACAGCTGAAGGAAGTGATTTTTGGGTAGTCTTGAGGTTGCTTTATAGGTGCAGCAGGCGATTTGCAGCAGATCACTGGCTTGGCAAAACGGGTGATTTGAGCAGCTCACCATTTCATTTGCACTTCATCTTGAAATGCCAATAGATATCCAAGTTTGAAATTTTTAAAAAAAAAAAAAAACCCCCCCCCCGGGGGGGGCCCCCCCCCCCCGCCGCCCCGCCCCCCCGCCCCGGGGCCGTAAAAAAAAAAAAAAAAAAAAAAAAAATTTAGTCCTTTCAAGTTTTATAGGACAACAATGTTTGAAGGGTCGAGAAGACTGGCCTCCCAATTCGGTCCGTAAAATTATAAGTTGCTCCAAAGTCCTATACGCATTAAAGCAGAAGACTTTGCTCACTTGCTTGCGGAGACCTACCATTTAAGTCATTTTCACAAAGTTTCTTGCTCTGATTACTGTCAAAGCACAATTCCAAACGACCTTTATCGCCAGTTCTTCCCTCCCTTAAAAAGTAAAAAGCTCGGTTAGCTAGTTGAAAACGACATTGAATTGGTATTTTATTCATATGCAGATGGTGACCACATTTGGGATGTCTGAAATTGGCCCATGGTCTGTGCTGATTTAATCATGAGGATGATGACTGGAAATGATAATTTGGATCAAATTCCACGTCCTAATTATCCCATTAAATGCCAATAGGCATGCGGCCCTGCTAGTAAAGAGATTGGGGGTAGAGACGCTAGTATCACAAGTACGGGATTTGACTCCCGCGCTGTGCAAAAGGTAGAGCAAAAGTCAGAGAGTATGGAGAATTAGAGATACGACAGACAGAAAAAATAAATTATCCCTTTAAATTCCAAGTCACGGTACATCTATAGTTATATTTGTTTACAATAAAAAATGATTGCATTTATAGCACCAACCCAACAAACTACTAAAATAATTAATTACCGAAAGCTCTAATAGTCCATCAACTCCCATAACATATTCGACCAAAAAAAAAAAAAAAAAACCTCCTAACGTCCTTGGCCATCTTCGATCTAGGTGGGAGTCTTCCAAAGACTCTTGATGCAGCGTGGGTAACATAAGGGTCTATTAGACCCATTTTCTAACATATATTATAAGTTTTAGTCTATCCGTATATCACCCTATTTATTAAATATGAGTTAAAATGCGAGTCCATGACCTATTTTGCTATCTCTAATTCTAACTAATAGGCTCGGTCCCTTTGAATAAAACTTTTTTTTTCCGACAATATGAGTCTAGCTTGATTTTCAAATATTGCTCCTTTTTTTCCATTTTGGGCCGTCAATTGGGCTCCAAGTTGGGCTGTTTCAGTTGTCCAACCCATTATGAAGCTTGAAACAAAATAATAAGCCCATCAGCATGAGAGTAGTCAAACCGGGGACGCGTATACGACGCAGATTGTAGGCGCTGACCACAAGCTCGGATAAAAAAAAATCAGATAAAATAACATAAACATAAAATTAGATAATTTAATAAATTTGACAATAATTGTTCAAATAAGGTTTTCTCGAACTAGAAAATTTCTAATTTGCAAAATAAATCGTTTGCTAGAGTTAATATTACGTAGAAGTTATTGTTTTTACTTTCCCTCACAACTTAAAATATTATCTAAACTTCAACAAATTATAATAAGTATATGTAAATTCTCGTATCATGGTAAAAAAGTTTAGAATTAAAAAAGCTGAAATGAGTCCTCCGTAAAATTCAAATTAAATAAAACATAAATAAAATCCTCAACTTTAGGTCAAGTCCCAAATCTACCCGAACTTTTTTTTATCTCAGAAAAAACCCCAAACTTTAGGTCTAGTTCCAAATCTACCCCGAACTTTTTTTTATCTAAAAAAAGATCCAAAACTTTAAGTTCAGTCCCAAATTTGCCCCGAATTTTGTTTTGTCTAAAAAAAATCAGCAAATTTCAATTTATTTTGTAAAATATGCTCCCATGATCCAATCACAACTTGACGTGATACTTTCACGTCTTTAACAAATTCACATCAGCAAAGTAATGGGATGATAGGTACAGACCGACGTCGCATTTCCACTTCGATAACAAATCAAACCCAATAAAAATTGTTGAAATTCTTTAAAATAAAACATTCTAGGATATGAAAGTTAGAGACAATAACAAATCCACTCCAAATTTTTTTAATTAAAAAAACCCAATTTTTAGGTTTAGTCCAAATTTTTCCCAAACTTTTCTTTGTCTAAAAAAAGTCCCATTACTTTGATGTGGAAGTGCCACGTCAATTTGAGACTAGATCACCGGGTATATTTTTTAAAATAAATTGAATTTTAGTAATTTTTTTACACAAAATAAAATTTGGGGCAGATCTAAGATTGGACTAAAAGTTGGGGGTTTTTTTTAGACAAAAAAAAGTTTAGGGCAGATTTGGGACTGGACCTAAAGTTTAGAGTTTTTTCTGAGACAAAAAAAAGTTCGGAGCAGATTTTGGACTTGACCTAAAGTTTGGGATTTTTTAGGCTGCGCATGACAATTTGCCAAACAGTATTTGATTCTGTTTTTTTGTTCCCAGAATCAGTTTGGGAACAGAAATACGTTTGTTTAATTTTTTGATTCTGGGGCACAATTTTGTCAAAAATTGGTCCCAGAATCTGTTTTCAAAAATAAAAAAAAAAGTAGCTTCTTGATTCTGAGAACAATTTTGAGAATCAATTTTTTTTTCTTCTTCCTTTTCTTGGTTTTTAATGTAACTTCTAATGTCCGGCCCGAGGACCGCCCTCGCCGAATCTGACGAGAATAAAATATTTTAATAAAAAATATTATTAAAATAAAAAATATTTTACCGGTCATGGTCGGCGATCAGGCAATGGCAAAAAAAAGAAAAAAAATATATTTTTAATAAAAATATTTTAAAAAAAAATATTATTAATAAAAAAAAATATTTTACCTGCCATGGCCGGTGACCAGGCCACGGCAAAAAAAGAAAAAAAAATATTTTTAATAAAAATATTTTAATAAAAAATATTATTAATAAAAAATATATTTTACCGGCCATGGCAAAAAAAAATAAAAATGTATATTTTTAATAAAAAATATTATTAATAAAAAAAATATTTTACAGGCCATGGCCGGCGATCAGGCCATGGAAAAAAAAGAAAAATATATATTTTTAATAAAAAAAATATTTTACCAGCCATGGCCAGCGACCAGGCCATGGCCAAAAAAATAAAAATATATATTTTTAATAAAAATATTATAATAAAAAATATTATTAATAAAAAAATATTTTACCGGCCATGGCCCAAAAAAATAAAAATGTATATTTTTAATAAAAATATTTTAATAAAAAATATTATTAATAAAAAAAATATTTTACCGGCCATGGCCGGTTTGCCGGCCATGGCCAAAAAAATAAAATATATATTTTTAATAAAAAATATTATTAATAAAAAATATTTTACCGGTCATGGCGGCGACTAGGCCATGGCAAAAAAAAGAAAAAATACTTTTAATAAAAATATTATTAATAAAAAATATTTTACGGTCATGCGGAAGGTGCCATGGCCAAGAAGGAGGAAAAGAAAAAAAGAAAAGAAAAAAAAGAAAGAAATATTAAAATATTTAAAAATATTATTAATAAAAAAGAAATTTTGTGGCGTTACCAAACGTATTTCTATTCTTTTTCTATTCCAGGGATGGAATTTTGGGCCGTTAACAAACGCCTTAAAATACTCAGAATCAATTCCGGGCACAAAATAAAAAAGAATCATTTCTCAGCAGAATCTGTTTCCGGACACAGAATCGTTGCCATACGCAGCCTTAAGGGAATTAGGCCAATCTAATGAGACCCGTCTGAAAATTTTTGTTTTATATAATTTTTCACGTTAATTTATTAGACGAAAAAAGAATTTGATAACGTGATTGAAATTATCCGGGAGCATCTACTTTTTTGTGAATTCGGGCAACTGCAAAATTGACGGAGAAGAAGGCGGCGAGAAAACCAACGGCGGGAGCCGCAGCAACCTCTGCAAAAGCTGACGATTTGGTGATTATGTTGGCGTCCGGCATCCATGGCCGCCCTTATCCAGCCCACCACCGCCGTCGCTCTTCCCTCTCCTTCTGTCCTCCCAAAGCTCTCCTCTTCGTCCCCACCTTCCTCGTCACTTTCTCTCTCTAAACCGAAGCTCCTCCAGTCCGCCGCCGTCGCCGCTGCCGCCTCTTCCGCCTCCGCCTCCGCCCAATTTCTCTTACCTCAGCCTCCACCTCCACCGCCGCCGCCACTCCCACAACCCTTTCTCTTCGAAAGCCGGCGCCTTTTCCCGTCCGAGCCCTTCGATGGCCCTCCTCCGCCGGACGCGACGGATTCTCTCGCTGACAGCTGTTTCGACTTGCTTCGTCTCTCTGTAAGACACGGCGATGTCGACCTCGCCAGAGCCGTGCACGCTCTCGTCCTCAAGCTCGAGGAACATCCCAGTTTGTGCAATGCTCTCATCGTGGCGTACCTCAAACTTGGCCGCACTTCGGATGCTTACGGCGTCTTCGGCGGGCTTTCGCATCCCAATGTGGTTTCTTATACGGCCGTCGTCTCCGGTCTCGCGAAGGCGGACCGAGGGTTCGAAGCGGTGGAGGTTTTCTTCAGATTGATGAGTTCAGGTATTCAGCCAAATGAGTATAGCTTCGTTGCTATTCTGACCGTTTGTATACGGCTCACTGAGTTGGAGCTAGGTTTGCAAGTCCATGCTTTGGCGGCTAAAACGGGTTATTTAGAAAGCGTTTTCGTTTCGAATGCACTTATGGGTATGTACAATAAATGCGAGTGTCTGGATTCTGTTCTTGAATTGTTTGACGAAATGCCTAAGAGAGACATTGCTTCCTGGAATACTGTAGTTTCGGGATTGGTGAAGGCCCAAATGTACGAGAGGGCATTTGAATCTATTCGGCAAATGGACCAAATGGATGGTTTTAGAGTTGATTATATGACTCTTTCTGCGCTTTTGACCGCCTGTACTGATTCTAGTAGTTTAATTAGAGGAAAAGAAATTCATGCTCATGCCATCAGAATTGGTATGGCGACTGACTTGAGTGTGAACAATGCACTCATCAAGTTTTATATAAAATGTGGAACCATAGATGATGTGGAGACCTTGTTTGAGAAGATGGCCACGAGGGATGTTATCACTTGGACAGAGATGATTAGAGCCTATGGGGAGTTTGGGTCGATTGATATGGCTATGGATATGTTTCATACAATGCCAGAGAAGGATTCTGTTTCTCGCAATGCCCTTTTGGCAGGACTCTGTGAAAATGGCAAAGCTTTTGAAGTGCTAGATTTATTTATTAGTATGGTGGAGGAGGGCTTGGAGTTGACTGACTACACCTTAACTACTGTTGCTAAGGCCTGTAGGTTGCTTGGGGCACGGAAACTTAGTGAGCAGTTGCAAGGGTTTATTATCAAGTTTGGTCTCCTGGCAAATGCTTGTGTTGAAGCAGCTTTGCTCGATATGTGCACTCATTGTGGGAGGATGGTGGATGCTGGAAAGATGTTCAAACGGTGGCCCTTTGAGTGGGATAGCTCTATCATATGTACTTCGATGATATGTGGGTATGCACGTAGTGGGCTGCCGGATGAGGCAATGTCACTATTTTGCCGTTTTCGAGCAGAAGGGAGCATAATTCTTGATGAAGCTGCATCAACTTCAATACTCGGTGTTTGTGGAACTCTAGGGTCTGATAGGATGGGTGAGCAAATTCACTGTCATGTTCTTAAATCTGGATTATCTTCAGATTTAGAGGTAGCAAATGCGTTGATCAGTATGTACTTCAAGTGTTGGAATATGGATTCTGCTAAAAAAGTCTTTAACATTATGCCTGCACATGATGTAGTTTCATGGAATGGCTTGATTGCGGGGTTCATCATACATAGGCGGGGAGATGATGCCCTCACAGTCTGGTCAAACTTACACAAAGCAGGGATAAAGCCTGACAAGATCAGCATCCTTTTAGTTATATCAGCTTACAAATACACTAAAATGTGTTTAGTCGATGAATGTTGTAGATTCTTTTCATCCATGCGAACAGAATTTGATATAGAACCTTCACAGGAGCATTATGCATCATTTGTTGGTGTTTTAGGAATCTGGGGATTTTTTGAGCTTGCAGAGAAAACAATCAGCAATATGCCTTTTGAAGCAGAGGCTTCAGTCTGGCGAGCTTTGCTTGATGGATGTAGAATCCATTCCAATGCAATTCTCGGTAAAAGAGTTATAAAGCATTTACTTTCAATGGAACCACAAGATCCTTCCACCTATGTGCTTGTTGCAAATCTGTACTCTGCCTCTGGAAGATGGCATTGCTCTGACACAGTGAGGAAAGAAATGAGAGTCAAAGGGTTTCAGAAACAGCCTTCACGGAGTTGGGTCATCCATCAAAACAAGACAATATCATTTTATACAAGAGATAAGTCCCATTCCCAAGCCAAGGACATCTATAGCGGGTTGGAAATCCTAATTTCAGAATGCCAAAAAGCTGGGTATGTGCCTGACACAAGCTTCGTTCTCCATGAAGTTGGAGAACATCAGAAAAAGGATTTCTTGTTCTATCACAGTGCAAAACTTGCTGCAGCATTCGGGCTTTTGATGAATAGACCGGGAAAACCCATCAAGATTGTAAAGAACATCAGCCTTTGTGAGGACTGTCATCAGTTCTTGAAATACACATCAGCCATCACAAATAGACAAATACTCTTGCGGGATGCTTCGGGATTTCACTACTTCTCAGGTGGGCACTGCTCGTGCGACGACCGATGGTAAAGCTCGTGCAGGTTATGCTCCCACGTCTTTTGCTCAAAGTGTGTGGTTGTCTTAAGTATATTTGCATCATAGAATTTATTTAAGCTTTTTGAAGAAAGAGTAGATGTACAATTGATTTAATACCTCCCAATAAAAGAAAGGGATGGAAGACAGCAAAAAACATCAGATCAACTTTCAAGAAGGGAAGTCTTTTACAACATCTTTTAGTGTTATGCAGCTTTTAGTTAATTGGAATACAGGAGTTGAAAAATTATGAGAAAAAAATTAATGTCCTTGAAGAAAAGCTGTTTCTATTTTTTTTTTTTGGACCAAAAAAAAACACGAGGTAATGTTTTTAGTTGGTTCTTTTGAAGAGCTAAATATGTACACCCCAATGTTCTTGCACCCCCTAAAATTACCTACGCTAAAAAAAAAAAAAGAACCCCTGAAATTACCTGCTTCTTTGTACCATTGGAACACTTTCAATGAGAGCTTTCCAATGCGCCCAATATTGTTAGGTGAATCGCAAAATCATAGATCCGAGATTTCAAGTTTATGAATCGGGTGTAGTTTTGGTAACTTATACCTTCAAAAATCATTATTTATCTTAACTTAGAGGTCTGTTAATTTCATTCGATTGTAAGACCTCTAGGTATGGTTTTCCTCACTGGGATCTTTCTTTCGGATATCGGAAGGCTTGACCGAAATTTGACTAACAATTACTCCCTTGTTCAACATTCCTTCGGAACCGATTTTTGTTGTGTTGGGATGCTAGCAATCTCTAATCGCGAGATGTGCAATTGAAATCGAGAATTCGTAAACTTCCCGTTACTGTGGAAAACAGACGACCGGTCCGAAGGATAAAAAAGTTGACCATAAGATCGGGGTGGTAAAATGGGTGTCAAAATATTCATTTTGATGAGTAAAAACCATTTTTGATGTTTAATATGTGCTTTGGCTCTTGTATCTCGCTGATCAATGTTTGCTCAAGAATTTAATGATTTGAAAAAACTGGAGGTAAAATTTGAGGTGACGAACACCTATGTTTTTTGTAGTTTCATGAGAATATTATATGGTCTAATTTTATGTCGAGTTGGTGTCTATGTTGTGGTGTGGTTTGCATTAAGTTGAGTAACCATTCTCAAGGACAGTTATGTGGATGAGTAACTTCCCTTTCTATGGGGAACACCTCTGAACAAGCTAAATCAAAACCAAAATCACGAATAAAAAAGCACAAAAGAGGTGGTGAAAAGCTTCAGCTATCATTATCAACAACATTTGCAGTCGAGGTCGGCTCTTATGGCTGAGCATCAGCCTCAGCCTTGGTCTCAGCCTGTACCTGAACCTCGACCTCAGCTTAGGCCGGTGCCCGAGCCTCCTGCTGCTGCTAAACGAAATGGTTCAACCGCTTAAGCAATTGAGCAGCCTTTCGTTTCCCTCTGTCTGTGCCATTTAGTGCCAAATCCACCAGTGGCTCCATGATTCCTAGCTTCTTTGCCTCTAACAGAGGATGCTGATCTCCAGCACAAAGATGCACCAAAACAGCAGCAGCGTTCTCCTTGTTCCTAGGAGAATCAACGTGAATCAATTCTACAAGAACCGGCACTACCTTTGTAGAGCCAATGGCAGCCCTCCCTTCAGCATTACTGGCTAATATTGCTAGTATAGTGAGTGCCTCATCTACCATACTGCCTCCAGGTTCAGTTAGAAGCTGCATTAGGGTATGTACAATGCCAGCCCTAACAGCCTTCCCTTTGTTACCTTGATAAATGCACAAATTAAAAAGAGCTGTTGCAGCATCCTGCTTCCCCCTTTGGGTTCCTTCGTTTAGAAGCAACACGAGCGGAGGAATTGCGCCAGATGCACCAATTGTTACTTTATACTCGTCTACAACTGAGAGGCTGAAGAGTGTGGCTGCTGCATTTTCCCGTGCTTCCATACTCCCAGTCCTCAGAACATGGACTATGCCCGGTACGGCTCCAGAGGAGACAATATTACCTTTGTTCTCAGCGCATGTTGAAAGGTTGAGTAGTGCGGTGACAGCATGCTCTTGGATGTTTGAGTCTGGAGGAAGGGAATCGCACCTGCTTCAGCTATGGCGACACGGTTATCTGCATTACACTTCGCAAGAAGGCAAATCTCACCTGCAGCTGACCGCTGTTCCTCAGGATTCCCAGAAGCAAGCTTGCGCAGGAGAAGTTCAATCTTAGCGCATTCAGCGGGGAAGCAGGCTGAGATAGTTTTAGTGGGTCGAGAGCTGCTTGGAGGTCTTGGTGGCTCAATGCCGTTAGCCTCACACCATTGAGCTATAAGGTTGCGAAGGGCAATGGTGGGTGTAAGAGTTGTGCTAGAAAGGGTTTGCTGTGTCCTTGGACATGTTCTATGACCCGCTTCTAGCCACTCCTCAATGCATGAGCGTTCATAGGTCTGCAGCATGATAAAGAGTGATCAGTGCATAAGGACTGTGAATATGTGCAAACATATCCAGGCCCACCCGGGGGGGGGGTGTGGGGGTGTGGGGTGGGGGCGCCGAGAAATCCTGCTCAAAAGGTGTAAGTCTTTGCATTTTTTAACTTATGCTAATAGAATGCTAAGGATTTTATGCTAATACGGGCCTATAATGCTATATACTGCGGCAAAAAAGGACTCTTGGTCCATACTTAACTAACTATCTCCCATCAGACTTAGAATACATTGGTTTGACAAATCCATAAGATACAGTTGGATTCCATAATAGTGCAACTGCAACCTCCGTCAGGACCCCACAGCGAAGGAAGAACCAGTAATGCACATACCTGGCCTGTTGACACTACAACGGGATCCTTCATCAACTTCAAGGATATCGGGCAACGGAAAGGATCTGGGATGACCGCTGTTTTTTTATTGCCATCGACCGATGGCCCGCTGGAACTGGGAAGAACATTCTTTTCGCCGGTAGGCGGATCCATGTCAAGGTTCTCTGTCTGCACAAAGGCTTTAATTTGGTCCAGTAACATTGGTTTTCTCACAATGCTCTCCCCAGGATCTCCACCACTTGCACAAACCATCTCATGTAGAGTCAGTGACTCCTGCTTAATGTCAGCGATCTTCATTAACTCTAGCTTTTCAGCCAATCTCCTTAAGACAGCTTGATCACTACGCTGGTAATAAAGGGCTAAGAGCTCTTCATTCAAGTCGACATCAGATGAATCAACTCCTCCTTTAGCTCCTCTAAATTGTCCAAGGACGAGCTCAACCTGGAAGCCAAAAGGTTAGATACTCTTGATTGTAGTATCGAAACTAAAAACTCAAGGTTAAGGGTTCCAATGCCTTAGAAGAGAAGTATTATGAACATGTACAAATTGGGGATAAACAAGGTTTGAAATAGATAAAGTCCACTCTCCTGTGGCTAATTTATCAGTGAGGTTTTTTGGTGGTGTATTTTCACCGGTACCGGCCGGCATGTGTAAGGGTCTATGCAACAAGTAGATTGCACCAAAATTATGTGAACATCACCAAGAAAATAACATACTCCATGCAGTCTAATTGTAACCAAGTCCCAGATAACTGAAAAGAACAAACTTTCAAAGATGAAACCTTACCTGTTCCTTGGCTTCATCTGATATGTGCAGGTTTTCATAGGAAATTCCACTTAGAGCTTGTTCCAGTTGGGAGGTCACCTCATGATAGTTATTCATAATCTGCTCCCTTTCTACGACCTGTGAGAGGAGCAAAATATATAGTTTAAGAAATGAAAATTCAACAGCCAAAATTCATGAAAAGAATCATGCGCGACACTTATTAGACGGCCCTTCTTTGATCGTTCCTCAAGAGAAACGGAATGACTTATCTAGCAGCAGAAAAGTGTATAACCGTGTATCCAAGCCCTGTTGTAGTGCAATTAGAAGAGTCGCATTCGGTTGACACTTTGCATTAGTAAGAGACTACATCAAATTTACAGAGGCGAGACCATTCAATGGATATTCTAACTACCAACCCCGCAACCCTTCTTTCCCTAATGCCTAATTCCACCATAAGCTAGAGACATCTCCATCTCCAGTGTTCAGACAATGATTGGAAACCTGCTTAAACCTTCATGAACTTTACAATAAGCAGAATATTCTCGTGCAGTAGAGGCATAAGGCATTCAAAGAAGCAATGCTGCTGAAATTTCAAGGAGAGCCAATTTCTTCCTTCCTCCTCGGTCTTTCAATGCCAACCGAGAATCATAAAATGAACCTCGGCCATTAAGAGTAGCAGCAAATATCTACTATCATCACAAGCTACTAAGCTCATAGATGTAGCCCATGCTTTCCAGGGTCCCTCATATGGAGATGTCCGAACATATTAATATCAAGTCTGTAATACACGCTTCCTGGCATTTGATGCTACTCATAATAACCGAGACCAATGCTCTGAGTACTTTTTTTTGACAAAGATGTATTAAAACCACCTATTCTACCTCTAGGAGCTCCCTCTTCGGGCTAAGTTGCAATGCTCCGCTCCTATAGCAGACTCAGCTCAATTTTTCACTGATAGCTTCTCGTTTATCGGAAGCCAACCCAGAAAAGTAAGAACTCCAATGAAATTTAACGTCAAACCAGTGTGAATGGGGATGCAAGAGTAACCTGCAAACCACTCGAAACGACTTTGATGCCTGAAAGTTCCTCGGAAACAAAAATCAAAACTCGACGGGAGGAGCAACAGAATAAAAAAAGATATTACACCAAAAAATCGACTCTCCAAAGAGCACATAGAACTGCGAGCGCGAAGTGTACAGCACGCACCATGTAAATTTTGCTGCCTTTGCTCCCGAACTTCAGCAGCTCCTTGGCGGAACTCAAGGCTTCCATGAGCGAGGCAAGAGCTCTGATCGTCCCTTCGGGCATTGACTCCTTGCTGTCCTTAATCTCTTCGAACAATGGAGTCAACAGCTTCAGTCTCGTCGCCAGATTGCAGCACTGCTTCTCGATCGCGCCCCTGTAACCCGAAAGGGAAGCTATCTCATTGACGGTGTCTATCATGCGCCGAGCCAAAGCTCCTCTGTCCTCCTCCTCCATGACTCACTCTCCCAGTTGAGCGGAGAAGAGAAAACGCGCTGCCCGCGAGAGTCCTTGAGGAATGAACCAGTTGACCTTGTTCAGAGCACGCGAGCTTTCCGTGCGCTAAGGTTGGAGAGATGGGAGAGCATCGCCGTCGCAGGCCATGCTGGACACCATTTGAAAGAGAGAAGCTCCTTGGGTCTTTCTATCCGTCAGAAGCTCTTTCGGTCTAGGAATAGAAGGTGAGGACTCCCGCTAGCATGACCGCTCCGTCATTCAAGCTGGAAACTATAAGCCAACAGGTTTTCTTGTTTTCATGCCTATTCTTCAATTTATTCAAATAATGCTGACTAGTTAATTTACTCGTGCACGATACGAAAGAAATAATTTAGTTTGCATCTCACGAATTAGGGCACGAATGACAACATTTCTCGTCCCCGATCCTATTTCTAGCTAGAAATAGAAAAATATATTTCTCTTCCCCGGACAAGTTTCTGAGTAAAAAGTAGCGTTTGATAATGACACAAAATTTCTGTTCCCGAAATAGAAATTCGTTTTATAAGTTATTCTTAAATTTCTATTTCCGATGGCCAGCCGGCGATGGCTAGGTGGCAGAGGACGGTTGGTGAGCGGCGGTGGACAATCGGTGGGGGGCGGCGGAGGATGACCGGTGGGCGGTGGTGGGCGTCGGAGGACGGCGGCGAACGACCGGAGGTGGGCGGGCGGTGTTGGCGGACGGCCGGCGAGCGGCGGCGGGCGAGCAGTTTGCGATGGAGGATGGCAGCGGAAGGCTGGAGGTGGGCGGGTGGGTGGCGGCAGACAGCCGGCGGGCAGCGGTGGAGGATGGTCGACGGGCGGCAGTGGAGGATGACGGCGGACGGTTGGAGGTGGGCGGGCAGCGACGGACGGCAGGCAAGCAGCGGAGGCGGGCGGTGGAGGACTGTAGCGGACAGTCAAAGGTGGGCAAGCGGGCGAGTGGCAGGCGGCGAGTGGGTGGCAATGGGTGGCGATGGGTGGCAAGAGTGAACAATAAGATAGAGTTGTTATTTCCATCTATTTTTGTTCCAAAAATAAAAATGTAGAAAATTTTAACTTCTCATTTTTGTTCCAAATCTATTTTTGGATCAAAATTTGTCCAAGAAATAAAAAAAATGAAATTATTTTACCAAACAGATTTCTGTTCCAAACCTATTTCGTGAAACAAAAAAATAGAAAAATAGAGAAACAGAATGGTTATCATTCGCGCCCTTTATCTTTACTTGAGCATTGGACGTTAAAATTTACAACTAGGAAGATTATACTAATTAACATAGAATCATAAAAGCAACCTTAAAATTTTCGAATCAAATGTCATTAACGGTGACTGTTAAATAAGTTCCTTCGAGTAGAGTTACCCACAAATGTGTTGGATGTGTTATTTTCTAAAAAATATATCTCACACATCGGGTAGTCCTAATTAAATGAATTTGGATAAAGATATCGTTAATATTGTGCTCGAAATGAGAATGTCTCAACGTTTGATTCAAGGAAAAAAAAAATCAAATAAAGGACTGACATGGATAAGTTGACAGATTTATACAATTCTCTATTAAATTCATCGTTTTATTTGTTGATTTTCGAAACCGGTCTCTTAAGCCAAAGAAAGTGCTCGAATTGAAACCAAAAATGACTAATCAATGGTTTCAATCTTGATTATCAATCTTTCATTAATATTCCAAAGTACAACACTTTCAAGATGATACTGTTTACAATATGTGTGTTAGAACTTTCGACTAGATTAGTCCCGCATATACACAAAAAGTTTCTATTTTCTAATTGCGGATGAAACAACTTCACTCAAAAGTAGCCAATTTTCCACTTGAATGAGAAGAATACTATATAACTCGAAATTAGCTGGATCGAAATAAATATTGAAATACACAAGGCCCGATTATTTTAACTTTCCGAAAAACGGTTATTCACTGATTTTTTTTGTCGGTAGTTATAATGTGAATTAAGTTTTAGAAAGACGAAAGATATTACTATTAACCTTACCAAAAAAAAAAGATATTACTATTAATCTTTATTATTTTGAGAAAACTCGTCTATCTAAATAAAATTTAGAGATAAGTGCATTAGAAGTCCTAAAATTTATCATGAAAGTGCAATTGAGTCCTAAAACTTGTCACGAAAGTGCAATCAAGTCCTAAAACTTTCAAAAAATGCAATTAAGTCCTAAAACTTATCACGAATGAGCAATTAAGTCCTAAAACTTTCAAAAGGTGCAATCAATGGAAGGACTTGATTGAATTAATTTGACAAGTTTTAGGAATTATTTATACTTTTTGAAATTTTTCGGAATTCAATTGCACTTTCGTAATAAATTTTAGGACTCAATTACACTTTTGTGACAAATTTTAGGACTTTCAATGCATTTATCCCTAAAATTTAATTTGTGTAAGCTCCATATAAAAGGTCAGAAGGCGAGTCTTCAATTTTTCCGCTGAAGTGAAAAAGGGGAGTCATTGCTCGTCTGCCTTCCGCAGCTCCACTTCCCTCGCGCACCTCAGCTTGCTGCAATGGCGTTGAAGCCGGTCCTGCGCGAGTATTTGCCGGAGAAATGAAGGAATCGGAGCAGGGAAAATGGCTGAAATCGACGACCAGAGGGCGCGCGACGCTCGCCGGAGCTCAATCGGACGTTGCGTCGCTTCCGGCATCTCCGTCTTCCTCACTCAGTTCACCCTCGCTCTGATTCCTCACTTCTTCCACGCCTCTCCGCTCCTCATCCAGCTCACCCTCTCAGGTCTCCTCTCTCTCTCTTTCTCTCTCTCTCTCTGCGGATAGTTCGGATTTCGCGATATGCGAATCGCATGCTGACTTTGTCCTGTGCAGCTCTGGTGCTCGTGGTGGTTGTGGGGTTAGGAGGGAGGTGCAGGCGAGTTCTCGGGGTCTATGCATCGGCCCCTGCCTTCGTTGTTATGAGCATCGTATACATCTGGGCTGTCTACGTCACCGTCATCAGAGAAGGTGATTGATTCTCTCCTTCCTTTCGTAAAAATAAGCAGCACATGGCTTCGGGATAGTATGTACTCTTTGATTCGATAGTTGTTCTATGCCCGTGATCGTCCGGGAAATCGGAGTGGTGTCCGCTGGGCACCGAGTTATTTATTTCAGCCTGATCGGACTACGGTCAGCAGCTGGTGATTATGGTCGAGCAGTGCACAGCACGAGACTCTCCATTACGATTAGCAACGATTGTATCCATGGGGCTGCGAACGGTTCTCTTAGCTTCTTCTAGATGGATGCTAAGTTCGTTACGGACTGGCCTTTTTGTTGGAGTGGCATTCCGTGCTTCCAATGGACCAATATAGTAGAGTTGCTTAGCTGACAAGTCAAACAAATATTGATCAAATAGTTTCTTTTTTTATCCGAGGAAAGGTGTTTTAGTTCGTATCGTCCAATGATTCATCATGGATTGGATTTTCTGCAACATAATTAGGTAGGGACATAAATGAACACAGCATCCTGGCTCATTGTTGTATACTTTCCATCACAGCGGTTCCACTGTTGATGGATATTTTGTTCCATGGAGAGGTTGCCATGCTTATAATTGGTCTTTGCAGGTTGGTCCTCTCTATTCCTCCAACTTTTAACACCTGTGTAAATTAATTCATTCTGACCTGTTTTTATTTAGATGCTTGTGCTGATATCTGTGGTGATTGATTCTATGCTGATAATCATGTATATAAATACAGTATTTTTAAAAGAGATCCTGGTCGTGTAACTCCTGGACCTTCCTTATCAAGTGAACTTTGTGATGGATCCATCTCTGAAGTCAGTGAGGTACTGCAAATTGTGAAGTGACTAAACATGTGATTATACTTGGTTGCGATCTATTTTTCCAATTGACTCATTCCATCCATTACTTAGCCGTAGCACATGTCATTATCACTTAATTGGCAATACCATACGTGCAGAGGAATTAAAGTTTCAGTTATCTAAACGTTGTCCGCCCTGTCTTCTTTTTCAGACTAGCTCTTTGATGGGAAGAGTAAGATATTGTAGAATTTGCGAGGCCTATATCAAAGGGTTTGACCACCATTGCCCTGCGTTTGGAAATTGTATAGGTAATGGTAAGCTCCACTTTGCAATTGAACTCTTAAGAGACTCCTTGATATAATTATTCTTCATCATTCTTACCTATAATCATGAAGCACATTTCCTCCGCATCACATTGGTGTTGGCATCGCTATGCAGGTCAGAATAACTATTTCCTTTTCATGGCTCTTTTGGCTGGATTTCTTATCACCGAGTCTTCTTTTGTAGCCAGCTCATCTAAGTGTAAGTTTGGCTAATGCTGCCTGACTTTATCCAACTCTTTATATACATTAAATTAGCACTGGGACATTCCCCCTGGAGTTTGAGCTGGGGTCAGAATGATTTTGCAGGTGAAGTGAGCCTAGATTATGAAAGAAAATTTTTGATATTAGACCAAACTATATGCCATTAAATTTCCCAAGCTAATCATTTGCATATGCATCTGCCAGTGCTACTCCATATAAATGCTGGTATTGCTCGTTATTTGGCAGATATGCAATCATTATTTGCAGATTAATGGATGAACAGACAGAGAAATTGGTCATTTATTGCTGAGATAGTCTTAAATGAATTAGGGTATGTGAGGAGGCATCCATCTTCATCCAATCAAGGTTTAAGCAATATATAGGTTCCTGAAGGACAATTGTAACCCGGCACACTGTATTTACTCATGTCTCAGGTTAGAAATGTTCCAAAGCTGTGATACACAGGTTTCTTCAAGACAAATAAAAGTTAACTTCTGTGTACATTTAAAAAATTGGTAAATAGTTCCGCATGCTGTATACACTACCTTTGATCAAAGAGCAAAGGTTGTTCCTCTTTTTAACCTTTCAGGCTTGGAGCTGGTCTTTCTCTCCACTAGTCATGCTTTACTTGTTAGAAATTATTCATCTTCCAGCCTTTCACGTGTTCTTTTTCCTGTCTTGTGCATCTGTCTGCTGACCGTCAGTTGCTTCTAAATCTTCAATTCCGTACCAAACTAGATTGGAGGTTAGTAATTGCAGTTTGAGCATCTTTTGAATTGTATAAAGTACAAATGGCTCATCGAATGACTTAGTGACCTTCTAAAACCATCTTTTTATGGCTTCAGAGTAATATGGAGGCAGACTTGGTCATTGGTGGATTGCTGTTTTCTCTGCTCCAATTGATATGGCAGGTCTAATTTTTTGCTTGTGTGCAAGTTTCTTATCAGTAACTTCTTGCAACATGTAATGGTATTGTGCGAGCGTATAATTTGTTTTTGTCGTGCAGGGTATATTCTTAATGTGGCATATATACTGCATATGTTTCAACATTAGAACTGATGAGTGGGTAAGTGCACAATCAGTGGGGCACTTTCTCCTGAACATATTTCTTTTTACTTGGATGAATTCTGGAGTACGCATCATCCTGGCATGCATCTTTTTCAGATAAACTGGAAGAAGTATCCAGAGTTTCAACAACAAGTTAAATCTGAACAAGGTAAATTTACTTGCTTTTCTTATTCCATCAGCTCGATGGTTCTTCCCAAACTTTTAGAGAGAGATTCTTTGTTTGTCTTAACTGTTTCATCATTTGCTTATCTAGGGCAAAGTTCTACTAACTTGGCGTTCCGGAACCCATATGATAAGGGCATCCTGGGGAACATTAGAGAGTTCCTATCATAAAAACAACAGATAACCTATGCTTCTCCTGACGATGGAAGCACAGCAACGTAAGTCACCTGAATTTGTTGCTCTTACTGCAATTCTGATACGTAAGGAACTGTGCCTGCTTCTGACAAATTCTATCACTGACCTTTCGGGATTGTACAGTGAAGGATATTTATACGGGGTTCACCTTCTGATCTCTCAGCTCATCCACTATAGAATTAAAGTAAATTTGCGCTCTTCTAGAGTTTTGTTGGTATCTTATTTATTTATCAAAGAGTTGAAGTAAAAAGGAAGAGCTGATGCGGAGATTTTTTTTCTTAGGGTCTGACCCATCTAAATATGAACTTTATAATAGTAAGCTGATGGCAAGAAATGAAATTTCTAACAATACTCTGAAAATATAGAACCTCCTTTTCCAATTTTCCCCTTTTTCCATTTACTTCGTCTGTTTTATTGAGCTTGCTACATAACCCGAGATAAATATGAGGAACTTTCTAAGAACTCAAACGATTCAAGCTTGAATTATTTTCACTAAAAAAGTGATAGCTGATTACATATTTTTGGATATACTAGAACACGAGCACACAATGAAACACACAAGCAAATCATTTATTCACAACTCATAGAGTTGTATTCGTGGCATTGCATATTGCATTGCATTAGCACAACACACTCCTGGATTAACCAGAGATATCAATGGACTTCACCTCCGGCTTCTTCTCCTCTTCCTTAGGCACAGTCACAGTGAGCACCCCATTCTCCATACTTGCCTTGATCTGGTCCATCTTTGCATTCTCTGGGAGGCGGAACCGCCTCATGAACTTCCCACTGCTCCTCTCAACCCGGTGCCACTTATCATTCTTCTCCTCCTTCTCCTTGCTTCTCTCCCCACTGATCTGAAGGATTCTCCCCTCTTCCACCTCAACTTTCACTTCCTCCTTCTTCAGCCCCGGAACATCCACTTTGAACACGTGGGCCTCTGGAGTTTCTTTCCAGTCAATTCGTGCATTCGCGAATGCTGAAGTTTCGCGAGCCGAGGCAGGCACATTAGTGAGCGAGGAGGTGAAGAGGCCATCGAGAGGGTCCCAAATGTCTAGAGAGAATGGGTCGAAGACGTCGGTTCGGCGGCCTCCAAAGATGCTGGGAATGAGCGACATTGTGATCACTGATCAGAGAATTCTGGAAAACTGAGATGATTCTGCAATGTATGAATGGACGTTGTCGGATGATTCTGGTGAGAGCTGAGCAAGGACGTGTGGTGTTTATATAGAGCTTGCACGAGCATTCTGGGTCTTGTTCGAAAGAGGAAAAGAGACATTGGAGAACTCTAGCGTCTTCAAGTCGCTTGTTCTCTCACCTAGTCAAAAGATAAAGTAGTGCTAATTATGGACCCTCAGACTCTCAAACCTTCCACCATATTCGCGATGCATCTTTCTTTTCCTTAGTACTGATCCAGATCGAGTGGAACATTCTGCACTGGACCTGGACAAATACTCCTATTTACTTTGTGGCTTATATATTAATTATTTACTTACTGCAGCAGAAGGCGCTGATTCTTCTCTCGTGTCTCAGACGATTATTTATTGTTGGACCACTTGTTATTTGGCTATTTTGCTGCTTTTGCAAATCGCACGCACTATCGCCACTTTATAAATGGTTAAACGCGGAAATTAAGTCTAAAGATGTTATTATGATCAAAGGGCAAGTAGAATGTCAGTTCAACTGTTCTTTGCAAACACTTAAGCGTTAGCCAGGAAGGACATAGAGAATGTGAAGATAGTAGTTTGAATCTAGCAAAGGTCGAGCGGGTGAGAATACGAATTGGTGGCTTACAAGCAAACATCACGACAGACAAAATCTATATGTTGCAATTTCCAAACATTAACGAAGAATTCATGTTGATTCTAACTTCACAGGTTTTTATCGCTGCACGAAATTCTTTCCTAAGATTCGAAGTTAACGCATCTTTCCATTCTCTTCTTTCACAGATGAAACTGTTCTTGTTGGTATCGTTGTTGATTACATCGGAACATGAGGCAACGATATCGATATTGCCTGGCAAAAACCCAAAAGCATGCGACCCTTCAGGTAAACTCAAATGGGCCTAACCAATAGGTGGGTTTGCGACAGGCCCCAGAAAAAAATGGATCGATGGTTGCTTTGGGGTCAGTGTTAGTCAGACCTTAAATCCTTTCTCGAGCCTAATTAATAACGATTAAATTCCCATTGATTGCTCTAAGTGGGTCCTGCTGGGCCTGTCTGGTCTAAACTATTTGTCCGCGCCTGCCATATGATGGCTTCGCTTATATGGGCGTGTCGTCGGACATCATATCCGGACCTTGACATGTCCCTAAGGTTGCATTTGGTTGTCCGGATTTGGATTAGGATATGATAGAATAAAGTAGGATTAGAAATTCTCTCGATATCCTCCCGATTGTAAATAATCCTATCATGTGTTTGGTGTAACCTGAATTGAAAATTTTTAAAAATCTTTAAAAATCCTCCAAATATCTTTCTCTAATCATCCTCCTCCATTCTTCATGCCTTCACTGTTTCACTAACGACCGGTGGAAACTCCTTTCTCCCGTAGCTTGTTTGGTGAATGAAACCGCCTCATGTGTGGGCTACCGCGAGAGAAGGCCACTTCATCTCTAAATCCATCAACACCAACTTTTCATTGATGGTAATTACAACCAAGAGTTTGAAGGGCGTGATAAGAACAGTGAAAATAAGAAAGAGAGAGAGAGAGAGAGAAAAAAAAAAGAAATGCAGAAAAACCCATTGAAAAGCCAGAGATAATATAATAAAAGGATTAACTACCCTCAAAGTTCATCACTATCTTGATAAAAAGCCAATATCAAGACCTGCAAATTGGAAAAGTAACAGCTGTGAACGGATTTATTACCTTAAAATTCACAATTTCTTCAAACTTCAAGAACTCTGTATGAACATCCTCGTAAAACTCCTCAAATGAGTGTTCAACCTCTTCGTCTGTGTACTGAAAAGAATCAAAAACCTTGATCACTAGTCAGTGTGAAGCAGAGTGAATTTCGGGAATTTTTCAGAGCTTTCTTGTCTTCGTGTGGTGGTGGGTGACTCGTGAATGTGAATAGAGTAGAAAAAACTCGGAGAAGAGGAGGGAGAGAGATGCGGGAAGAGAGGGCAAAAGCTGCAAAGATAGCAATTTGCCGATATTCTGAAATTTATTTTTGTTTTTTATTAACTTTTTTTATATTTTACATATCCTATCCGGGCCTATCCCACCCCCTAGGTGGGATTTTTTTATCCGTACTATATCTGGGCTAATATCCGATCATATCCGGATTTTGCGTCACTCCAAACACCGGATAGGATCCTATCCGGGATTTTATCCAGTCCACCAAATGCAGCCTAAAAGGCTACACCTGGATCACGAAGTGTAAAAATAAGTTGGGTATTGCCGGGGTCGGGACAAGAAAAGGATACTAACTCAACAAGGGAGACCGGGTCGTGCTGGCACCGGAACATTTAAATAAGAAATGCATTGGTGGAGCCTACCTAGTTGTAGGACAGGCCGCCAAGGCCCCTGCTAGCGATAAACTCTAGGCTAATTGTAAACCTAAGCTCCCAACCAAATTAGTCAGATTTTGCAGCCAACGAGTGGCTATTTCCTCTCTCTCTCTCTCTCTCCAATAGCTGAGCGAATGAGACTTTTTCGTGGGTTGAGTTCAGATTTGATCCTCGGATCTTTTGAGGCTTTTACGATGGAGTTCTCTCACTTTGCTTATGTTCAATCAAATGCTTTGATGATCTGCTGCTAAAAAGTAAAAGCTCCATGAACACGGATTGAAAAGAGAAGTTCCGGCTGCACTTAACCTCTGGAAATTTTTGTGACGGGACTCATGAAACCTAACAAAACGTAAGCAAGGGATCTGACTCGCCGATTATTGGTGCATCTGGCAAAATTTTAATGGTTTCTTCGCGGCGGAAACGTATTCAACCGTCGCACCTCATGTAGCCACAATCAGCACGCAATCGAGTGTAATTCGATTAAAATGGCTGCGTGAGGTTGGTACAATGGAGGTTCCGCAAGGAATCTCTCGATTATAACAAAGATTCCACGTGAAAAAGACAATAAGATCCGTATCTAAGCTGAATCATTGTGACAAGCACTCATGAGATTCCTACTCTGTCACTCCAAAACGTGGGTCCGTTCTTCTCTCGCCGCCATGAACAATCCATCGCTGCAACTTCCATGGACACTCCACACAATCTTTCCTTCCCCATTCGCGCAAGTACTGTCGATAACCTCTGTTCAGAATCAAGAAGAGCCAACGAAAATAATGATACACGAAGCTTGCTCGTCAAATTCACATCATTCAAGTCATCAATACGTACCAATTCAAGCTGCACGTTTTGATTCAGCAAACCGAGTCTTTTGGCGCTCACTTAATGCACGCGTACAAGTTAGCGCTGAGTTTCTTAATTACCCACTTGCGATCTTTACCTGTCCCATGCTTGGTTGGATTGTTTCGATTGGGTAGTAAAGACCAACGCTCAAAGCTTAGTTCGCACTCTTTGGATGTATGAACACACTCGTGGCTTCCGATGTCTCTTTCACCAATCAATTCATCGACGTACTGTAAGCTCTTGCTTGAAGAAATATGTTGAATCCCACTTTTAAGCGGGACTCGCGTAATTAATCATAAATTCCGCTGTCCGGCTAGGCAATCTCGAAACGTAATCGGTTGCGTCCTCAATCTCCAGCTTCGCCATGCAACGAAACTTTGAAGCTTGCCTCTCCGGTTTGATCTTCAAGGAAATCGATTCAGAACGTCTTATGGGAAGGAGGGAAAAGAATCAGCTTTCAGATTTCAAGCAAAGATCATACAGTCCAGTAAATTGAGGAGAGATTGAATAAAACGTCTCAACTCAATATAGCTCATTAGAATGGCAAAATATGTGATTCGTAAATTAACGAAATCTCGTATCGGATGGGAGAGAGCTTGTGAAGCAATTCGTAAGTAAAAACCACAACAATTCATTAAATGGTCGAAACATGTGCTCTTTCTAAGGAGTTTCTGCTCATGTTAGTGGAGTTAAGTTGTTGCAAACAGCATAAAAAAAAGTACCCCTTTACTCGGTACGCAGTTTGAAGACAAGCCAAGTACCGAATTTATTCCGCAAGTGATAGTCATGCCAAAACTGGCTTGGACGAGATACAACTCAAAGTACGAGAATATTATTTCTTTGAGCGAAGGAGCTTGTAACTCCTCAAGTGACAACCGGTTAAACACTACGTCGCATCATTTGGCTTGGTCGCTAAAGACAGTCTAATGGTGGTTGAATACGGCTTATCTATTTAAGTGGTCATTCATATTTGGTACCTAGGAATAGAAGGGTACCTTCGTTCAGCCCAATGAATAGGGTTATTATGTCATTAGGTGAACGTGGAAGATCTAACGTTTAATAAACTTATGGTCGAGTTTTCATTCTTCGGCTCTTTCAGATGGCCATGAGCAACTATGAACCAGCACGGAGTTGGTTGGCCCATGATGGCGTCGCAGGTATCAAGAAGAAAGATCAAATTCAATGGCTTTGTTTAATAGTTGGGATTAGGTTCAACCAAGTTCAATTAGAAAGGAGTGTTTTGTAATCATCGTAGGAACGGTAGATTCAGATACATATGATAGCTCAATGTCCCTGGTAGATCCAACATCCCTAACGCATACATTATTTTCAGACTTGTTATTTGATAATTGGGTTTATTATCTATAGAATTGCTTCGTCTGGAACTTCAAGTCACCTTTTCATTTGCATATAGTCATGCAATGTAACTCCATAAGTTCGTATGTCGGTAGAAAATTAGAAACATTAGAAGATTGCGTAGTCAAACTAGATTTTTGTCGCTGACGTGTAATATTGCTTGCCGTGCTTTGGTAGGTAGAATGTCGGAATCCCACAAATAATTCAACATCGAAAAACAATCTTATCCTCAACGACAAAATATCTACTTAGATATCTAACGCGCGGAAGTAGGTGTTTATCAGCTAGCTAATGATCTAATTAGCGAACATAATTAATACAGGCCAAGTTGGAACCGGAACACATTGGGTTCGATCAGAAATGTTCAAAATCAAGCTAATATAAGAGGCTCCAAAGCACGAGCGACGACGTACGAAGTTGTCTATCAAAGCACCTAACATGTTTGATACGAGTCTTCGTTTATCATACAAAAAGTCGGTATGTTATGTGACTCTTCAAGTTGAAATATAACTTTAAAATGCGCAAGTTTGAAAATTTCGGTCGTGACTATGCAATATCGTGCGTTGACCATAATGATTCATATTATCATCTGAGATCAATAGGATCTATCATTTGTAAGGAAAATGGTTAATACGTAATTCGAAAGTCGTTAGTAAAAATTATTTTTGAATATGACATGATTAAATGATTGTCCGTCGCACTAGATGTATTTATGTTGATTTGAATGCATCCAAATCGAAATAGTTCGAATTTTCTTTCTACGAACAAATCGCATCAATATGAATTACTTTTGATTTGTTAGTACTATCTTTTTATGTGATTTCCCATCATTAGAACTTAATGGGCTATAGATATACACGCTTTTGAAAAATGATGACCAAAACCCACACTTTCGGCTCGAGAATCGATAGTTGCAGGTTCGATTTCGGCCTTGGAGGGCTCTAATTTAAACAGAGATGTCAAAACGGTGGGTTACCGTGCTAATTTCCAGAACCTACTAATTATGATCTCACGCCCTGAAACATCAAGGAAAAAAAGAACAGAAAAACTCTGACCAAAACAGATGACAAGCTTCCCAGCAGGGACCTACAAAATAGCTTCCAGGATATTTTCCATCCTTTTCTCTCCTCCGCAGACCTCTCTCGATGTGATTGCATATCCACGTCTTATCGTCGTCCCATCGTTTCCTAGCGAGCATTGCGACTTTGCTTGTTTTTGCTTCACGGTTAGAGCATCTGCCACAGAATTGCAGCCTAGCTACAGTATGAACTCACTGAACCAAGCCTAGGTGGCTGGTTCCAAAAATATCTCTACTTGTAATGATCACGATGCTTAACCTAAGTTCACACCATCGGTTTAAAGACATTCCATTCATAATCTCCGAGCATTAGGACTAAACCTTTTCCTTTTGGGTCCGCTCAGCGGGCTTAGATAGTTACACTTACAACAGAAGGAAACAACTAAAAGATACTCTTCTGTATTTTTCGTAGCAGTCTCAACTCCATTGGGTAAGTACGAGATTCTTGTTTACATGTCAAAACCCTAGCAGAAGAAACTCCTTATCTTCTTGAATTAACTTACGAAGGGCAAAAAAGAAAAGAAAACTCATCTGATCTTCTCTAACATCTATACACCACCGTACAGCACTGCCACCGACACCTTGTCCCCTAGTGAAATTGTCTAAGTCTAGCCTCGGTTGACCCGCAAATCTTAATCTCCCCCCGGGTTTATCTAGGAAAATAAAAACCTGAAGAGGGAAATTCAAGAAACATGGAATAAAAAATGAAAGAATAGTTGAACACCCAGTTCTACTTGCAGTCGCATGCACCAGCAAAATATTCACACAGATTCACCGTGACACTGTCATATGGCATTTACTCGACTCTGATGACTTGATATGCGCACAAGGAAACCGGAGACGTGATTTCAAAGGACGCGACGCAAAAAGTAACGCCATAACACGGGAAGTTAAGTATAAGCCGTCTTCCCTTTATTAAAGACATGATATGCACACAAGGAAACCGGGGACGTGATTTTGAAGGACACGACGCGAAGATTAAAATGATAACGCGGAGAAGTTCACCATAAGCCTGTCTTCTCTTTATTAAAGACATAGATGGAAGGTTGAGATGACAGTGCAACAAAGATAAGTTCCTAAGCGACAGCATTTGCTTGGACAGCAACACTTCGAGGCGATTCTCCAGAAAAAGCTGGTAGAAGAAGACGTTTACTTGTTCGACAAATTTGAAGATTGTTCAGATACAGGGGTAAGAGGAGGAAAAGAGAAAAGGGTGAAATGCAAGTGTTTGGCTTGACAGGAAAGGCGTTTTTTTTTTTACCCCGGAAAGCGCCAACCATCGCCAAGATCGCCAATGGTAGTTTGAGATTTTATGCTTTGCTTGTTGTATGATTCCAAGGACTTAAAATCCATTATTTCCCACATCCTTTTCCAAATGTTTTTCTTTGTCTGCGGGCTTCCTCAAGCCCCCTCCTGTGCACCGAAAGTCGTTTCGGTGCACCATCTTCCTGGGTTCAACTCCTGCCATCCACGTTCACGGCTCTTGCGCAAGGGCCAAACAATGTCGGATACAAAGACTAATTCACCGAGTGATAGAGCTAGATCACGAAGAAGTTGCTGACGGCGAGGGAATTGCTCTCGAATGTTTGACTCGTCGTACCGTTTCTTGTATTGCATATTTCCCTAGCGTCGGAATGGTTTACTAGTTCTTCGACTTATGCCTAATTATGTATTAAATTTCTATGATATTGGTATAATTTACTAATTCTTGAAACTATTGTTCAGCATGCGCAAGAGAAAAAAGCATGAACTTGGGTCATTTGGAGGAGGTTAATTGGAGGCGCCACCGGGAGCCTTTGACATGTACACCCACCTCCCCTTTGCAGCCGGCGGCGGCGCCACCACCATCCAAGGCGGAAGTCTTCCGAAAGGCGCGTCGTCATTGGCCAGCCAGACGTCCAAAAAACACGGGTTCAAATTTAAAATAAACAACCCGAAATTCCACTTCTACCCCCTCCCACAGAATAAGATCGCCAGGGACTTTTGACCCGCTCATGCACCGATTTGTACGATCGGCCCCGCCCACTAATCAAGTAATATTTGATGCCCATCGAGTAATTATCTAAAAATATCTATAAAGGTGCGTTCGCACGTGCGGACTAAGAAATTTTGAGGAATAAAGGAAGAGATCACATGGAGTGTAGAAAAAGATGAAAGGAGGGTGCTTGAGTTTCTTTAATCTTGGTCGTGTGGAGAGATTAGCTGATAATAGAAGCATTGTAATTAAATGTCAAGTGGAAGGAAAAAAGTAAGGACAAATTTAGAAATAACATCGCATGTGCGAAACTTTGCAGGACGCTGCCAACTAGGCTGCATTTATTATTTTGTGGAAAATAAATGATTCAGAAATCACTTTCCCCGAAAATGATCGTCGTATTGCTTCGAATTAACCGACGAAAAATATTTTCATCATTGATAACTATTTATGCTTGAACATTTTTATGGACATTGAATATTTTATCCGTTCATTTTTTTTATAAGCGATATAAGCAATCGTTTTTTAGAAAAAAAATTATTTTTCAAATTATTCATTTTCTGCGGAACGAACGCAATTTATGAGTAAAAATATATAATGGGAGAGACAAATAAGGGGACTGAAAAAATCCGTACTCGAGCCTCCTGTTATGATGACACGAAAGATTAGCATAAAAGATTTTCATGGGATCGTCGCCGACCGTTCCAAAAATTTAAACTGTTATCTGGAGATGTGGTTTTACATTTAAATATTCTGACGCCACGTTCCCGCTCAGAACCCGAAACTAGTGTTCCTTCCCACACCAATTTCATCGACACGCAAATGCTCGATTTTATTATCAAATCTCTATCGAAAATACAAAAGAAAAAAAAAAGAAAAAGCGAGCCAAGGCTAGGAAATGATTTTCATTCCAACTCTACTGAACATTTTGCCGTTATTTAATTAACAGGGATGAAAATTTTTTCAATTGGCCAATTTTTATAAATGGTGTAAGCAATTATTTTTTAAAAAATATTTTTTAAATTACTTATTTTTCGCGAAGCAAACGTACCTTAAAAGTAAGAAGAAACAAAAAAAAAAAGAGAGGAAAAAGGAGAAAAAGAGCCGTGGCAAACCAGAAGAAAGCACGGGGTCCGTTTTTCGGACAAGGACCGTAACAGTAAAATCTAGGACGCGGTCTCGGACTTTAATCTAACGCGGAATCGAATGAGATTTAAGATTAAGAATTCCATTCAACGGCCCCACGCGAAAAAAATATCTGACTCCTCCTCCCTGCCCGCTGCCCAAAACAGTCGCGGTCGCCGGTACGGTCAGCCTCCCCTGCCTGGCCGCCCCTCCGGGCAGATCCAGCCTCCAATACGAATCTAGCCCCTAACCCCACCGTTCGCTGCCGCTTTGATTTTTCTCCTAATCCCCGCGATTAAATTAATTAATAAACTAATTAAATTTTAAAAAAATAAAAAGAAAAGTCCTTCGCTTTCTCTCTCTTCTGTGCGTGGGTGGGTGTGTGTCCCTGCGAGTCCTCTTCTCGCACAGAGGACTCGCAGATGTATACGATGCTCATAACAACGAAGGCAGGGGCCGATGCATAGACTCCGAGAACTCGCCTGCACCTCCCTCCCAATCCCAAAACCACCACGAGCACCAGAGCTGCACAGGACAAGCGAAACCAGCATGCGATTCGCATCTCGCGAAATCCGAACTATGCAGAGAGAGAGCGAGAGAGAGAGAGAGAGAGAGAGACCTGAGAGGGCGAGCTGAATGAGGAGCGAAGAGGCGTGGAGGAAGTGAGGAATCAGAGCGATGGTGAACTGAGTGAGGAAGACGGAGATGCCGGAAGCAATGCAACGTCCGATCGAGCTCCGGCGAGTGTCGCGCGTCTTCTGGTCGTCGATTTCAGCCATTTTTCCTGCTCCGATTCCTTCATCTCGCCGGCAAATACTCGCACAACACCGGCTCAGACGCCATCGCAACAGGCTGAGGCGAGCGAGGGAAGCGGAGCTGCGGAAGGCAGACGAGACGAGCAATGACTCGCCCTTTTTCACTTAAGCGGAAAAGAGAAAAAGAAGGCTTGCTTTCTGACCATAGCGCTTACACAAATTAATTTTAGGAAAAATTCTAAATCAGTACCCACAAGGAGGTCATTTTCTTAAAAAGGAATTCAAAGTGAACATAATATTAAATAAGGGCCTGAAGTGCCCAATCAATTTTAAATAGGAGTCTGAAGTGCCTAATTAGTCTCAACTAAGGGTCTGGGTTCGCCGGCCGATCAAATATTCATCAGTCGGCAAGCACGTCATTGTTCCGACCGCTGGAACAGTGACAATTCGTCTTTTACCTTCTTCTTTTTCCCTTTTTCTGTTTTTTTCTTTCCCTTTTCTTTTTTTTTTCTCTTTTCCCTCTGCCGGCCATAGCCGGGGCCGGCGGAGGTTGCCAACCTCGGGCGGAGGCCGCCCTCGCCGGCGTCGGGCGAGGGAAACCCAGGGTCGCCCTCGCCGGCATCGGGCAAGGGTCGACCCTCGCCAGATTCGGCGAGAGCACGGGAGGATGTTGGCGCCGACCCACCGGGCGGGGCACAGCAAAAAAACCAAGTGCCGAGCAGAGAACAACAACGTTAAATTTTGCAGCTTTAGTTTCCATCCTCAAGTCCTGGCGATTCCTCCCATGCACTCGCCAGATCTGGCGAGGGTCGCCCTCGCCCGCCTAGCCCAGGCGAGGCGACCCTCGCCCGATACCGATGAGGGCGACCTTGGGTTTCCCTCGCCCGACGCCGGCGAGGGTGGCCTCTGCCTAAGGCCGGCAACCTCCGCTAGCCCCGACTATGGCCGGCGGAGGGAAAAGAGAAAAAAAAAACGAAAAGGGAAAGAAAAAAAAAAGAAAAAGAGAAAAAAAGAAGAAGGTAAAAGACGAAATTGTCACTATTCCGCCGATCGAAACAGTGACGTGCTTGCCGATCGGTGAGTATTTGACCGGCCGGCGAACCCAGACCCTTAGTTGAGACTAATTGGGCACTTCGAGCCCCTATTTGAGACTGATTGGGTACTTCAGGCCCTTATTTGACATTATGTCCACTTTGGACCCTTTTTTGAGAAAATGACCCCATTTTGGATACTAATTTGAAATTTTTCCTTAATTTTATTTAGGCAGACGAGTTTTCTGAAAACATTAAAGAGTAAGGGTGCGCATGGAATGCATTCCGAAATAAAAATTCTGTTTCGGAATGCATTCCGGAACAGAATGGCGTTTGTTAAAAAATTTCGGAATGCATTAGAGCGATTTTGCATTACTGGAATAAAAATGCGTTTGTTAAAAATACTTTTGATTAGGAATCTTTCTTGATTAGAATGCATTTTTGATTCGGAATGAGTTTTTGGCAAGAAAAGAGAAGCTACTTTTTGTAGCTTCTTGATTCGAATGCATTCTCCTATTTTCTCACAATTTTTTTTTTCAGAAAATGCATAAAAATTGAAAAATTCTAGAAAAATCCATAAAAATTTCCAGAAAATAAAAAAAAGTCCGATTTCGGGAAAATATGAAATTTGGTGAATTTTTTTAAAAATCAAAAAAATCAAAAATTTCAAAACTTCAGAATAGCTTAAAACACATGTGGCCACCACTTTGAAGTGAAATTTAAATTTTTGAGGTGCCCAAAAAAATCAAAAATTTCAAAACTTCACAAAATGGCTTAAAATACCTGGCCACCTACTTTGAGTGAAATTTAAATTTTTGAGGTGCCCAAAAAAAAGAAAAATAATAAAAAATAAAAATTTCAAAACTTCACAAAATGGCTTAAAATATGTGGCCACCTACTTTGAGTGAAATTTAAATTTTTGAGGTCTTAAAAAAAGAAAAATAATAAAAAAATAAAAATTTTCAAAACTTCACAAAATGGCTTAAAATACCTGTGGCCACCCACTTTGAGTGAAATTTAAATTTTTTGAGGTGGCCCAAAAAATAAAAAAAAAAAAAAATTTATAAACTTCTCACAATGGCTTAGAATATCTGTAGCCACCCACTTTGAGTAAAATTTAAATATTTTGAGGTGCCCAAAAAAATAAAAAAATTCAAAACTTCACAAAATGACTTAGAATACCTGTGGCCACCCACTTTGAGTGAAATTTAATTATTTTTAGGTGCCCAAAAAAAATTTAAAAAAATCAAAAATTTCAAAACTTTACAGAATGGCTTATAATACATGTGGCCACCCACTTTGAGTAAAATTTAAATTTTTTAGGTGCAAAAAAATCAACAAATCAAAAGCAGTTTACGCCTGAAATCAATTTACGGAGCGGGAATTAGTCATGTTTTACCAAAGAGATTTCTCCTTCAGAAATCAATTTCTGGCAAGAATTTGATTTCTGGAGCAGAATGGTTACCATTCGCACCCTAATAGTATTATTTTTCGTCTTTCCAAAACTTAAATTAATATTGTAAGTACTAACAAAAAAATCAGTAAATAACCGTTTTTTTTTGGAAAGTTAATATATTGGGCATTGTGCAATTTCAATATTTAATTTTTTTTTGTCTGCCATATTTCTAATCCACCTTACTCTCTAACTTTTGTTCTGTCTCATGCAGAGCGCAGGAATCGAACCCCGCACCTGTGATACTAGCGTCCCTACCCTCCAATTCCTTACCTAGCATGGCTGCATGTCTATTGGGTATTTCAATATTTAGTTTGATATAGCTAATTTCGAGTTAAATAGTACTTTTCTCATTTTGAGCACAAAGTTGGCGATATCGTTATCCGAATTCATTTAGTTACGACTACCCAATGTGTGAAATACATTCTTCATATGTCTAACTCCACTTGAAGGAACTTATTGAATGGTCACCGTCAATGACATTTGAATTCGAAAAATTAAGATTGCTTATATGATTCTATGTTAATTAGTATAATCTTTCTAGCTGTGAATTTTTAACGTACAATGCACCAGTGAAGATTAATTCGTACGATGAAAAATAAATTATTACTTCCATGTGGCGCACGAGTAAATTGGCTAGTCAGCATTATTCGAATAAATTAAAGAATCGGTGAAAACAAGAAAACCTGTCGGCTTATAGTTTCCAGCTTTTGACTTGAAAAGCTGGTGGCGCCAATGAACGACGGAGCGTTCATGCTAACAGGAGTCTTCGTCTTGGTCTTCATCTTCGGCTTCATCTTCTATTCCTATAGACCGAAAGAGCTTTTGACCCTGAAAAAGACCCAAAGAGCTTCTCTCTTTCAAATGGTGTCCCGCATGGCCTGCGACAGCGATGCCCTCCCATCTCTCCAACCTTAGCGCACGGAAATCTCTCGTGCTCTGAATAAGGTCAATTGGTTCATTCCTCCAGGACTCTCGCGGGCAGCGCGTTTTCTCTTCTCCACCCAACTGAGAGAGTGAGTCATGGAGGAGGAGCACAGAGGAGCGTTGGCTCAGAGCATGATTGATGCCGTCGATGAGATAGCTTCCATCTCGTGTTACAGGGGCACGGTCGAGAAGCGGTACCGCAATCTGGCCACGAGACTGAAGCTGTTGACTCCATTGTTCGAAGAGATTACGGACAGCAAGGAGCCAATGCCCGAAGGGACGATTGGAGCTCTTGCCGCGCTCATGGAAGCTTTGAGTTCCGCGAAGGAGCTGCTGAAGTTCGGGAGAGAAGGCAGCAAAATTTACGCGGTGTGTGCTCGCAATTTCTCTGTGATCTTTGGATAGTCAATTTTTTGGTGTAATATTTTTTAATCCTGTTGCATCCCCATTCACACTGGTTTGACGTTAAATTTCAGTGGAGTTTTTACTTTTTGGATCGGCTTCTGATAAACGAGAAGCTATCAGTGAAAATTTAACCTGAGAGTCTGCAATAAGAGCAGAGCATTGCAACTTAGCTTGAAGAGGGAGCCCCTAGAGGTAGAACAGGTGGTATTTAATACGCCTTTATCAAAAAAGTACTCAGACGGAAGCAGTGTCGTATTGTCTGAGGACAGAGGATGCAAAATCAGAGCATCGGTCTCAGTTATTATGAGTAGCATCAAATGCCAAGAGGAGTGCATTACATACTTGTTATTAATATGTTTGGACATCTCCATGTGAGGGACCCTGGAAAGCATGGGCTACATCTATTTGCTTAGCAGCTTGTGATGATAGTAGAAATTTGCCGCTACTCTTAATGGCCGAGGTTGATTTTATGGTTCTCGGTTGGCATTGAAAGACCAAAGAGGAAGGAACATATTGGCTCTTCTTGGGATTTCAGTAGCATTGCTTCTTTGAATGCCTTATGCCTCCACTGCACGAGAACATCCTGCTTATTGTAAAGTTCATGAAGGTTTAAGCAGCTTTCCAATCATTGTCTGAACCCTGGAGATGTGTCTAGCTTATGGTGGAATTGCCATTAGGGAAAGAAGGGTTGCCGGTTGGTAGTTGGAATATTCATTGTTGAATGGTCTCGTCTCTGTAAATTTTATGAAGTCTTACTCGTGCAAAGTGCCAACCAAATGTGACTCGTTTAATTGCACTACAACAGGGCTTGGATATACACTTATCTGCTGCTAAATAAGTCATTCCGTTTCTCTGGAGGAAGGATCAAAGAAGGGCCGTCTAATAAGTGTCAACGCATGATTCTTTCATGAATTTCTCCTGTTTAAATTTTGCATTTCTTAAACTGTATATTTTGCTCCTCTTACAGGTCTTAGAAAGGGAGCAGATCATGAATAACTATCATGAGGTGACCTCCCAACTGGAACAAGCTCTAAGTAGAATTTCATATGAAAACCTGCACATATCAGATGAAGTCAAGGAGCAGGTAAGACGTCATCTTCAAAAGTTTGTTCTTTTCAGTTATCTGGGACATGGTTACAATCAGACTGCATGGAGTATGTTATTTTCTTGGTGATGTTCACATAATTTTGGTGCAATCTACTTGTTGCATAGACCATTGCACATGCCGGCCGGTACCAGTGAAAATACACCAACAAAAAAACCTGACTGAAAAATTAGCCACAGAATTGTGGACTTTATCTATTTCAAACCTTGTTTATCCCCAATTTGTACATGTTAAGAATACTTCTCTTCTAGGACATTGGAACCCTTAACCTTGAGTTTTTAGTTTCGATACTACAATCAAGAGAATCTAACCTTTTGGCTTCCAGGTTGAGCTCGTCCTTGGACAATTTAGAGGAGCTAAAGGAGGAGTCAATTCATCTGATGTCGACTTGAATGAAGAGCTCTTAGCCCTTTATTACCAGAGTAGTGACACAGCTCCGGATCAAGCTGTCTTAAGGAAATTGGCTGAAAAGCTAGAGTTAATGAAGATCGCTGACATTAAGCAGGAGTCACTGGCTCTACATGAGATGGTTTGTGCAAGTGGTGGAGATCCAGGGGAGAGCATTGTGAGAATATCAATGTTACTGGACCAAATTAAAGCCTTTGTGCAGACAGAGAAACTTGACATGGTTCCGCCTACCGGCGAAAAGAACGTTCTTCCCAGTTCCAGCGGGTCATCAGTCGATGGCAATAAAAAAACACCGGTCATCCCAGATCTTTTCCGTTGCCCAATATCCTTGAAGTTGATGAAGGATCCCGTTGTAGTGTCAACAGGCCAGGTATGTGCATTACTGGTTCTTCCTTCGCTGTGGATTCATGACGGACGTTGCAGTTGCACTATTATGGGAATCCAACTGTATCTTATGGACTTGTCAAACCAATGTATTCTAAGTCTGATGGGAGATAGTTAAAAAAGGACTAGGGAGATAGTTAAGTATGGACCAAGAGTCCTTTTTTGCCGTAGTATATAGCATTATAGGCCCGTATTAGCATAAAATTTTTAGCATTCTATTAGCATATGTTAAAAAATGCAAAAACTTCTACCTTTTGAGCAGGCTATCCCCCCCCCCCCCTCTCTCGTGGGCGCATGCGTGGATATGTTTGCACATATTCACAGTCCTCATGCACTGATCACTCTTTATCCTGCTGCAGACCTATGAACGCTCATGCATTGAGGAGTGGCTAGAAGCGGGTCATAGAACATGTCCAAGGACACAGCAAACCCTTTCTAACACAACTCTTACACCCAACAATGTCCTTTGCAGCCTTATAGCTCAATGGTGTGAGGCTAACGGCATTGAGCCACCAGGACCTCCAAGCAGCTCTCGACCCACTAAAACCATCTCAGCCAGCTTCCCTGCAGAATGCGCTGAGGTTGAACTTCTTGTGCGCAAACTTGCTTCTGGAAATCCTGAGGAACAGCGGTCAGCTGCAGGTGAGATTCGCCTTCTTGCGAAGAATAATAGAGATATCCGTGTGGCTATTGCTGAAGCAGGTGCGATTCCCTTCCTCGTACACCTTCTTTCAACTCCAGACTCGCGCATTCAAGAGCATGCTGTCACTGCTCTTCTCAACCTTTCAATATGCGATGAGAATAAAGGAAATATTGTCTCCTCTGGAGCCGTACCAGGCATACTCCATGTTCTGAGGACTGGGAATATGGTAGCACGGGAAAATGCAGCGGTCACACTCTTCAGTCTCTCAGTTGTAGATGAATATAAAGTAACGATTGGTGCATCTGGTGCGATTCCTCCACTCGTGTTGCTTCTAAATGAAGGAACCCAAAGGGGGAAGAAGGATGCTGCAACAGCTCTTTTTAATTTGTGCATTTATCTAGGTAACAAGGGGAAGGCTGTCAGGGCTGGCATTGTACCCACCCTGATGCAGCTTCTAACTGAACCTGGAGGCAGGATGGTGGATGAGGCACTCGCTATACTGGCAATATTAGCCAGTAATGCTGAAGGGAGGGCTGCCATTGGCGCTGCAAAGGTAGTGCCGGTTCTTGTAGAATTGATTCACGTTGATTCTCCTAGGAACAAGGAGAACGCTGCTGCTGTTTTGGTGCATCTTTGTGCTGGAGATCAGCATCCTCTGTTAGAGGCAAAGGAACTGGGAATCATGGAGCCACTGGTGGATTTGGCACAAAATGGCACAGAGAGAGGGAAACGAAAGGCTGCTCAATTGGTTGAGCGTTTGAGCCATTTCGTTGAGCAGCAGCAGGAGGCTTAGGCGGTGCCTAAGCCGAGGTCGAGGTTCAGGTACAGGCTGAGACCGAGGCTGAGGCTGACGCTCAGCCAAAGAGCCGCCCTCGACTGCAAATGTTATTGATAATGATAGCTGAAGCTTTTCGCCACCTCTTTTGTGCTTTTTTATTCGTGATTTTGGTTTTGATTTAGCTTGTTCTGAGGTGTTCCACATAGAAAGGGAACTTACTCATCCACATAACTGTCATTGAGAATGGTTACTCAACTTAATGCAAACCACGCCATAACATAGACACCAACTCAACATAAAATTAGACCATATAATATTCTCATGAAACTACAAAAAACATAGGTGTTCGTAACCTCAAATTTTACCTCCAGTTTTTTCAAATCATTAAATTCTTGAGCAAACATTTATCAGCGAGATACAAGAGCCAAAGCACGTATTAAACATCAAAAATGGTTTTTACTCATCAAAACGAATATTTTCACACCCATTTTACCACCCCAATCTTATGGTCAACTTTTTTATCCTTCAAACCGGTCGTATGTTTTCCACGGTAATGGGAAGTTTACGAATTCTTGATTTCAATTGCACATCTCGCGATTAGAGATTGCTAGCATCCCCACACAACAAAAATCGGTTCCGAAGGAATGTCGAACAAGGGAGTAATTGTTAGTCAAATTTCGGTCAAACCTTCCGATATCCGAAAGAAAGATCCCAGAGAGGAAAACCATACCTAGAGGTCTTACAATCGAATGAAATTAACAAACCTCTAAGTTAAGATAAATAATGATTTTTGAAGGTAATAAGTTACCAAAACTACGCCCGATTCATAAACTTGAAATCTCAGATCTATGATTTTGCGATTCACCTAACAACATTGGTCTCAATGGAAAGCTCTCATTGAAAGTTTCAGGGGTTCTTTTTTTTTTAGCGTAGGTAATTTTAGCAGGTGCAAGAACATTGGGGTGTACATATTTAGCTCTTCAAAAGAACCAACTAAAAACATTACCTCGTGTATTTTTTTTTGGTCCAAAAAAAAAAAAAGAAACAGCTTTTCTTCAAGGACATTAATTTTTTCTCATAATTTTTCAACTCCTGTATTCCAATTAACTAAAAGCTGCATAACACTAAAAGATGTAAAAGACTTCCCTTCTTGAAAGTTGATCTGATGTTTTTTGCTGTCTTCCATCCCTTTCTTTTATTGGGAGGTATTAAATCAATTGTACATTCTACTCTTTCTTCAAAAAGCTTAAATAAATTCTATGATGCAAATATACTTAAGACAACCACACACTTTGAGCAAAAGACGTGGGAGCATAACCTGCACGAGCTTTACCATCGGTCGTCGCACGAGCAGTGCCCACCTGAGAAGTAGTGAAATCCCGAAGCATCCCGCAAGGCTGCGTTTGGTCGTCCGTATTTCTGGTCAGGATAGGATTGGATAGGATAGGATAGGATAGGAAATCTAGGGATTTGGCCATATCATATCCACTGTTTGGTGAAGTACGGATTCAAAGTCGGATATGCTCATATCCTATCCTATCCTGTGTTTGGTAGAAACTGTATATCAATATAAAGGACATATATACCCCTACGTGATGCTCATGAAATATTTTGATCTTATTACTATAAAAATAACATTCTCATACACAAATAAACTTGAAAATATGACATTTTATTAGATTTTCAAATTTTTTTGCAAAAATAAAATAAAATGAAAATAGAAACAAATGAGACAAGAAAATTGTCATCATCGTCTTTCTTCGAGCGCTTTTCCGCAAACAAATCATTCTTCAGCTTCTTCTTAGGCGGAGGCTTCACCGCACCCGCACCCTTCTTCTTCTTATTAACAGCCAGGCCACCCATTGATCTGCAAAAGCATCAAATACCAGGGTTTACACATAACAACGTTGGAAGAACATCTTAAATGGGATAACAAAGATGGAACTCGAATGTGAAATAAAAAAGCCATCTTTCGACATCAACTGAAGCCGCGAAAAGCGGAGAGACAAGCTCCAAGTTACCAAACCTCAACTCCACCAAACCACAGAGCATCGCAAGCACAAAACAAACAATCGAAACAGCGAGATGGTGGGTTCCTTCATCGTCCGCAATCACGTTGTTTTTCGAAACAGACAAATCCAACAGAACTGAATCAGCAATTGCAAGGACGAAGGGCCACCGATTCCTTGCTCCACCGCGAACTAGATACCATTCGACGAACACGACGAACGCCATTGACGACGGTGCGAAACTGGAGAGGACAGTAACAATACCTGAGCTGAGCAGAGCAGAGCAGTCGGCGCGCCTAGAAGAAGAAGAAGAAGAAGCGACGAAGAGGTTCGGAGCTTCTCTGATGTCGCCGGCGAGGTGCGGAAAAGCGCTTCTTCCCGGCAAGCTTCAACAGTATTTCCGCGGACGACCACCTGATCTCCTCCTCCTGCGGGTCCTTCCAGTTCAGCATCTCGACGAGCCGCGTGGGTGAAGAGTGCGTGAATGAAGGGTAGGGTTTCTAAAAATTTGCTTTTATGTGACGGATAGGAGAAATCCTATCCGACTTTATTCTACCCTCTCCCCTCGGATTTTTTTATCCGGGTTATATCCCCTCTATATCCGACATTATACTATCCGGGACACCTACCAAACACGGGATAGGATAAAACATATCCTATCCCGAGTTTTATACGGACGACCAAACGCAGCCCAAGAGTATTTGTCTATTTGTGATGGCTGATGTGTATTTCAAGAACTGATGGCAGTCCTCACAAAGGCTGATGTTCTTTACAATCTTGATGGGTTTTCCCGGTCTATTCATCAAAAGCCCGAATGCTGCAGCAAGTTTTGCACTGTGATAGAGCAAGAAATCCTTTTTCTGCTGTTCTCCAACTTCATGGAGAACAAAACTTGTGTCAGGCACATACCCAGCTTTTTGGCATTCTGAAATTAGGATTTCCAACCCGCTATAGATGTCCTTGGTTTGGGAATGGGACTTATCTCTTGTATAAAATGATATTGTCTCGTTTTTATGGATGACCCAACTCCGTGAAGGCTGTTTCTGAAACCCTTTGACTCTCATTTCTTTCCTCACTGTATCAGAGCAATGCCATCTTCCAGAGGCAGAGTACAGATTTGCAACAAGCACATAGGTGGAAGGATCTTGTGGTTCCATTGAAAGTAAATGCTTTATAACTCTTTTACCAAGAATTGCATTGGAATGGATTCCACATCCATCAAGCAAAGCTCGCCAGACTGAAGCCTCTGGTTCAAAAGCCATATTGCTGATTGTTTTCTCTGCAAGCTCAAAAAATCCCCAGATTCCTAAAACACCAACAAATGATGCATAATGCTCCTGTGAAGGTTCTATATCAAATTCTGTTTGCATGGATGAAAAGAATCTACAACAATCATCGACTAAACAAAGTTTAGTATATTTGTAAGCTGATATAACTAAAAGGATGCTGATCTTGTCAGGCTTTATGCCTGCTTTGTGTAAGTTTGACCAGACTGTGAGGGCATCATCTCCCCGCTTATGTATGATGAACCCCGCAATCAAGCCATTCCATGAAACTACATCATGTGCAGGCATAATGTTAAAGACTTTTTTAGCAGAATCCATATTCCAACACTTGAAGTACATACTGATCAACGCATTTGCTACCTCTAAATCTGAAGATAATCCAGATTTAAGAACATGACAGTGAATTTGCTCACCCATCCTATCAGACCCTAGAGTTCCACAAACACCGAGTATTGAAGTTGATGCAGCTTCATCAAGAATTATGCTCCCTTCTGCTCGATAACGGCAAAATAGTGACATTGCTTCATCCGGCAGCCCATTACCTGCATACCCACATATCATCGAAGTACATATGATAGAGCCATCCCACTCAAAAGGCCACCGTTTGAACATCTTTCCAGCATCCACCATCCTCCCACAATGAGTGCACATATCAAGCAAAGCTGCTTCAACACGAGCATTTGCCAGGAGACCAAACTTGATAATAAACCCTTGCAACTGCTCACTAAGTTTCCGTGCCCCAAGCAACCTACAGGCCTTAGCAACAGTAGTTAAGGTGTAGTCAGTCAATTCCAAGCCCTCCTCCACCATACTAATAAATAAATCTAGCACTTCAAAAGCTTTGCCATTTTCACGGAGTCCTGCCAAAAGGGCGTTGCAAGAAACAGAATCCTTCTCTGGCATTGTATGAAACATATCCATAGCCATATCAATCGAGCCAAACTCCCCATAGGCTCTAATCATCTCTGTCCAAGTGATAATATCCCTCGTGGCCATCTTCTCAAACAAGGTCTCCACATCATCTATGGTTCCACATTTTATATAAAATTTGATAAGTGCATTGTTCACACTCAAGTCAGTCTCCATACCAATTCTGATGGCATGAGCATGAATTTCTTTTCCTCTAAGTAAACTACCAGCATCAGTACAGGCAGTCAAAACCGCAGAAAGAGTCATATAATCAGCTCTAAAACCATCCATTTGGTCCATTTGCCGAATAGATTCAAATGCCCTCTCGTACATTTGGGCCTTCACCAATCCCGAAACTACAGTATTCCAGGAAGCAATGTCTCTCTTAGGCATTTCGTCAAACAATTCAAGAACGGAATCCAGACACTCGCATTTATTGTACATACCCATAAGTGCATTCGAAACGAAAACGCTTTCTAAATAACCCGTTTTAGCCACCAAAGCATGGACTTGCAAACCTAGCTCCAACTCAGTGAGCCGTATACAAGCGGTCAGAATCGCAACGAAGCTATACTCATTTGGCTGAATACCTGAACCCATCAATCTGAAGAAAACCTCCACCGCTTCGAGCCCTCGGTCTTTGTTCCATGGAGAGGTTCCACTGCTGATGGATATTTTGTTCCATGGAGAGGTTGCCATGCTTATAATTGGTCTTTGCAGGTTGGTCCTCTCTATTCCTCCAACTTTTAACACCTGTGTAAATTAATTCATTCTGACCTGTTTTTATTTGGATGCTTGTGCTGATATCTGTGGTGACTGATTCTATGCTGATAATCATGTCTATAAATACAGTATTTTTAAAAGAGATCCTGGTCGTGTAACTCCTGGACCTTCCTTATCAAGTGAACTTTGTGATGGATCCATCTCTGAAGTCAGTGAGGTACTGCAAATTGTGAAGTGACTAAACATGTGATTATACTTGGTTGCGATCTATTTTTCCAACTGACTCATTCCATCCATTACTTAGCAGTAGCACATGTCATTATCACTTAATTGGCAATACCATACGTGCAGAGGAATTAAAGTTTCAGTTATCTAAACGTTGTCCGCCCTGTCTTCTTTTTCAGACTAGCTCTTTGTTGGGAAGAGTAAGATATTGCAGAATTTGCGAGGCCTATATCAAAGGGTTTGACCACCATTGCCCTGCGTTTGGAAATTGTATAGGTAATGGTAAGCTCCACTTTGCAATTGAACTCTTAAGAGACTCCTTGATATAATTATTCTTCATCATTCTTACCTATAATCATGAAGCACATTTCCTCCGCATCACATTGGTGTTGGCATCGCTATGCAGGTCAGAATAACTATTTCCTTTTCATGGCTCTTTTGGCTGGATTTCTTATCACCGAGTCTTCTTTTGTAGCCAGCTCATCTAAGTGTAAGTTTGGCTAATGCTGCCTGACTTTATCCAACTCTTTATATACATTAAATTTTCACTGGGACATTCCCCCTGGAGTTTGAGCTGGGGTCAGAATGATTTTGCAGGTGAAGTGAGCCTAGATTATGAAAGAAAATTTTTGATATTAGACCAAACTATATGCCATTAAATTTCCCAAGCTAATCATTTGCATATGTATCTGCCAGTGCTACTCCATATAAATGCTGGTATTGCTCGTTATTTGGCAGATATGCAATCATTATTTGCAGATTAATGGATGAACAGACAGAAATTGGTCATTTATTGCTGAGATAGTCTTAAATAAATTAGGGTATGTGAGGAGGCATCCATCTTCATCCAATCAAGGTTTAAGCAATATATAGGTTCCTGAAGGACAATTGTAACCCGGCACACTGTATTTACTCATGTCTCGGGATAGAAATGTTCCAAAGCTGTGATACACAGGTTTCTTAAAGACAAATAAAAGTTAACTTCTATGTATATTTAAAAAATTGGTAAATAGTTCCACATGCTGTATACACTACCTTTGGTCAAAGAGCAAAGGTTGTTCCTCTTTTTAACCTTTCAGGCTTGGAGCTGGTCTTTCTCTCCACTAGTCATGCTTTACTTGTTAGAAATTATTCATCTTCCAGCCTTTCACGTGTTCTTTTTCCTGTCTTGTGCATCTGTCTGCTGACCGTCAGTTGCTTCTAAATCTTCAATTCCGTACCAAACTAGATTGGAGGTTAGTAATTGCAGTTTGAGCATCTTTTGAATTGTATAAAGTACAAATGGCTCATCGAATGACTTAGTGACCTTCTAAAACCATCTTTTTATGGCTTCAGAGTAATATGGAGGCAGACTTGGTCATTGGTGGATTGCTGTTTTCTCTGCTCCAATTGATATGGCAGGTCTAATTTTTTGCTTGTGTGCAAGTTTCTTATCAGTAACTTCTTGCAACATGTAATGGTATTGTGCGAGCGTATAATTTGTTTTTGTCGTGCAGGGTATATTCTTAATGTGGCATATATACTGCATATGTTTCAACATTAGAACTGATGAGTGGGTAAGTGCACAATCAGTGGGGCACTTTCTCCTGAACATATTTCTTTTTACTTGGATGAATTCTGGAGTACGCATCATCCTGGCATGCATCTTTTTCAGATAAACTGGAAGAAGTATCCAGAGTTTCAACACCAAGTTAAATCTGAACAAGGTAAATTTACTTGCTTTTCTTATTCCATCAGCTCGATGGTTCTTCCCAAACTTTTAGAGAGAGATTCTTTGTTTGTCTTAACTGTTTCATCATTTGCTTATCTAGGGCAAAGTTCTACTAACTTGGCGTTCCGGAACCCATATGATAAGGGCATCCTGGGGAACATTAGAGAGTTCCTATCATAAAAACAGCAGATAACCTATGCTTCTCCTGACGATGGAAGCACAGCAACGTAAGTCACCTGAATTTGTTGCTCTTACTGCAATTCTGATACGTAAGGAACTGTGCCTGCTTCTGACAAATTCTATCACTGACCTTTCGGGATTGTACAGTGAAGGATATTTATACGCAGTTCACCTTCTGATCTCTCAACTCATCCACTATAGAATTAAAGTAAATTTGCGCTCTTCTAGAGTTTTGTTGGTATCTTATTTATTTATCAAAGAGTTGAAGTAAAAAGGAAGAGCTGATGCGGAGATTTTTTTTCTTAGGGTCTGACCCATCTAAATATGAACTTTATAATAGTAAGCTGATGGCAAGAAATGAAATTTCTAACAATACTCTGAAAATATAGAACCTCCTTTTCCAATTTTCCCCTTTTTCCATTTACTTCGTCTGTTTTATTGAGCTTGCTACATAACCTGAGATAAATATGAGGAACTTTCTAAGAACTCAAACGATTCAAGCTTGAATTATTTTCACTAAAAAAGTGATAGCTGATTACATATTTTTGGATATACTAGAACACGAGCACACAATGAAACACACAAGCAAATCATTTATTCACAACTCATAGAGTTGTATTCGTGGCATTGCATATTGCATTGCATTAGCACAACACACTCCTGGATTAACCAGATATATCAATGGACTTCACCTCCGGCTTCTTCTCCTCTTCCTTAGGCACAGTCACAGTGAGCACCCCATTCTCCATACTTGCCTTGATCCGGTCCATCTTTGCATTCTCTGGGAGGCGGAACCGCCTCATGAACTTCCCACTGCTCCTCTCAACCCGGTGCCACTTATCATTCTTCTCCTCCTTCTCCTTGCTTCTCTCCCCACTGATCTGAAGGATTCTCCCCTCTTCCACCTCAACTTTCACTTCCTCCTTCTTCAGCCCCGGAACATCCACTTTGAACACGTGGGCCTCTGGAGTTTCTTTCCAGTCAATTCGTGCATTCGCGAATGCTGAAGTTTGGCGAGCCGAGGCAGGCATATTAGTGAGCGAGGAGGTGAAGAGGCCATCAAGAGGGTCCCAAATGTCTAGAGAGAATGGGTCAAAGACGTCGGTTCGGCGGCCTCCAAAGATGCTGGGAATGAGCGACATTGTGATCACTGATCAGAGAATTCTGGAAAACTGAGATGATTCTGCAATGTATGAATGAACGTTGTCGGATGATTCTGGTGAGAGCTGAGCAAGGACGTGCGGTGTTTATATAGAGCTTGCACGAGCATTCTGGGTCTTGTTGGAAAGAGGAAAAGAGACATTGGAGAACTCTAGCGTCTTCAAGTCGCTTGTTCTCTCACCTAGTAAAAAGATAAAGTAGTGCTAATTATGGACTCTCAGACTCTCAAACCTTCCACCATGTTCGCGATGCATCTTTCTTTTCCTTCGTACTGATCCAGATCGAGTGAAACATTCTGCACAGGACCTGGACAAATATTCCTATTTACTTTGTGGCTTATATATTAATTATTTACTTACTGCAGCAGAAGGCGCTGATTCTTCTCTCGTGTCTCAGACGATTATTTATTGTTGGACCACTTTGTTATTTGGCTATTTGGCTGCTTTTGCAAATCTCACGCACTATCGCCACTTTATAAATGGTAAAACGCGGAAATTAAGTCTAAAGATGTTATTATGATCAAAGGGCAAGTAGAATGTCAGATCAACTTTTCTTTGCAAACACTTGAGCGTTAGCCAGGAAGGACATAGAGAATGTGAAAGATAGCAGTTTGAATCTAGCAAGGTCGAGAGCGGGTCAGAATACGAATTGGTGGCTTACAAGCAAATATCACGACAGACAAAATCTATATGTTGCAATTTCCAAACATTAACGAAGAATTCATGTTGATTCTAACTTCACAGGTTTTTATCGCTGCACGAAATTCTTTCCTAAGATTCGAAGTTAACGCATCTTTCCATTCTCTTCTTTCACAGATGAAACTGTTCTTGTTGGTATCGTTGTTGATTACATCGGAACATGAGGCAACGATATCGATATTGCCTGGCAAAAACCCAAAAGCATGCGACCCTTCAGGTAAACTCAAATGGGCCTAACCAATAGGTGGGTTTGCGACAGGCCCCAGAAAAAAATGGATCGATGGTTGGTTTGGGGTCAGTGTCAGTCAGACCTTAAATCCTTTCTCGAGCCTAATTAATAACGATTAAATTCCCATTGATTGCTCTAAGTGGGTCCTGCTGGGCCTGTCTGGTCTAAACTATTTGTCCGTGCCTGCCATATGATGGCTTCGCTTATATGGGCGTGTCGTCGGACATCATATCCGGACCTTGACATGTCCCTAAGGTTGCATTTGGTTGTCCGGATTTGAATTAGGATAAGATAAGATAAGATAAAGTAAGATTAGAAATTCTCTCGATATCCTCCCGATTGTAAATAATCCTATCATGTGTTTGGTGTAATCTGGATTGAAAATTTTTAAAAATCTTTAAAAATCGTCCAAATATCTTTCTCTAATCATCCTCCTCCATTCTTCATGCCTTCACTGTTTCACTAACGACCGGTGGAAACTCCTTTCTCCCGTAGCTTGTTTGGTGAATGAAACCGCCTCATGTGTGGGCTACCGCGAGAGAAGGCCACTTCATCTCTAAATCCATCAACACCAACTTTTCATTGATGGTAATTACAACCAAGAGTTTGAAGGGCGTGATAAGAACAGTGAAAATAAGAAAGAGAGAGAGAGAAAAAAAAAGAAATGCAGAAAAACCCATTGAAAAGCCAGAGATAATATAATAAAAGGATTAACTACCCTCAAAGTTCATCACCATCTTGATAAAAAGCCAATATCAAGACCTGCAAATTGGAAAAGTAACAGCTGTGAACGGATTTATTACCTTAAAATTCACAATTTCTTCAAACTTCAAGAACTCTGTATGAACATCCTCGTAAAACTCCTCAAATGAGTGTTCAACCTCTTCGTCTGTGTACTGAAAAGAATCAAAAACCTTGATCACTAGTCAGTGTGAAGCAGAGTGAATTTCGGGAATTTTTCAGAGCTTTCTTGTCTTCGTGTGGTGGTGGGTGAGTCGTGAATGTGAATAGAGTAGAAAAAACTCGGAGAAGAAGAGGGAGAGAGATGCGGGAAGAGAGGGCAAAAGCTGCAAAGATAGCAATTTGCCGATATTCTGAAATTTAGTTTTCTTTTTTATTAAATATTTTTATATTTTACATATCCTATCCGGGCCTATCCCACTCCCTAGGTGGGATTTTTTTATCCGGACTATATCTGGGCTATATCCGATCATATCCAGATTTCGCGTCACTCCAAACACCGGATAGGATTCTATCCGGGATTTTATCCAGTCCACCAAATGCAGCCTAAAAGGCTACACCTGGATCACGAAGTGTAAAAAGAAGTTGGGTATTGCCGGGTCGGGACAAGAAAAGGATACTAACTCAACAAGGGAGACCGGGTCGTGCTGGCATCGGAACATTTAAATAAGAAATGCATTGGTGGAGCCTACCTAGTTGTAGGACAGGCCGCCAAGGCCCCTGCTAGCGATAAACTCTAGGCTAATTGTAAACCTAAGCTCCCAACCAAATTAGTCAGATTTTGCAGCCAACGAGTGGCTATTTCCTCTCTCTCTCTCTCTCTCCAATAGCTGAGCGAATGAGACTTTTTCGTGGGTTGAGTTCAGATTTGATCCTCGGATCTTTTGAGGCTTTTACGATGGAGTTCTCTCACTTTGCTTATGTTCAATCAAATGCTTTGATGATCTGCTGCTAAAAAGTAAAAGCTCCATGAACACGGATTGAAAAGAGAAGTTCCGGCTGCACTTAACCTCTGGAAATTTTTGTGACGGGACTCATGAAACCTAACAAAACGTAAGCAAGGGATCTGACTCGCCGATTATTGGTGCATCTGGCAAAATTTCAATGGTTTCTTCGCGGCGGAAACGTATTCAACCGTCGCACCTCATGTAGCCACAATCAGCACGCAATCGAGTGTAATTCGATTAAAATGGCTGCGTGAGGTTGGTACAATGGAGGTTCCGCAAGGAATCTCTCGATTATAACAAAGATTCCACGTGAAAAAGACAATAAGATCCGTATCTAAGCTGAATCATTGTGACAAGCACTCATGAGATTCCTACTCTGTCACTCCAAAACGTGGGTCCGTTCTTTTCTCGCCGCCATGAACAATCCATCGCTGCAACTTCCATGGACACTCCACACAATCTTTCCTTCCCCATTCGCGCAAGTACTGTCGATAACCTCTGTTCAGAATCAAGAAGAGCCAACGAAAATAATGATACACGAAGCTTGCTCGTCAAATCCACATCATTCAAGTCATCAATACGTACCAATTCAAGCTGCACGTATTGATTCAGCAAACCGAGTCTTTTGGCGCTCACTTAATGCACGCGTACAAGTTAGCGCTGAGTTTCTTAATTACCCACTTGCGATCTTTACCTGTCCCATGCTTGGTTGGATTGTTTCGATCGGGTAGTAAAGACCAACGCTCAAAGCTTAGTTCGCACTCTTTGGATGTATGAACACACTGGTGGCTTCCGATGTCTCTTTCACCAGTCAATTCATCGACGTACTGTAAGCTCTTGCTTGAAGAAATATGTTGATGACTCCCACTTTTAAGCGGAACTCGCGTAATTAATCATAAATTCCGCTGTCCGGCTAGGCAATCTCGAAACGGAATCGGTTGCGTCCTCAATCTCCAGCTTCGCCATGCAAGGAAACTTTGAAGCTTGCCTCTCCGGTTTGATCTTCAAGGAAATCGATTCAGAACGTCTTATGGGAAGGAGGGAAAAGAACCAGCTTTCAGATTTCAAGCAAAGATCATACAGTCCAGTAAATTGAGGAGAGATTGAATAAAACGTCTCAACTCAATATAGCTCATTAGAATGGCAAAATACGTGATTCGTAAATTAACGAAATCCCGTATCGGATGGGAGAGAGCTTGTGAAGCAATTCATAAGTAAAAACCACAACAATTCATTAAATGGTCGAAACATGTGCTCTTTCTAAGGAGTTTCTGCTCATGTTAGTCGAGTTAGGTTGTTGTAAACAGCATAAAAAAAAGTACCCCTTTACTCGGTATGCAGTTTGAAGACAAACCAAGTACCGAATTTATTCTGCAAGTGATAGTCATGCCAAAACTGGCTTGGACGAGATACAACTCAAAGTACGAGAATATTATTTCTTTGAGCGAAGGAGCTTGTAACTCCTCAAGTGACAACCGGTTAAACACTACGTCGCATCATTTGGTTCACTAAAGACAGTCGAATGGTGGTTGAATACGGCTTATCTATTTAAGTGGTCATTCATATTTGGTACCTAGGAATAGAAGGGTACCTTCGTTCAGCCCAGTGAATAGGGTTATTATGTCATTAGGTGAACGTGGAAGATCTAACGTTTAATAAACTTATGGTCAATTAGAAAGGAGTGTTTTGTAATCATCGTAGGAACGGTAGATTCAGATACATATGATAGCTCAATGTCCCTGGTAGATCCAACATCCCTAACGCATACATTATTTTCAGACTTGTTATTTGATAATTGGGTTTATTATCTATAGAATTGCTTCGTCTGGAACTTCAAGTCACCTTTTCATTTGCATATAGTCATGCAATGTAACTCCATAAGTTCGTATGTCGGTAGAAAATTAGAAACATTAGAAGATTGCGTAGTCAAACTAGATTTTTGTCGCTGACGTGTAATATTGCTTGCCGTGCTTGGTAGGTAGAATGTCGGAATCCCACAAATAATTCAACATCGAAAAACAATCTTATCCTCAACGACAAAATATCTACTTAGATATCTAACGCGCGGAAGTAGGTGTTTATCAGCTAGCTAATGATCTAATTAGCGAACATAATTAATACAGGCCAAGTTGGAACCGGAACACATTGGGTTCGATCAGAAATGTTCAAAATCAAGCTAATATAAGAGGCTCCGAAGTACGAGCGACCAGGTACGAAGTTGTCTATCAAAGCACCTAACATGTTTGATATGAGTCTTCGTTTATCATACGAAAAGTTGGTATGTTATGTGATTCTTCAAGTTAAAATAGAACTTTAAAATGCGCAAGTTCGAAAATTTCGATCGTGACTATGCAATATCGTGCATTAACCATAATAGTTCATATTATCATCTGAGATCGATAGGATCTATTATTTGTAAGGAAAATGATTAATATGTAATTTGAAAGCCGTTAGTAGAAACTATTTTTGAATATGATATGGTTAAATGATTGTCCTTCGCTCTAGATGTATTTACATAGATTTGAATGCATCCAAATCGAAAAAGTTCAAATTTTCTTTCTACGAACAAATCGCATCAATATGATTTGCTTTTGATTTGTTAGTACTATCTTTTTACGTGATTTCCCATCATTAGATCTTAATGGGCTATAGATATACACGCTTTTGAAAAATGATGACCAAAATCCACACTTTCAGCTCGAGAATCAATAGTTGTAGGTTCGATTTCGGCCTTGGAGGGCTCTAATTTAAACAGAGATATCATGACGGTGGGTTATTGTGCTAATTTTCGGAGCCTACTAATTATGATCTCACACCCCGAAACATCAAGGAAAAAAAGAACAGAAAAACGATGACCAAAACAGATGACAAGCTTCCCAGCAGGGACCTACAAAATAGCTTCCAGGATATTTTCCATCCTTTTCTCTCCTCCGCAGACCTCTCTCGATGTGATTGCATATCCACGTCTTATCGTCGTCCCATCGTTTCCTAGCGAGCTGTTCGCTCGTTTTACGACGAGGAATATCCTTCACCGAAACTTCGATTTTCGGTTTTTATTAAGGTAGGTTCTGTGGCTTGATTTCTAGGAGAATTGTGGCGAAAGACAGAGTGTAACACAGGATTATATGGAATGGATAGAAATTGAATGGACTGGAAATGGATCTGAGATCAACAAAGTTCCAAGCTACATTACAATACTCCTATGAAAGCTGTAAAAGACTTGAAAGTTAACTAAAGCTACAGGAAGCTGTAAATACAGGAAGTAAAGGTGCGTAGGAAACTAAAGTGCAGGTAAGCTTGAGTGTTTTTGCATTGTTGTTGGTCGTGTCCTTTCCTCTTTGCTTCCTCTGAGTATTTGTATCTCCTCCTATCTTGCAACTGCTTGTCGGTTACTTCCATGTTTTCAAACTTTGAATATTTTGGCGCTTTCAATAACTG